TGTCAATGTAGGCCTAAATTTGGGCCTAGTAAGTAAAGCTGGGGATATTTGGTACAGATGTGAGACACCAAATATCAAAAACTGTCAATTACCAGAAGCTGCCATTGAATGTCTGGGCAGATTTTGTAATCTTTTTCACTTTAGTTCCTGGTTTTAAACATTTTTTATAACATTTTGTCTGGGCAAAGACATTGTACAGCTGCTTGTGTTTATGCTTTTTGAGAAGTTTGGCGCCTCTTGTTAAAAATAGAAAAACATGTTCTCAGCTGAAGTACACATTATTGTTGTTGTATCAATTCTGAAACTCTGGTATTGTTTTGCTGCTGGTTTTGAAAAAATCCAAATATCCACCCTTTAGTGGTAAGCCTCACAACTGTACTTCTCTATTTATGTGCATTTGTTTGTGTGTGTGCGGTACTTGTACAATACAATGCATAGAGCTGTTAATTAAGACACTAACTATCCTCCCTCCCACTTGGAAGTAAAGCCACAGATATGTCCTCTTTAACTCGCGGCACTGCTCAGTGTGTCTGCGGTAACCTTTACTTTGTGTTTCCCTGCTTGACTTGTTTTTGTGCTTGATTAAAGCGAGGCCACATCTTGCTGCTCAGGAGGCTTGTCGTCAGAATTAAATTACAATTTGTTCACTCAGGCAACCGCTGGCTTGATCTGTGGTTATCTTTAACCGTTAATAAAACACAGTCATTGTGACATTTCTGTTGTCCACTACAAGAAACATAGTGGTCGTGGATAGAAAGCTTAACACAGGAAGTGGAAATGTAATAGTTCTGGGCAGTTTTGCTAAATGGTTTAGTTTTTAATCTGACTCCTCTGCAATTTGGTTTCTTTTTGGCCATGTCCATAGTGACAAAGGCTTAACAGGAGCGTGGGATTTGTGGGAAGCACTGCAGTTCAAGCTATTGTCGTTTGGTTGTTTGCTTTTCTCTTTAAAGTGAGATGTCAGAAACAGGCACAGTTCTACTGACAAGGTTGCTTTGTTCTTATCACAGTGCATGCCAGTTAAAACTATAATTGATTTTACTGAACACTTATTTCTTTGAGCTGAGATTTTCCCTTCTTTTGGTCTCCTCTCTTATGTTTCATTACAATGCATCAGGGCAAAGCTATAGGGCAATCGGAGAAACTGGTGCAGAATACCGACGTGTGCAGCTCACTTTTTCAGATTTCAAACCTGCATCCGAGCATCCAAATGGGTTTCAGTTTGATCCGAATCTTGCTGCGTCTCTGTCAATACATCTGAGTTGGAGGAATGGGGTGTTTCCTCATGGCGGTGACCTGTGTGTTGCTTTGTTACATTGTCAGTATTTGGTGTTTGTGGATGCTCCTGAGAGAAGACAATGTGTGAAATAGTGGGGTTATTTATTTATATATATATATATATATATATATATATATATATATATATATATCCCCTCTGTAATGTGTTTGTTGACGAAAGGGTTAAAGGCTGCTGTTCCTCCGTTAAGGGAAGAGATAGTGGTGTCTGACAAGGTGTGAAAAAAGAGGCGGTGTAAGAACAGAGAGTCTGAAGGGCAGCAGGAGTGTCTCATCTCTCTGAGTGCAGCGGGGGACACACACAAGCCAAGGCTCTCTCCGTGGTGGAAGATTTATGACATTAGAGATGATCAAAAGCACCTTAACACCACAAAAAGCATCTCATTTTGTTTTTCTATCCGTAAATCTGTTTCTGTGTGTTCGATTTTACGCTAAGTGCCAGAGAGAAGAACAGAAGTAAGATGCTATTAATGTCCTACTTATTTTATGAAATACTATCAACAGGATTGGATGCTAATCATAACATCAATAATGAATGTCTACTGTAAGTTTATCTACAGTAGTGCTAATCAGTACATCATGTTCCTCCAGTGTTCTACTCAAACGTGTGTGTTTCTTTATGTGGAACAGTATGAATGAGGTCCATGTTACCAGCTGGCTCTCACGCAGCGTCACCCCCAACACGTCACTTCTCTCAGCCATGACCACGTCGCTGTGGCTCAGCCCTGAGGCAGAGCCCTGAGTCGGTGTGTGTGTGTCATGATCTTTTTGGGGCAAATTCAAAATGGAGTCGCAGCGCGCCCAGTCATGAATCATGCGCTGGAGTTTGGACCGGTGCTGGTGTGGACGGTGAAACGTCGGCGTCAGTGGGGGCTTTGGTGATAATTGGTGACACGTGAATGCACTTGCGAGTGCATCGGTTTCAGGTTATTGCTTTGAACACTAGAGGGTGTGTTCCTCATGGGCACACTCAGACAGATGGCAATGGCAGTTTTATTTATGTTGCACATTTCATTAAGCTTTACATTACGGATGACATATAAGAATATAGATGTAAGCAAAAGAACATATTGGCGTATCAACATAAATAAAAGAATACAGTAGTACACACAAGCATACACCCAACCACACAGCAATAAAAACACAAAACATTGACACGATCAAGTAGAAACACACACACTCAAAGCATATGATTTAATGATGTCTTCTTGACTGGATAGTAAAGCAGTTCATGTTGTTACGTGTCTGCGCGTGTATGAGTCAAATGTGATATTTCGTCTGACCAACAGTCCAAAACCCAAAGATATTTAATTTGTTATTATACATGAAGAAAACGAGCAAATATTCATATTTAAGAAGCTGGAAACAGATATTTTTTTGGTAAATTTGATAAATCTATTATCAAAATTTCTGTTAATTTTCTATTCATGCACCAATCGAGTGATAGTTTCACATCTGACTGCAGCTACCTGCTGAATGATTGATGATTCCTTCACCGGGAGACTTGCTGATCTCTGTATCTTTCAGACGGAACAGTCAGGTGAAGTACAGGATACAGTGACCGTGACTCAGCATTTCGACATGAATTTGTGCCAGAGTCTGTTGGATGTGGTTATTGTCAGGCATCCGTCTGCTCATCCTGTTCATAATAAGGTGCAGCAAGAGCAAATCCCAGCAGCAAGATTCAGTCAAACTACGTCAATGACTAAAAACACAGACTCGTGCTTGGTTAATGCTCGCTGTAGTGACCCCGGTGCGAGGTGCACCTCTGAATTTTTGTAACTTGGCACCTGTTGCTCGCGCGCTGTCACAAATAGATTACTGATAAAAGCCCCATTAACATGTCTGAGGTTTTTACAAAGACGATCAATTTGACTTTTAAATGCTTTAGAAACAGGAGGTCTGAAAAATTCTACATTTGAGTAAATATTTTGCCACCCAAATTAAATTGTTTACAGGATATTCAACCTTTCAACCTTTGTTTCATTATAATACATTTAACACTTCTTTCTTGACAGGGATTGTGTAAAGGGGATAAAGTATCCCATGAATATGAGATATGAGTTTACAGTTCAATACAATTCCTCCTCGGTTGGTTTATGGCGTTTTGCAAATGCAGAAGAGAGAATAACTTCTGTCAGTCACGTGACGCTTTCATGGACAGATTAAGCTGAATTAAAGTCATCATAGCTTCATCGATGTTCTCCACTGAATGTCTTGTTATTAAAGAGAAGACGAGATGCCATATGATGATATGAGCGTGATATTGAAGCTAGAGATTCAACTAGTGGTTGTTTTCATTGCTGATTGATTTTGTCGACTATTCATTAGATACAAATTGGAATAAGTTTCCCAGAGGCTTCAAAATGTTTGGTATTTCCTTTAAACGGTCTACGGCCCAAAGATATTCATTTATATTGATGGAAAACAGAGAAAGCAGCAAATCCTCACATTTGATAAGTTGGAAGTTTTGCTTGCATTACAATAAATGATCCAAATTCTTCTCAGTTTACTTTCCTGTCAATCAATTAGCCGACTCGTTGTTTTTGCATACGATGAAGCTACAAGTGTTTGTTTTAAATGTGTCAAACCACAGATTGTTTCAATGTAGAGATTTAAGTTTCTTTTTAGTTTTATTTTATGTAAATTCAACATTTCAAACCAGCAACAGCACTGGACTAATTCATGTAGAAAAACAGTATTATGATCCAGTGGATGATCCCAGCACAAGTGCATATAAGTAGGTCATCATTTAATCATGGTATCAGGGTGTTGCAGGGGGGGGATTAAACATAGTTTAAATAACATGGTGTATGAAGAAAAGTAGAGAGAAAAGTATCTGATGTTTCAAGTAATTGCATTGTCGCACTCATTTGAACCTTTATACTTCAATATATTATATAACTTGTTGGAAAATGCTGAAGATTTCAGTCACAGTTTTATCTCAACAATCAAATGATTCATCTGTCTTAAGAAAAATACAACTTAACACAACAGTTGTGTAATAAACAGGATTCCACCTTTTTGAAGTTTAATATTTGATATATCACATATCGAATATACTTCTCTCATGCTATCTATATTGCTGTTTAAAGTTTTGTGGTGTGGGCGAGCATTATGTGTTGAATTTTGTGGGCTGCATACTGCTATAATGTGGTACGTGTTAGTGACTAAATGAATGCTGAATATATACATGATATATGATATTATTTTCTTATATCAGTGTATGTGTTGTCTGCTGACACATGTTCAAAAATAATAGCAGAATTCACATCAAAATCCTTTGGAGCTAAAGTGCATAATAACCTTTTACTGTGTTTGAAGAGCACACGTTAAGTTCATGACATTATCCTTTTTAAGTTTAACTGGGTTATAATTCTGTTAACATGCTGGTGTTTTGGTGAACAACTACAAAGAAACAGAGGTGGCGGACATTCATTTAGTTACTTTCTAAAGGTGTCAGAATCTGTTAATATATTTGGTGTTTTGACACGTGTTGTTGGACTGATTTCCATTTATATCCCCATTAAGAGCATTTTAGCAGCACTTTAACTTACTGTTAACTTTATGCTCAAAAGACTGACCCCTACATCTCATGTTTTATTTCCACAGGTGATCTCCTGCAGGGGACCGACAGCTCTCTCTAAGGTTTATGGAAACCTGACCATTGGCGGAGAAGGTGAGTTGTACCCGTTTGTGCCGTCTGTTCTCCCAAATCTTCCCGCTCGCTTGATCCTCAAGTTTCACAGGTACTCCAGACGGCCCACTAAGTGCTATTTAAGTACTTTTTGTATAATGTATAATGCTTTTCACACCACTTGAGGTAATTAATAGCTCTTTGTCAGTGGTGTTAATATTTCATGAGGGTGGTCCCATTTGTCACTGAGCTAACGGGAGGTCATTTTAGTTTCCCTTTTTAGACTTATATTAGATTTAATTATTAAATTCTTTATTTGGTTTACTCTGTACGTGATGAATATTACGCTACTGTAGTATTACATTTCAGCCTTCCAGCCACAGTCCATCGTAGCCACTGATCTGTAGTCTCTTTGGGTCGCATTAACATTTATACTCTCTTAGTAATTTGGGATTGTCTTCAGAGGAGGTAATCTCAGAATTTATCTTTATTCTCTCACTGGAGAGAATAGTAACTCACGAGGCAATATTGATTTCCTTGTTTGATATGTTTGTATTGTGTGTATTACGGCAGAACCTCACTGCAGCAGGGAGGTTAAGCAGCTGTTTGATGAGCACAGACTGTTGTTTTTGTATGAGAAGGCTCATCAGGTCTTCATGGAACAGTTCAGTAAGGCTTCTCCAGGGATCCTGTGCAGTTTGGACTGGAAGATGAAGCTGGGCCTGAGTTTATACTGCAGGTAAACTAAGTATGCTCAAAGGTTTAGCAGGAACTTAAAGAACATAATATCACCTGCAGCAATATTATACCCTCTCTGTCTTGTCCAGATATTATTTTGTGCTCTAATTACCTTTTGTCGTGTTAGTATAATGTTGCATTTTTGAGTTGCAGAAATGCCTTTTTTCTTCAGTTTTATTTTTTTAGATAACCATAAAATGTCTCATCAAATCGGGGGATTCTTAGTTTTTAGTCTTGCTATTTTAAAATGTTTAATTAAGGACAATATCTACCAATTTGATTCTGCGTTTTCACGATATCAACATGGCATTATTTAAGAATCACTTTAAGATATCACCGTTTAGTAAAGTTTAGTTCTCGAAGTCTATCAATTCATGATTTTCTTTTCGAGAAAGAAGAAATTAAGTATTTGAGGTGGTAATACAAAACATCTGTAATATTCTTATGTATTTTACAAAACGACAGCTCTAGAGAAGGAGGAACTTAGGTCTAGATCTAGATTTGCTGTTGCAGCACAGCAACAGTAATAGTGTTTAAATAGCAAGAAACCAAATATAACCTACCATTTTATTTTATCTATTTGTTATCTGTCAGACCCACTTTGCAGCATTGGCCTATAACCATTTTTAAAGTAGGATGTTCTAAATTCTAAAGTCAAATTTAGAGTTGTCCACCAGCTGGGGAGGTCGCCCAGGCTTGGTGGCTTGTTTATACCTCCAGGCTGGTTAGCCAATTCCTACATGGACACATTTACACCAGGCTTATTTATTTTTCTTCCTTCTTTATTTAACAACCGGCAGCACTAGTTTGGCTCCCGATTCGACGTATCCACCCATCACTCTGTAAGCCAAATTGGCTGTATCTGTTGTCACGACTGCCACAAATAAATACTACATGTGTGTGCCAATTCCAAGTGTGATGCAGTCTTGAGCTTTTGCTTTTTAGTGCTGAGTTGAGTCTTCAGCAGTCAGATTTGACTCTCGCCGTAAACAAGTCTCGGTCCGGTCTTGATTTTGGCAACTCAGATATGATTTCAAGTCTTCAGTCTCAGGCACACAGTCAGTTACTCTACCTAAATGACCTCTGGGTATAAATAGGGATGTAAGGTGATTATAGTCTGGACATTCAGTTGACAGATCTCTGGGCAACCTGGTTTTGTTGCAGGTATTCTCCTGTCAGGCTCTATGGATGGCAACGTCGGTTTTGTCCAGACATTCATGGTCTCCAGAGGATGATTGTTACTGACTTTGTTGATATAATGACTCTTCTCTTAGCACAACCATGAGGTTGACATCTGTGGTTTTTAAGTAAAATTACGATTAGACGGTGGATTACCTTGAAATTGAGTTCTTCTTCAGACTTTTTTCTTGTGTCATATTCAGGTCAAAATATCTATTTGCAAAATAATTTCTACGACCTGCAAAATTAATGACATTCCCATCAAGTCTCAGCTGTATGCTTAGTGCTAATTAGCTAATGTTAGCATGCTAACTGGCTAAAACTAGTGAACCTTTAGCCTTTTTTAATTTTATTGAAGTGAAATCCCCCTCCTCTCTTCCCTCTCCTGTAAAAACTAACCAAACGTGCATTTTTACCATCAAGAACATACATTTTCTAACTGGTTTTCAAAGTCAGTATGAAATTAATTCATTTTGCAGTTTCATGTCTCACGTTTACTTTGGAAAGAGAACCAAAGGCTGTTACTAACGAGCCTTGTCGCTGTGTTCTAAAAAAGGAAATTACATTTAAGGTCCGATGTTGATAGGGGCAGTAAACATTTAAAAACTGTTCATTATTTTTTAAACGAAAATATTAGCTGATTTTGTTGAACATATTTTGAGGTATGCAATGCATATCTCGTTCTCTTGTTAAAATAATCCGTAGCACTCATTCCGTTTCAACTCCCTCTCTCACTCCCTCCTTAAATTCACATACACACACGTACAGACGGTGCGTTTGAAGGCAGCCCATCAGTATTCAGTGCGGCGTCAGGCAGCTAAACGGTAAGGAGGAGGAAAGCTGGCGTGTTTGAAGAGCAGACTTTCCAGATTGACTGTTCATGTACTCCCTCCCTTCCTCTGCTCCCTCTTTCTGCTTGGATATTGGGAAAAACTGGACCGGAACCAGAGCCTACATCCTCTCAGCTCCATCTCACAGCCACTGCTGCATGTCTGCAGTTCATTCCTTCATCACCACCCATCACAATATGTCTGTTTCTCCCTCCCCCGCTCTGATCCGCCTCTATTGTCCGTCTCTCTCTCTCTCTCTCTGCCCTCCCCTGGACGTTTTTTAACCCTGTCTTGTGTCACCAGGAAGCTTGTGGCAAGAGGCCTGATAGTTACATAACGACTGCTGCAGCGCTCGGGACACTGTGTTAAATCACAACTCAGTCGCGACTGTGTGAGTGTTTGCTGCCTGTTGTAGAATGTATGTTTCCGCTCAGCAGCCAAATTTGTTGATGGATCCAGCCAGCATCCCTTCAATAGTTTCTTCCTCTCTGTCTGTTGGTCTCAGCCACCTTGGATCTCACTCTGTTTATCTGTGTGTGAAGACGGACTTTTGGTTTATATCCGGTTTATATCCTCACAAAATGTCTGGCATGGATGGTTGAACAGGATAGCTACATGTACAAATTCACATTACTCCAAGAAACGCATAGAACATAATGCGACAGTTTGTTTTTTCCAGAAATCATGGTTTGGTTGTCATATTGCTAAAGAAGACAAGTCTGCAGCCATGCGAGTGGCTCTGTGAGTCTGTACTTAGCCATGCGGTGATTCCAGCTGAATGCTAACAAGCTTACACTGACAATGCTAATGTTGATGTTTAGCAGGTATAGAGTTGACCATGTTCACAACATTTGCTGATTAGCACTAAACACAAAATACAGCTGGGGCAGATGGGAATTAGCTTTGCAAACAAGTTATTCTTTCAACTCATCCAGAGGGAAAGATTTATATATTTACAAAATGTCATGGCCATCTCATCCTGGAGTTTTTGAGACATTTCACTCAAATATCAACCTCATGATGGCGCTAGAGAACTGTAAAGTCCATAGTAGTCATCCTCTGGGGACCATGACCAAGGCAATTCATCAGGTAGTTTATGAGATATTTCAGTCCGGACCAAAGTGGTGGAGCGAGCAACCGAGTGACATTGCTATTCCTAGAGCCATGCCATCAGTGTGGCTAAAAAATGCAAAACTGACACTGAACATTAGCAGAGAAGATACCAGTCAGAGCCCACAGTGGCTGAACTCATCCAAAAATGACCCAGAAAGTAAGTTAATTAGCTCAAACCATTATTTCAGCCCTTCATTGGCAGCGTAGGACAGAATTTAGAAGTTTTTATCTACTCAGTCTTGTATCTGTGACTCTTGTCACTGAACTACATTTCTTTTCCAATGCTTTCCCAATCCAAAGGTTAATATTTCGTACTGATGGTTCAGACAGAGTTTCATGTCCATCCAAAAGGTGAAAATGCTCCAGTAACCGAAATTTGTCGAAGCAGATATTAAAGTCCCAGTGAAACAGAAGTTAGAGCATCTTTAGCTTCGGCACAGAGAGTGTTCGCCAGTGAAATGGAATATTTGAGCGGGAGGGATGGCAGGAAGGATTTAAATGAAATCCTTTGCACTTGATTGCACCACTAAAAAGTGGGCGGGCTTAGGATGTAGCGGCATCAAGCAGCAGCCTCTGGTTCTGAAAAGTGAAGCCAAAAACCCAAATGGCGACGGCCAAAATGCTGAATTCGAGGCTTCGTAGTGCCTCCGTCCACTTCTATGAGAACGATGCGGAGCTACAGATGACTGTGGCTCCACACACGCCTCTCTTGTTGCTAAAAGTTGAAGAAGATTGATTGATGGACGGTGTCATGTTATTGGTTGAAATTGGTTGGCACTAGCTAATCGAAGCAAAATCCATATTTTGTTTACAGAAAGAAAAGATGATTGGATTTTTTTGTAATTCTTTTGCACAACATGACTCGGAAAGTGATCTATAAGTGTTGAAAAGGCATTTTTAATTTCATCTTGACTTAAAGTAGAATGTTTACCTCTGGGTCCCTGGACAACTGAAACCTTATGACACCTCCTATTCACACACTGTCACTGGTGTTTACTTCTGACAGCTGCTTTGAAAATAAAATTTCTCCCATGAACTGAAATATTCTAAATAAACCTGAAAACAGCTATGCAGTCATAGAGTCATGCTTCAAGTTCTGTCTACATGGTGCCTAGTCTGCAATAATAGTTGTAAACAAGGTTAGAGAGACAGTGAATCATGTCCTTATGACTGTTGCTTATTGAATGATCTCGCTGAGGGACTAATTTAATTCTTGGTGTTTTACAGCCTCTTGTTGCTAATTAAAGAATATATTACAATTAAATTATGTATTTGCATTGTTTTTCAGAGGTGTTGCAGTAATTAAATTTACAGGAGCATAACTGCCTTTGGATAATAACCGATTTGAACTGACAAGTTTTGTCTCAGTAGTATCACTCAGTCAGTAGGTAAGACTCACTTTAGTTTGAGCCATTTCAGTCTTTAGCTCTGCTACCTGCGTGACTCTAGGCATGTTACATCATTTTAAACTGCTTAAAAAACAAGTTTCACTAGTTCCTGTTATTTTCTTTTCATTAAGTTGATTTGTACTAGCATTAAGCGTACCTAGTCTTTGTTAGCATTCAGTTAGCAACATGTACTCCATAAGCCCGTTTGTGCCAGGCCATTACTTCATTGGTGGTCCTTTTATTAACCCAGATGTTGGAGATTGAACCACAGTACAAAGTGTTTTATGGCTGTCAGATGACAGGCAGCATGCTCAATCCCTACCAGCTCCATATGACCTGTAGCTGACCATGACCTCTGACCTCCATGGGGGATGGAGAACATCTCCCTACAGAAATCATGCCTAATGTCCTCTTTGTTATTTACATCTCAATGCTGATGAATTAGTGTGTGGTCTGTTGTTCTGGGAGCTGAGCAATAGCACACCTGGCTAACACACACACACACACACAGTTACACAACATCGATATTTATTGGAAAAGGGCAACACACACACACACACACACACACAAGGAACAAATAACGAAGCAGAAACTTGTTTATTGTGCAGCCACCCAAAGCCCCTCTGGAGGCATTCATCATCAGATAGCTGAGTCATCCTGTTGGTTTGCTTGAAAATCATGACCCACACTGCTAGCCTGCGCAGGCACAGGCCTATTTGGACCAGATCTTATCGTTAAAATACCCGGCAGCTCATTAATAATGTCATTAGAAAATGTGTGTTTCATAATTTGCTGTTTTTTTTATTGTGAAGACATAAATATCTGATGGGCCTGATGCTAGAAACAGATTGAGAGTGGCATCTTGCAACAGATTATAAGAATCCCACCCACATGTATTAATTTTTGCAGTGGTGGGATGCAACTAAATGTACTCAAGTACAGTACTTAAGTGTGTGCTTGTGCTTAACGTTTTGTTTACATTGAGAATTTTCCTCACCATGCAAAACCACATCGGATTGGGCAGCATATTTATCTTCCTTGCTCGTATCAGTTTTCTACTTGTTTTGCTCAACGCAATGTTTCCTCATAGAAGAAAAATCTATATGTTTAAGTACAAGTCTGTTTCAGGGGCTGTCCCCTGTTGCCTATAGGCCAGTACGCTGATGGAGGAGAGAGAGAAGATGAGGGTTGTTTGTACCCCGTAAATTCTGTTGCAGACTCTCTATTTGGATCAACACATCAGACCACATTTGGCTCTCCTACTCTATGCCCCAGCGAGCAGCGAAGAGGGCTCACGGCACTACAGGTTCAGCTGATAAATACATCACAAGACCAGCCTCCTTCACTTCCCCTCTCTCGCTGTCTCTACTGCTCTGTCTTTCTTTTATTATCTAGCCCAGATTACTGCTTTTTTTGAATGAGTCTCTAATCTTCAGTATATATACCTCTCTATTCTGCACCCGCACGCCTGAAGTTCCCCTCTTGCGTGTGTGTGTGTGTTGCATTGACTCAAGGACATCCCACGAGTCGACTGCGGGCTGGACAGCTGACACTGCGTCACCCAACCAGCGTTCTTGCTGCTGTCTAAACCATCGGTCACATGGCCAGCTTAATGATGGCCACGGCTGTTGCGGCGTGTCTGAAGTCTGCACAAGGCAGCTCCGTCTCCTGGCAACATCCAACAGCCTGCTTATTCCGCGCTGCACCGAGAGATGAATCACATCTCTGTCCTGATGTGTTCAGCTGCCCTTCTGGCCCCGTTGGCTCTCTCTCTGTATTCCACCCGGGAACGGTCTTGGCTGTCTGAGCAGCGCCACGTTTCGTCCCGAGCTCTTGCTGCCTTCGTCCCTTCTCATCTCCCTCACCTGTCTCCTGTCACGTCCCTCCCGTGCCTCCATCTCAATCTTCATCTCGCCTACGCCTCCCCCTCCCCTTCTCCCGTTGTCTCGCTCGGTTTCTGTCTGTCAGCCTCTCCTCGCTCATATCTCAATGAAAGACCTCCCTCAGTCTTTCTCCTTGTGTGTCCTCAGTAGAGGAGGAGGACATGCTGCGCTTATCAAACAGAATCCACAGACAACCAGAATGCATCGTAAACCAACTGCAAACATCAACTGAAGGCTTTTATTGATTACTACTCAGAATGTTTGACATGCCACATTCATTTTTAAGTGCAGCCGTAGTTGATTTCTTTGATCACCTTACAGTACTAAAGAGAAAACGACAGCAAATCTTTTGAATCGCTGTTGTGCAATCAGTCAGGAGATAGCGAGTGCTTGCTAATGTGCTGGAGTAAAGTTAGTTCATCTCTCTGAAATCTTCTTACGGTAACAAGCTTACATGTTTGTTGTGGTTCCTTGTCAACACTGGAGCTTCTGACTGTGTCAGAAACATTTGTCTCGCATGGATCGGGAGGATTTGTTTGTTAATGTCCTTAAAGCATTCATGTCCATTGTGCAGGTACTTGTAGTATTTAGTTGAATTGTGCTGCTGTGAACTCTATGAAGTCACAGGAGGGCAGTTCTGTTTGTGCCGGCACCACCGCACAAACTCAAATGCATGTGTCCACATGCCGAAATGAACAAACAAATAGTGCAACATGTGTGTGCTGCTATCCTGCCAGTATATAGTGACATAATTAGTTTCATCTCCACATCACATTCCTCTCTCCACTTTTTGTCTCACTCGTCCTATCCGCTTCTTTGCTCGTCTTCCTAGCTAGCGCCCTCCCCCTCTAAAGCTATTCAAGTGGCACACTGCAGGATTATCCCTCAGCCTCTGAGACATGCTGGTTCGGTCAGACTTATCGTCTTCTCTGGGTTCCCTTTTGCCACAGAGGTCAAAGCTGCAAAAATAAAATTGGCAACACATTAACCATTCAAAGTACCAGCCATAAAGGACATCTGGACTACAAATTCTCACATCCACAAGGAGTCTTTTCAAGGAGTTGTTTGATTTCAAATCTCTGGATTGGTTTCTTTTGTTTTTTCAATGATGGACCCAACCGTGGTAAGTGAATGTGCAAAGGAGTGTTCAGTCACTTACAAATGTGCAAAGGTTAGTATTGTTGTATTTTGTCAGCTTCAGGCAACAATACCGCCTCTGCAATCACAACAGACTCCTGAAAGACTTTCAATTACAAATGGGATCGCTTTGACAGCAGCAAGTGTTGTGTTCAGTGAGTGGGTGGATCACAGTTCCAAGCTGAAAGATGCACCCAAATGGATAAATGTGTCTTGTACAGACCAGCTGTTACTTTTACAGTTTACTTATGTTTGCAGTATTTTGTTTCTTTGCATTACACACATTGTTTTGTCCGACTTATATGAAATTAGTTCAGCAAAAAGCTGAGTAATATTAGAAACAGTACTCCGACTTTATCATGACTTCCTCACCACTTACGACAGTGGAGAATGAGAGGTGTGTTCGCAGTCATTGAGGTGGATTGAACTCAATAATGATAAGTGTAAGCCCCTCTTCACAATGCTTACCACTCCTATCCTCCACCCTTACACACAACAATCTCCCACAATGGACCAAAACTAAGACTTGTGATCTGTGATGCGTTCTCTCTGTGTTGCTTAACCTAGTGAGCAAAGACTGATGGCTTCTATGTCCACACTGTCTTTGCACAAACTCAAAGCTTCTCCCGCTCTCATCCATCATCTTTTCACCTCTCATATCATCAACCATGCTGCAGAATTATTTTACCAAGCTCTAGTTTGGGATTAAGGAAACGTGTGGACCGCTAACTGGGAATCATCGTGTTGATCCAAATGCTTTCTCGACATCATCAGGTGTGTGAGTTTTGGTTAAACTAAGCCTCTGGATGCACAGGTTTGTGTTATGAGCTGGGATTCTGGCATTGTTCCAGAGGTTAACTGGCTTTGATGTCAGCAGGTGTTGTACTCACGAATGTAGAAGCTAATTGGAGAAGCGGGCTGATGGACTGGTAGAAGAACCAATGGGGTGTGTTTGTTGCTGAGATTAGGACCTGCCACTTTAGGGCCGCTTAGCTGCATGAGGTCTTGTTGCATCACATAGTCAAGTTTTTATATCATATGGGTTTCAGTGTGTTTTATGTCTTCCAACTAAACATTTTTTACCCATAACGTTTTGAGGAATTTGAGGATTTTTCATGTTAAGTAAATGCAAACGGATTATACGCAGGTCCCTAAAAAAAAAAAAGAGGAAACCAAGTAAGAGACAGTTTGTTTAAAGAGCCGCGGGACCCACTCATTAGGCAGCGGGTCCACCGTGTTGCTCCACCATATTCTTACAGAACCCCTGAACGGACAAACCGTACACTGGCTTTCGAGAGGGCCTTTTACGTTACCTAAAGGCCACCATAGTTGGTAATATGGTGAGGATGGCCTCTGAGGAAGGAACACGGCATTACCACAGTTTTGCACTTGGCTGCTCTCATCTTAGAAAGGAAGTAGTGAGTGAAGGGGTCTTTAGTTGGTTGCAATCTGCAACCTCACTGCGAGATGCCACCAAATCCTACACACTGTCCCTATAATAACAATTCTTCACCTTCACATATTGCAAATGGGTTTTATTATAAGCATATTATCGGTCCCTTGGATTACACATACTGTATGTATACTCTATATGGTACAAAACATAGAAGAGTAGTGTACAAAACGGGCTTCTTCTTTGCTGCTGACCCCAGTGCAACTGAAAGGCTCAAGTGGTCTCTGATTCAGACACTGACAGCTAAATTGTCAAATTATGAAATAGTTCTTTGGTTATTTTGTGTTGTGCCTTCTTGAAGTAGCCAGTGCCTGAAAGCCTCGACTGTTAGAAGCACCACAGATTGTTGTGATGGCTGGTGACACGAACCGAGGCCTTTGATAAAATACAGCTCGCCTTCATCGGTCACTGTTCCATAGAAACACTGAGTGAGCATCAATAAATTGCCTGTTCTGCAGCTGAAACCAGATCCAATCACACCGGGTGTGAACGCTCTCCCGATAGCATTTTTTGATGAGTGGACCCCGTGTGAGAAACACAAAGTGTGTTGCAGGAGCTGCGACTAGACACACTTTCCCTTCATAAGCTGACCTTGTAGTTTAAGGACTTCTATTTTTCTCACAAGGACAATTATGTTGTTACATTGTGTGTAAGGAAAGTGAGGTCAGCCCGATGCAAATTGAGCCTAACGCAGAGAGTCATTTTTCATGACTCATTCCAGGGATGAAGGATGTTGCAGGAATTAGGATGCACTTGACTGCAGAAGGAAGATGAGCGTTGAAGCACGGACGGCTCTGGTCATATTTGAACGAAATATTCCTTGTGCTGCAGCAGACTTCAGACTGCAGACTCAGCTCTGACATGGCCACGAGTCATCCTTGATCATTGACCTCTATCTAGCACGCTTAACTAACAATTAATTTGCGTTGTGCGTATTGGAATTAATCAATTGTTGCACTGTGCTCTTAATGACATCTATCAAAAGTTGTTATCGTTTTAATTAAAAGCTATAATAAAGTTGTACACTGTAGGGCCATGTGCAGAAGTAGATAATAACCAAAATCCACTTGAAACAATGTCAGATCAGGTAACATTATCAACAGAAAGTCTGTCATTATTATGAGGCACATGCAACGTATTGTATTGGTTGCTTCAAGAGCTCTCTCTCAAGGGTAAGCCATTAGTCATGTGAGCAAAATGGATTAGGCTTCAAAAAGAGTTCAATATGGATAAAGCGCCTCGCAGTCTCTACTGTTTGAACCATGGTGGTAAGATATCGACCAGACGTCAAACAAACAAATATTAATCACCTTTAACGCTGGAGGAACTGTATTCTGTCGGGTTTACAGAGTAATAGGTGATTAAACCACATCATTAAAGGACATATAGGTCTGCTCATCTTGTATTCGTTTATTTGTTTCTATTCTATTTTAGGGTTTCACAATTATTTTTATTTGTCTTCAAATTAATCAGAAAAATTCGAAATTTAGGAGGAAATTGTCTATTTTTGGGGTTATTTAAAAAAAAGAATAAAGATTTTTACAGAAACAACAAAAGTAGTGCAATATAAACAAAGACAAAGGACAAAGATGATGCTTAAAACATACCATATATACTGTACACATGCAAAATAGTCAAAACAGACCGGATATAGTAATAATGGTATTATAATAACAGTAATGGTGGCAATGACACAATTTTGTGTTTGCATACAAAGTGCATTCTGGGCTGCTATACACAGTGTAGCATGTGTGTGTTCCAGATTTCTCTCAGATGTAATGTGTCAGAAGAATGAGTTGACGTGATGCTCCACTCTCTCTGGTATCGTTTCTAGGACACGCCAGTATAAGTTGCCCCCTCTCGTTCCTCAGGGCACCGCGCTGGATGCATGGCGGAGGAGACTATTTTTGTCTCATTATTATAAATGTCTCAAATAGAAACCATCACACTGGAAGGTCTCCTAGTTGCCATGAAAGGTTACTGCATTGCTTCTCCTCACTGTTACACAGCTTGGCCGTCTAAGTCTGCTCAATCACGTCGCTTGCACTTCTTTTTTCCTGTATTTGTGTCATGTAATGTCACATTATTGTTTTTTCTCTTTGTGCCTTTCAGTGCATGAGGAACCCAGCTCGGCTGCAGAGGACAGGTTTAGTCATTAGAGTGCTTTGCCACATCCAGGAAAATGTCTGGCTCCTACGATGAATGTGCAGTTGCTGACGACACCATGGACAGCTTCTGGGAGGTAAAGATCAAACCGTCACGTGTGTTATGAAGGGTTTTCAACCCGCAACCCCAAGCCCGTACCCGCCTCTTTGTCTTGTATTCATGTGACTTCTGAAGCCCTAAAGAGTCACTGCTGAAATCATTACCATGAGATTGGTGTCAACAAGTTTTTACAGGAAAATTAGAGAGAAGTTGTAGCTGTTCGATACCCACTGAGGCTCAACGCAGAGGGTCACTCTACCAGGGCATTCAAAAAATGATGCATGGTCTTACGCTTAAAAGCAAAAGCGGTCTTGCCGCGAGTAAGATCTGCCTTGTTTTAAACACTTTTAGCTATGCTACACTAAGCAGCTTCATATTTATCAGACACATATGAGAGTTGTATCAATTTTCTCATCCTACCATTGGGAAGGGTATTTCCAAAAATATCGAAATATTGCTTTAAATTGAGGGCTTCTTCAAAGTGACCTGATTAAGAATTCCTCCTTAATCTCATTAAGCAGAACTGCAGCTAAAATGTTTCATCACAGGGTACATCTCAACAAATGAATAAACACAACACGACAAATATAATCATCATACAAGTTCAATCCATCCTCACTTGCCTCACGTGCTGCAATGCGGTGTGTGTGTGTGTGTGTGTGTGTGTGTGTGTGTGGGGGGGGGGGGGGGTGTATACTTTTTTACCCGCACCAAAGTAGCGTTAATGAATTCCCTCAATACAGAGTCTTCTTTGTATCATGGCTCTTACCCACAGAGGCAAAGACAAAGAGCCTCAGTCATCAGTCGCTCTGAGGCGGCCTTTCACCACATGCACCTGCCTATAGCCTCAGTATACTAGCAACACAGCTCGGGTCAGCTCACGGTTTATAAATGCCACGAAAAAAAACATTATCCCCAGGTTTTGTCATCAGACATGTTGATATTTGACACAGCTGGGCAGTGAAGCACTAATCAAACTCAATATATATCCCTAATATAATCACCACACTGCACAAATACGAGAGCTCAAGTGTGTTTTCATATGTAGAACGAGTCCACCTGCGTGTTGTTGTTGGTGTGACTTTACAATCTGTCACACAGGCCAAAGCTCATACTGTCGCACACCTGTCTCACTGTTGCACACCTGTCTCACTGCGTCCCTGCAGCTCTCTCATCTCAAACAGTATGAGCACACATGCATGCTCGTGTCAGGACCAATCACAGTGCAGCGCTGCAGACAGCCTCTCCACGTGTTATGCGTTTGATGATGTATGTGCATGACTGTATGTATTTGCATCATAAACACATGGACTCTGTGGTTTCTATGTATTTTGGTCTCTGCGTCGACGTCTACCGCTGAGAATCTGTGTTCCTGCATTAGACCACTCAAGAGGATTAAAGCACTCACACACGCATTTACACATAAACACAAGCCCATGCCATTGCATAACTACACATGCACAGGCACGAGCATCCCCCACCCCCTCCTCGCTCCCTTCATCATGCACCATGAGCTCACGCCCCCTGCAGGCACTGAGGAGGCGGAGCCACGTGGCCTGGCACTGCACTTTTAAGGCGGTATCGCTTAAGGTGGCGAGATCTAAAAGCAAAAGGCAGTAAAATTATTTTGGCAGACGGTAACTCTGAATACTGGTATGTCTCACTGAGTAGGATGACAAAAAAAAGAAAATGAAGAGATATGCTGGTTTTAACATGCATTATAGGGTGACGAGACACACACACACACGTAACTCAGCCAGTGCACAACAAATACAAGTAAAGTTAATGCCTCTGTATGAGGAACCATTCATAACTCTACAGCTAAATAATATATATATATATATATATATGACACAATCGCCTATTAGCTTGTTTGAGGTATTTTCCTATAACTACTACATTTAATACCAACACATGACTCCCAATACTGTGTTGGTTTGTGTCATACTGTACACACAGAAATCATATTCATAAACCTACTATCTTTCCAGTTAATAAACTGTTGTTAAAGCTGCTGATTTGGTAACTTCAATTCACATTTTGTCATATTTGCTCAAACTGTCACTACATCCTAACAGTAGAACATGAGACAGATAATCTGTGGAATTGTTAGGTTCCTCTGCCTCCTTTGAGGTCTCCTAATGACATTTGCAAGATTCTACTGCACCCGAAGAACAGCAACCAATCAGAGCCGAGGAGTCTCTCACGCAGCTGCCAATCACTGCTCCGATCAGACAAGCTAGACAGTGCTGATCAAAAATAAATCGACTCTGTTCCTGCATTGCCTATTTAACAAATGGGGAATCGTCCCCCATTTTACCATATAGAAGCATATTATCTTATATATAAAAAGATATAAAAATACAATTTTCATCATTTTCTTTTGTATATTTTGATGTAGACATCATGTTCTAATTGATTTTCTTCTGTGACATATGTGAAGACAGATCTGCTTTCTGTTCCTTTAACCTATCTGTTCCTGTGTTCTGCAGGTAGGGAACTACAAACGTGCTGTCAAGAGAGTTGATGACGGCCATCGGCTCTGCAATGACGTCATGGGCTGCCTGCAGGAGCGTGCCAAGATAGAAAAAGCTTATGGTGATCAGCTAACTGCATGGTCCAAGAGATGGAGACAGCTCATTGAGAAAGGTCAGCAAGCGGGATGGGGTCAATAAAAATGAATAGCTCAACAAATGAACGGACTTCACGCTGTCTTTCAATTTGCCAACGCTCCGTTTACACAGTTTGCTGTTTGCTCTCTGCTAATATTTGGCTGCATGTTATTGCGCTAAATATTTTATCTGGGATGAATAATTTTGTCGTCCCCCCCCCCCAGGCCCACAGTACGGCTCTGTGGAGAGAGCCTGGCTGGCTGTGATGACCGAGGCAGAGAAGGTGAGTGAGCTGCACCAAGATGTGAAGAACAACCTGACGAACGAGGACGTCGAGAAAGTGAAGAACTGGCAGAAGGAAGCCTATCACAAGCAAATGATCGGAGGCTTCAAAGAGGCCAAGGAGGCGGATGAAGGCTTCAAGAAGGCTCAGAAACCGTGGGCCAAAAAGCTCAAGGAGGTGAGGGGGATGGAGACAAATGTATACGGCTCATCATCTTTGTCTTTGGTGTAACAGAACAATTCATATTCATTTAATACAAATGAGCTGCTCTCGGGTTCGTTCCTGCTCTCACCTCGCGCTTGTGATGTTGTTCTGTGTCACGCCAACATTCATTCACTCATCTTTCACTCTCTCCACTATTTAAAACCTTTGACTAACCTCTGTTAGTCATTGATTTTAAGTGCCAGGCCCACAAATTTACTGTTTGGTTCTCTCTCACCGCTTTCATAGTTTCATTTTCTGCCACAGTAGGCAGCTCTAATAAACCAGCTTGGCAGCAAACTGCTGACGGACTCCGTTAGAGACTATAGCGGGTCAACATAGTGGAATATTTAGCAGCTAAAGAGACAGATATTTCCCTCAGGAGTTAGTGGAGACCAAAAAGAGAGTGAATGTTGGACTTACATGCATCAGGTGGACACGAACACGACTTCAAATAAACGATAATGTTGCTCCGTAACTGCTGGATGTGTAAATAAGCAACTGTTTTCTAACAAGTTGACCATATCAACTTAGAAGGTGTTAATATGTCAACGCTGTGCTCCCAACTTGTTTCCACTGCCCTTAAGTGGACTAAATGTTATTTATTGACATTTTATGTGGATGTCCAATCAGTGCTGGTGGTAAATGTGTCCACTGAACTTTTTCATGTATTTGGTTTAGTCAAAAGTCATGTGAAACTGCACTATTAGGCTATCTTGGCTCAATTGTTGAGTGTCTGTGGGTCCATGCTGTGTCTGAAGGGAGGCCCTGTTGAGGCCAATCCTTGAGTTTCTCCATGACAAAGTCTGTGGCTGCACCCATGGTGGTTTCACTGGCACGTTTCCAGATTCACAGCTCTGAGAGCTACGTTTGAACAAACTTCACAGTCTAAAACCATTAAATAAACAGTGTTTAAGGTTGTTTGGGTCCGTTGCTTTAGGCCTGGACCTGGAAGATATGAGAGGACTCGGAGCATATGAGACCCTGACTGATCTAAACTCTGACTGGGTTTTTTGACTCTACATGGAAAACTTACAGTATTGTATTTGTACTTTTGTTGTTGTTGTTGTTTTATTAACCATAAGTAGCAAAATATGACTCTGGTCGTGGATACAAGGACATAATAACGTCTATGCAGTTTTAGACACTGATCACATTAAGATCTGTTATCGTGTCTGGGCAAGGTGGTCAGTCCTACTTTGAGATGAGTTGATGTGACTTCCTTCGGTCACATTAGATAATGTATGTGAGATATAATGCCTGCTGTGTTTGGACAAACAGATGGAGGCAGCTAAGAAGACATATCACATGGCCTGCAAGGAGGAGAAGCTGGCTGCAGCCCGCGAGGCCAACGGCAAGACTGAGGCTTCTGTCACAGCAGACCAGCAGAAGAAACTCCACGAGAAAGTGGACAAATGCAAACAGGATGTGCAGAAGGTGAGAACGAGGCCGTGAAAAAAAAAAACAAGAGAAGACAGTTAAAGTCCTTTTAGTTTTATTTAGTTTGAGGAGAGTAAAAAACATAGATGTGAAAAAACACGTAAATACACACAATCACATGCAAATAAAACATTTTCAGACTGGTCAGTAGATCCAAGACATGTTTCTATGCAAACTCACAGAAAAGCATCATGTTTACTTACCTTGCTGGTCAAGACTTGTTCTCACGGCAGCTTTAAATTAGTGACCTGTCAGGGTTTTAAATGGCTATCAATCAGGCTAATTGATCAGGTCATTTTCACATACTCTTATTCAAATAAACAGCGTACGGTGTTTTGTTGTGATGGATGCATGCAGTGTACAGGCAATCGTGTTTCGGTTATAGGAACAGATATTTAGTTGTACGACATTGTCACAGCGCCACGATAAACCCCTTTTTGAAGATGAGTTGTAGTGCAACCTCGGAGGAACATTTAAACTAAACCACGCCGGCTTCTTTTCCACAGAGGCTTCAGTTATCAGCGTGTTTTCTGTTTTCTGTCTCAGGCTAAAGAAAAGTATGAGAAGTCTCTGGAGGAGCTGAATAAGTGCACCCCGCAGTACATGGAGTGCATGGAGCAGGTGTTTGACCAGTGCCAGCAGCATGAAGTCAGGAGGCTGACCTTCCTCAAGGAGGCCTTGCTGGACATCAAACGCCATCTCAACCTCACCGAGAACCAAAGGTTAGCCGGGCGAAAGGGACACAGCTTTACTGAAGTGTTATAGAGCTGCAGTTTTGAGATCATGGACTGTGTTTTCTCCAACACATGATTTAGTACCACACTGTGTGAGAGGTAAAACAGACACATGTATTGATCATTATGTTCTGCTATGTGTATATTACTCTGTTTTATCTCTGTATGCTTCTTGCTACAGCATTAATTCCCTGCAGTGTAGTTCATCTATCTTTCTATTATTCCCCCTCAATCCAATGTAAATTCAGTTAGTTCATAGTTATGTATGCAACGTGGGCAGAGAACTCTTTGAGCATGATTGCATACTCTACCTTTTACTTTTAATCAGAAATGATCACATTGCAAACACATTTTAGAACAGATTAGTTTGATTTGTTTTGTCACATTCAGCACAGTTCGCTTCAAATTGATTAATATCAACACGCTTCTCAACCAGGCATGCATTTCTCATTAGCGGTCACACTCACAGCACTAATTAATTGATTATCCAGTCAATGACGTTTCTGCCAAACTGAATTTGAATTGAAGTCGAATGCTTGTCATATTCTGGGTCGTTTATAACCTGTGTGCAACAACAAAGCCGGGACCCACAGCAAAGTGGTTTTCAGGGTCTTTCATCAAACCTGCCTGTGGTTGCCATGCGTGATTCAAGCCCGTTGCTGTTTAGAGGATTGCGATGTAGTTTATCCCGATTGTTCATCGTTCACACTTTACTACTCACGACCTCACCTGTGTTGCCCTGAACAGCTGGTTTTTGGGGAAGAAAACATGCGATAGCTGGGTTTCAACTGCTATTGTGTTTGTCCATAATGCGCTACAGAAAATGTGATATGCATTATCATTTTATGTAGTTTCCATTATATTAATCACTGAATATCCCTCTCTCTCTCTCTCTCTCTCTCTCTCTCGCTTTCTTTCTTTTTATATATATATAACATTATTTTACATTTTTCGCTTTTTATTGTGCAACTGGGTGTTTTCTCAGAAGTTCTTTCCCGATTCCACTTATAAGAAGACGCACACATTGACACTCAGACACTGGCTGCTTTAGTTTGATGAACTAAAGTCATTATCATAAAAAAGTACCGTATAGTATGTGTGTGTATTTTGGGGGGATTTGGTATGATCATCATCACCACCGAGTAACTGAAGTCAATATTGTTTTGGCTTGAATTTAAGTTAAACAGTTAACAATTAGAAGAGGCATTTGTTGGACTTGCAGATGACATTATCTTATCGCCTCTTACAAAATATCATACACTCATCTTTCCAAAATCTAGTTATGAAAATAAAACATTCTGTTTTTGTGCTGAGTGATTCGATCCAACACAGCATCCATTTATTTAATGTTCCATCTTTGGAAAGAAAAAAACACTTGGGGCACGTTTGTGCCTAATTTGACCAGAGACTGTATGTAGATAAATATTTTCTTATTGCATTAATGTGGAAAACCTAGACAGGTTTATCATGTGAAATAAGTAATACAACTACACGGTTTTAATCTCTTACACATTGCAGAGATTTGGGGAAACTGCAGCAATATAAACAATAATATCCTTGTAAGAGATTATCAGGATTATTCAGGCCAAATACTTCAGCTGCTGAGGGCTTCGGCAGAAAACTCAGGGAGACACTTCAGTCTTGTCATGGCCTAATGTTGGAACTCGCTCAACCCAGAATTTGAACTACATTGTGGGTTCTGTCGCCAAGTTGGCAGCAGACCCCGAGTTCTCTTCTGGCACTTTTCTGCCTCACTATTTGTTCCATTTTCCTCCTCTCCTCAGCTATTCCACAATATACAGAGATCTGGAGCGCACCGTCCTGTCGTCAAACACACAAGAGGATCTGAAGTGGTTCAGCAACAACCACGGTCCTGGGATGCATATGAACTGGCCTGCTTTTGAGGTGCAATGTTAAACCTTCATACTCAAACAGTAGACGCCTCTCTTCTTTATTTACTATATTCCGCTTTCATGTGTTTCCTTTCACTCTAATCTCCAGGAATACAACCCAGACCAGGCTGCTGCTCCCCCAAAGAAGAAGAAACCAGACGGAGCCCCACCCACCCCGAGCACCGACCATGTGGCTCCACCTGGTGACCGTAGCAGGTTAGTAATCTATTGTTTACAAGCACATTGCAAAGCACACTCATTAAAATACATGGACTAAACTCATATTTCTTTTCGTCAAATACATTTTTTGAAGGATAAGATGGGTAATATTAGTGTTTGTGTCAACAACTCTCATGAAAAGACCAAAACTATCAAGTTTTAGCCTCGTCTCAATACGCACTGACTACAGCTCCCACTCCCAAGCCCATTGGTCCTTTCTGTACACACATCTTTAAAAATGGGTCACAAATTCATACTTTCACGTTTTTACATAGCTAAATCATTTCCTGAAACAGACCGGCTGTAGTTTTTAGTTAATGTTACTCAAACAGGAGTAAATTGTGTATTTGTTGGCAACTATGTTCAGCTGCAGATTTTGGATGTTAGTGAGTATTTACAGCAGCAGGATGGTGTACGTGGGAACAATTCTAAATAAACTACAGTGCCCATGTTTATCATAAAGAAGGAAAACATCTCCCGGTGCTGTTAATGTGTTTTTAATTGTTTTTTAACCATTTGAATCTGCAGCACAGAGAAATAAGCTACACAGACGATATGTGTTGGTTTGGACCTTTTTGTGGGATTTGTTGACAATTTGTTGACTTTTGAAAATACTTTTGTTATTGACTCACCCTGCATTTCCTCTATTCTCCAGTGTGAGCAGCTATGAAAAAAACCAAGCTTACTCGACTGAGTGGTCCGATGATGAGCAGCCCGCTACGCACTCTGGCAACGAAAACGGCGGGAACGGCAATTCTTTTGAAGAAGATTCCAGCACTGGGAAAGCCGTCCGTGTCCGAGCTCTCTATGATTATGAAGGCCAGGAGCAGGATGAGCTCACCTTCAAAGCAGGTATTTGTCAGTGACCAGATGACACAGGAGATATGATTTACCATCATACAGTTCATGTTTTCTCATTCATTTATGAACGTATTAATGTTTATAAACGGGCTGGAACGCTGTAGTTTAATCATAAGATGACAAGCTGTGGCATCAACCAGGTGGTCAACAATCACCAGCTCTCTCCTGGTTTCTGTTCTAAAGCTCACTTCCTCTATAGAATAGATAGCAGTGGTTAGTCAATAATTGCCACATGGAAAACAAATTACAGGCACTTGCCACCAATTAACACAAGCTCTTTGGGAAATGGTGTTAAAACATGCTTTAGAGCCCAACACGGCGACATGACTTAACGATTTAACAGCAAGCTTTACTCAGAAAAGCTACTGATGAAGCCACACCTCTGCATCTTCATCATCCTCTTGTTCTGCACATCCAGGTCCTATCTTGAAGCACACAGTTTGAGATGAGGTGTTTTTAAGTCCTCACATGGATATCTGGCAATGACTAAAGGGTCTTTAAAGACGGTTAATACCTACATGCAAATTCTTTCTGTCTAAAAAAAGAAAAAAGTTGCCCTGTGGACATTTTGTAAACAAAGTTACTATTTACAATAAGTGTTACTCACCAAAACTCATTGTGTGTGTCTTTCTTACTACTACTACTACTACTAGTAGCTAGCTACTTCAGTGAAATAGTGTAAAAGCATTAAATTGTATCGAAGCACAGATGTGCACAGTTGTGCGCTCATGAAAACATTGTTCCATAATGCCACTGGTGGTCAGAAGCTCCACGGGGCACCTTTAACTTACTTTGCCTTTACTGTGGGGTGAAACTTTCTTCGCGCTACCTTATCAAATTCATTTCAATGAAATTCATTAGATAAAAAAAATGTATTGACAGAAAACTTGATCTTTAAATTTGGATACTTTTAAAGGGCCAGTGTGTAGCATCTATAGGGATCTATTGGTAGAAATGTAATATGATATTAATAAGGATGTTTTCTTTATTCACTGTAAATAGGAATCACTGTGTTTCGTTACCCCAGAATGAGACGTTTATATCTACAGAGCGGGTCCTCCTCACGGAGTCCACTGTGTTGCACTGTCACGTTGCAACGGTAGCTCAGAACGGACAAACCAAACACTGGCTCTAGATACGGCTTTTCACGTTTTTGCATTGGTCACCGTAGTTCTCGCACAGTCAGATTGGAGTTGGTTGCAATCTGCAACCTCACCACTAGAAGCCGCCAAATCCTAAACACTGGTCCTTTAAACCAACAAGAACAAAAACACAAATTCTTTATTCCCCTATCACGGTTTTAATCCTAGCAGTGTGGAGAAGACTTTGAAGCCGTAGAAAGAAGTGAAAGTGTAAGACAAGTTGTTCCATCTGGGGTTACGTGTCAAACGGTTTCTTGGAATATAAGAAACATAAGCTAACTTTTTACATTTTAATATTTACTGTACAGGCACGAAAAACCATATGGACTTTCTCATCTAACCCTCCCAACAATTTCCTTTAAGTGGGTAGATAACAAAAATATTTGTCAAATATTTCTGGGACTGAGGGACACTTGAATTCCGATACAGTACAAAAACAGACATCAAAAAGTATTACAAAAGACCTCGAGTGCATTAATCAGAATAAAGGTGGAGCTTTAATTTACAGATACCTTCATTTTTCGATTTACATTCACTATTTGACAAAAGACTGCGTGTGCATTAAGGAGTGGTGTCTCCTTCACAGGTGATGAACTGACCAAGACTGAGGATGAAGACGAGCAAGGCTGGTGTAGAGGTCGCTTGGACACTGGCCGAGAGGGACTGTACCCGGCCAATTATGTCGAGCCGATCTAGTCACGTTTCTGGACAAGGACACGCCATTGGAGGAAGCTTGAACTGTCCCGTACAATTGCATCGCACATAGCCAGAGACTTAAGAGCAACACATCCCTTGCCCAACAGATGCGCCAAGCAGTCTTGCCTAAATAAAAACTTAGTAACCTAAAAGACAATATATCAATATAATATATTTTATCCAGCATTTGGGGTGGGTGGACTTACACATTTAAAAACAGGAGCAGCAGTTACTCCAGTATATACACACTCAACTATAACATCAAGACAGTGCAGGAACACATTGCTTCTCTGTGTAGCTGTATTTAACATATAATGCAGCTTATTTAAACTTGCAGTATACTGCAGTCTGTTCTCTTGTGAATATGGGAAGATAATATAACCAGTTATGCCCTTTCGACAAAGACGAGCTTCTCTAACCTGCATTGTGTATATACGGTGTGATGCCATTTCTGTGTAGCATTTTGAATGCTGTGTTGTGGTCAGTCGTCATCCTTACATCTGGAATGCTGTGTAGTGTTAAAATGTACCACAAACAGTATGCTCTTTTTATTTTCTTCGTTTTTTTGTTTTTCTTTGTGATTTGGTCCAACCTCTTCTCCAGTGTGTGCAGTGCTATGTGTTTTTAACTGTTTCTCAAGTTTGCATAGCAGCATGTGCTATGCAAAAAAAAAAAAAAAAAAAAAACAACTTGCATTCCTTGAATCCTGCAGCCTCGTTTAGGCGACAACTTGATGCAACACTTCAACTACAAAATGCAGAGTTCATTGATAAGCATCACATTCTTCTGGACATGCTTCTGTTTTCATGAAAGGAAGCTTGTCGATGAACTGATTTTGTTTCTTTTTTGACATATTTCTTTTCTTAGCATCACAGACCCGTTGACAGTATCATCTCCATGCAACCCAAGGAAAGGATATACAGTTTCTGCAGAGGCTTTCATTCTTGGTTCAGTAATCCTGGTCTCATTTTAATCCACTACTGCAAACACGAGTGATACATTCCCTCAGAGCAAAGTGGGATCAAGTCATCTTCTTGGGGTTGCCACTGCAGTATAAGAGGTTGGTTCTGAACATTGCCTGTGTTGGGCACTTTTCTTCCAGAGCAAGGGGCCAATGGAGGCAGACGGTTGTCTGAAGATCGAAGCCTCTTCAACAGGACATGAATGTACTAGTGTCTGAGCTCGAAAGAGGGCGTGTTGTCTAAACACGTCATTTAATGCCCTACCTAGCAAAAATCACTAGTTATGTGGCCCGTCTCCCTGCTGAGCCAAAAAATGACCCAATACCATCAACTATCTGTTTTCTCTCCATGCAATAACTTCACATATCACATGTGAAAAAGCTTCAGTGAGGATCAACTTGTAGCTGCCTCCCAGTCCACCCAAACTTCATTTGTCTGCAAAACACAGCGCAATGACACAGGGAATACATTTGTCCCCAGTGCTGCACCTGCATGTAAGATGACTCGCACACAGTGCATTACATGGTCATTTTTAAACTTAATATGTAGAAATTAAATTCATAGCAGGAATTCATCAGATGTTGATTAGTGAGTTATCTTGCTACGAGTTGCATCTAAATCTCTGATTAGATGGAACCGATGCTTTTTATAACTTAGTTGTCCGGAAGTTTTAAAATGTCACTGGACCAACAGCAGTCAGATGTGTTTAGCTCCGTGTCTGGAACAGCATTTGACAGGTTTGGATCTCACACATGAGGAGAAACACATCACCAGCTCACAAGTTGTGTCTTAGAGTAAAGCTGTCCAGCATAGCAAAAAGGACTACTATCATTAAACTGTCCCACTTCCTTGACGTGCGTATGCACACACACACACACACACACAGATATATACTTACAAATATATATATATATATACACATGCATTAAACACACAAGTTCAAACACATAATCCACATTACCAGGTTAATATTTTTGGGGAAAACATCATCCAGTGTGTATGAGTTGTGTAAATGTAACAGAAAAAAAAAGTAACAAAAAAAATGCAAGTGATTGACTATTAAGACAAAATGTAGTGTTATACATGTAAATGTGATTCATTAAAATAACAGCAATGGAAAACATATTAACTAATGGGTACCATATCGTATGAATTTCATTGCAATGGAATTGTCAGTGTATCATAAAAGCGTGACGTTATCCCACGCTGTCAGATTTGTATATGATGATGTAATTTAAAGATTATATTCTATTGTAACTGTACAACTGTGTTGAGTTGAAAAATGAGACCTGACCATGTTGAGGCAGTAAAAAGGTGTACATGTAAATGCTTTTTTATGTTGATCTCTTCCTTATGCACACAGGGGACAGCAGCTCATGTTGTGGAAACCCTATATTAGCGGTCTAGAAGATGTATGTTCATAGTTAGTGATGTACTTTTATCTCCTAACTGGTGTAGTGCCTGTTCATCTTGATGTAACAAGAAGTTCATTTAAATATGCATAAAGATGATTATGATCACAGATAATAATGATGATGGTGATGAAAAACCCGACTCAAATTTGTTGTGATGGTGTCAATATTGCGATATTGGTTTGAAAGGGGAAACAAGCGTCCGTGTGTTTTTTGTATGGACTCGGCATGCGATTTATACTATTCATTTTTTTCTACTTTTAAAAAAAGACAGCATTTGGTAATATATTTCTTTATTCTGGATCCTGAACATAATCCCAAAGATATAAATGTAAAAAGGATTATCCATCAAGGCTGGTTTAAAGATATTCACTTTGCATTGCTCTGCAACTTTTGACTTCTGACACTTGAATGGGAATATGAATAAGTGCCCATGTTTAAAAAATAGAATTTAAAGGAATAGTGACAATTTTGGGGGAATTATGCTCGTTCGCTTTCTTGCCAAGAGTTAGTTGATACCCCACAATGTTAGATATGTAGCTGGAGCTAGCAGCTGGTTAGCTTAGATTAGCTTAGCACAAAGACTGGAGCCTTGCTCTTTCCAAAGAGATCAAAACTCACCTATCAGCACCCCTGAAGCTCTTTATAGAGGCTTTAGAGGTGCTCATATGTAGATTTATTTTTTTAAAACCTTTGGACAAAGCTGGCTAGCTGTTTCCAGTCTTTATGCCAAGCTACGCTAGCCGATGGCTGGCTCCAGCTGCACAAGTACTCTGCGGAAATGAGAGCAAACATCAATCCCCTCATCTAATTTTCAACAATAAAAGTAAATTATTATTTCTTTCAAATGTTTTCCATAGTAAGAAGAAAGATCCTTTTGAGAAATCAAACATCACACCAAAAAAATACATTTCAAACAAGAGTGATAAAGACCAAATCAAATCATTGTTAAGAATAATAAAGTAGAGTGATGATAGGCAGGAGTGCATAGTTCAGTAGGCAGTCTTTACAATTGAAATGAAACATTAGAATGAACAAACAGGCTTCAGAGTTCATGTCACTCCGACTGTATGTCCAGTATATATCTTCCTCCTCAGCTCGTTGTCTTCAGATCAGCCGATCCTCTTCATCATACGGGGTTGACGAACTGATAGACCAGTCTGCGTGATACATCAGGCTTTCGAATGATGCCTTTCTTGTAGTACTGGCGTATAGAGCGGCTCAGTTTGTCATAGTTCATAGCTGGGCGGTTCTTCCTGATGCCCCATAGCCTGGCTACAAGAGCCGAGTCTTCTATTTTGAAAATCCCTTTGAACAGAAGAAATAAAGATGTACTTGGTTTGATTTATTTAAGTGAACAAGAGAGTCAATATTTTGGGAAGTAAGCTTATTTACTTTCTTGCCAAGACTTAGATGAGCCGATCGATACCACTCTCATGTCTGTATGCTACATATGAAGCTACAGCCAGGAGACTGTTAGCTTAGCTTAGCATCAAAGAGTGGAAACACTGTGGAAACAGCTAACAGGCTCTTTCCAAAGGTAGGAAAATCTGCCTACCCACACCTCTAAAACTCCCTAATTTACACAATATATCTTGTTTGTTTAATCCGTCGACACCCAAGCATTAAAACGACAAGTTGTGGTTTTAGGACGGGTTCTGTGCCAAACAAGAGGCAACCTCCAATGAAATGACGCCAACGCTGAAGTGCAGAAAACTGCAGTTCCTCAAATGGCCACTTGAGGCATGGTTCCAAAAGCGAGTCAATCCCCATAGACCGTTATGTTAAAATGGCCAACTTTACAGCAGAAATTAACACCATATATTGCTGTATCACCTTACCTTTCTCTCTGTTAATCCAGCGGATGCAACGGCTGTAGTTATGAGGCTTGAGGAGCAGCTCTCGGAGGAACTGCCACAGGTGGATGGGCTGGCTGGGGTAGTTACGCATCACATCTGACCAGGAATCATCATCTGCTGACATATGAGATATTCAGAGATCAGATGTTACTTCAACTTGTTTAACCTCAATATTTTATTCAGTGAAACCATTGTTTTTTGTTAGTGTTATTGAAATGTAGTTATAACCAAGAACTTACCAGATTTGGTGTCTTCTGGTGGGCAACGTTCCTTCATTGCTGCAGCTAAAAGAAAAGAAAAGATATAGTAGTTTACACCAGGCAGAATAAAGCAAAGTCTTAAATTTGCTCTTGGTCACACTGCATTTGCTTCACAATCAGCAGAGTTGATGTCGGTTAATTCCCCCCTGCGTTCCCGTTGTTCTTACCAGATCTCCAGATGTCCAGATGAGCATACAGTATGTCTCCAAACTGCAAGGAGTGTTGCCTGAAGTCTGCTTCTGTCATGGAGCACAGATCTCTCCCGCTCACCTCCTGAAACATGGTGCTGACCTGCGGCAGCCTGTACAGGTGCTCGGTCCAGAGGAGCCACTTTTGAACGTGCACACAGCTCCAGTCCAGCGGGTCTAAAGAGGAAAAAGCACAGAGTGACGAGGCATGTATTTTTACTCGGCGCCCCAAATGTTCAGACTTTAAATGATGACATTATTTTCACCAATGAAAACAATTCATTAGGTCACTAACAGACATGTGTTTTTGTTTTTTTCTGGTATCCAGAGTTTGTAAGATTCCTCCTCTGTGGCTTTAGTGACTTATCTCAGGCTGTTTGCAATTACTGTTCATACTTCTACCTACAAAAAGTAATGCACTGTCATGCATTCAAATATAACCCAGGTAATTGGAGATGCAGGGCTGCCTCTGAGGAAGTCAGATCACGTAATATAAAGAGCAATAAAGTGCTCGATGGGTCAAACAAACACAGGACTTTCACCCAGGAGACCGCTGTCCATGTCTCAGGGGAAAACCAACTCAGTATTGACTTATTTTACTTTAGTTTTGTCATGTAACTTCCGTACTTAAGTAACGTCGCCAACATAAGTTATGTAACAAATATATTTATTTTATATAAGAAACTTTCTTATTTTAAACCAAGTAGTTTTGTTGCTTAATCAGATTCTGCACTGCAGGGGCTAGCGCCGGCGCACTGATCTCTCGTAATGCTGGACATTCGTAGGAGAAACAGATGTTGCTTTACGTAAGTAATATAATTGTAGGTTTAAAAACTACATATTTTAAACATAAAACCTGTATCACAAATGTGGGGGTATAGAAATGTAAAAGGTTTAACTAGGCAGGTGACAAAAATATGCTTTTAGTTGCACTAGAACTGCTCAAGAAGTTCATAAGAAGCGAAGATGATCGTCTACCAACAGAAATGTTTGCACAAGGTGGGCTGGGACTCATGTGCTCACCAGCTCTTGATGTTGATGTGAAAGCAAACAAACAAATGATGGCGTCTGAAGGGTTTATTTTGTTAGACTACAACTTCTGCTAACACTTTCTACAGCAGGTTTGTCTATTCAAATGTATATTGATAATAATGTGACATTAACGAGTTGCATCCTATCCTACCTGGGGCAATGTTGAGCAGTTTGCAAGCCGTGTCGACATCCTTCAGCACTTCTCCCACCACCATGGTCTGGACCTGCTCCAGACAGCGCTCCTCCACCTGACACTCCATCTCAGAGGGGGGCTCCTGGGGCTGGCTGGGCTTGACTGGGCTGGGCTCTGGTGTCCTGGAGGGAGGAGCAACAGGAGCCGGGGTCTCTGTCACCCTGAGCATCCAGGAGCTCTCCTCTATAGCTAATCTGTCGTAACGGGGGAGGTAGACCCCCGGCCAGCTGAGCTCAGGCAACCCCAACAAGCTGCGTGGCGGTTTGATGTCCTCCGCCTCATCCGGCCAGGCCATCCTGGCGTCGGTGTGGGGTTGGCTGATGTTGAGAGGTGAGTGTGCAGTGCATCCTGTGCGTTCACAGCCTGGACTCCCCATGCTCATGTTTGCTTAACACTGGAAGATGAAAGCACTGATGTCATAACATGTCATCTGTGTCATCACCGATTTACACCCTACCTGACATTTTCAACAGTGACACTCACAAAGCTGCATTCATGCTTCCATATACAAATGTTCAATATCCAAACAGAAGCAATCCTAAAGTAAACATGACATTTCCTCCATGGTATTTACTTCTCTGGGCCTTACTTTGAAATAAGGAATCTGTCATTCCCGCTTTGCAAACCTGCGCCTTTGTGGTGGCTTGATTCACTGAAGTCACATTGTCCTTTATGTGTTTAATAGTTGCTCAAAAATTCTGCTTTTAAAACGACACCTGTAAGAATTCATTTCAGACTCTCTCACGAACTACATGTTTGGAATAAACCAGGTCAACGAGTTCAGAATTACCTTTTTCAACATCATTGAACAATATCAGAAAGCAATCGACTCCACCTTTAAATGCAGATAACGAAAGGACGATCAAAGCCTTGTTTGAAATTCCAACTATAAGTTGAAAGCAATGTGTTTGTCAGTTTTACAGTAATTCCCAAAAAGCACGAGATTATATTTTGCTACTATCACAGTGCAACACCCAGTGCCTTTTAGAAAAATCAGGTCACCAAGATGGATCGTAAGTTAATCGCAAAATAGAAGCTTGATAGAATAGAGCATAAAGGGTGGGACACATTTAACATGTGGATAAAGGATAAGTAGCAGGAGCGTATTCATCGTGGTATGAGTAAGAGAACAGCTCACCGGGCTGGGAGTGGTGCTGTATGACAAAATCATACACCTGTTTCCATTTCAAGTGATATGTCTCTATTTAATAGAACATGCTTTTTATCAGCTTGGCTTTCAGCCACAATATATGTGACATTTAAATAAAAAAAAAAATAAAAAAATGCACGACAAAAGTGAGTGACATAGATGTGGCAAAAATGATCCACAGACTCGCATTATGCTGAATATTATTCACAGGTTACTGTGACTGTTGACTGTGCTGAAGTAATGACTCCTCAGTCCAAAACAATGGCACATGGAGCGAGGTGGTGTGATTAGGCTTTTCTCAAAAGCTGGGCTGCTGTTGGAGTTTTGTTAAAACAGAGCTATAAATAACTGATTTAAGTGTGTTTGCAGGACAATAGAGGAGGCACCGATGACAGTAATGACATATTTATGCTATTTACAGCCTGTTGCCAACATTACCAAGACCACTGCAGGATTACCACACATTAAACACTTCTGAGTCTGTGTGAACAAGGACTAGATGTCTGGACACAGGTCTCAACTATTATTTCCTTGCCTGCAGGGATTACCAGTTTAGAAAAACTTGCTCTTCTAGATTATCCATTCTCCCTGAGACAAGTGTGTGTGTGTGTGTGTGTGTGTGTGTGTGTCTGTGTTCAAATGAAAGCGGTACGCTCGTGAAAACGAGTGTGTTATTTGTGGACTCATATTTGCGTTTTACGCCTCGTTAGATAGCAGCCAAACTGATATGAGAGGTATTTTGTCGATATGAAAAGCTGTGGTCATTCATCGCTGCCCTGCATTTCACTGTTCTTAGGACAAAAGGTGTTTAACAACACGCCTTTAGCTTTTCTGTGACTGTTCAGCAAAATGTTGATATGTAGCTGTGTCTGTATGAGCCTGTGTGCATGCATGTGTGTGTGTGTAACATTACAGGTTGAAGGGTGGCAGTAAAAGAAGAGAGCGAGAGAGAAAAAGTAATGTAAGTTATATTTATACACACAGTTTTCATTTTATCTTCATCAAATCAGCTCGTTGGAATATATTTTTTCTTGTACAAAATGTGATTATTGCCATTTATCCAATTATAAATAGGTGCATTATCTGGAAATTACTGTGGGGGAAACTGTGGCGACGTTAACTACAGTTGATTATTGTCTGCATCCCAATTTGAAATTCATCACTTTCAATACTATTTGATTTAGTGGTCTAGACATCATTATAAAGAAAGTGAACTCATCAATTATTGTGAGTACTATAGGATCATAAAGAAATTGGCAAGAACAGTAGCATTTGTGGCAGAATAGTCAGCTCGTATAGTCCTAATTACTGTAGAGGAGATATTGGGAACAGAAATATTTAATATACATTACAGCTACATCAGTAGTAGCAATAACTGCAGTGCACATAATAGTTGGGGTAGTAATAGTCGAAGTAATTCCAGTAATAGGAAGTGGTGGAAAGAAAATAATAGATGTGAAAATAATAAATAATTATAACCAACATCTGATGATGTGAGCCAATATTCTAGATTAAACAAATCATCAATGTGTGAGGATCATTTATTTATTTTAACTGTAGTAAAACTTTAAATGCAGGACACTTGGATATTTCACAGCAGACATTTGACTTGGTATCGTGTGAAAAGCACAGGTGTCACAAATAACGTGAACGATGTTCTGTTCAAGTGTCCCAGTAAGCTGTGAAAGTGAGTGACAGTGAGGCAGCATGCACAATACGAGGACCCCCAATTCATTATATGACTCACACCTGTGCCTTGACTATTGTGATGTGTCAAAATGTCTGCTGTGAAAAAGGCCTAATATCATGTGTATTTAATTGAATGTGTATTTGTACAGGGACAAGTGTATAGCATGAACCAAAGCCACATACTACAGCATTTATGGCCTAAGCTCATTTTCAACGCCTGTGCATAGATGAGCCTTTTAGAATACACAAAACTCAGCAATAAAATTCATTAAAAACAACAGCACAAGATACAAACTATTGCTAAACAATCACACAATAAAGTTACAATGAAACTCAATAACAAGTGCTAGATTTATTCATGATTACGATTCCTCGGGTAAATGGCCTGAATACTTCTTCCACTACTGGTAATGTGGTGGTAGCAGCGTTAGTATCAGGTACTATCACGTGGTAGTAATAGTAGTAGTATTGTAGCTGTAGTACTAGAAGTATGTTGAGTTTTACTGTGAACTGCTGTCTTACCTCGTCAGCGTTGGGTTCAGTAGAGTTTCCAATGCTGAGGCCTCTCCTCGGCTCTGCCTGGCTCTTAGTTTAGGTGTGGACTAAAGTCGAGGTCCTGTGGAGACTGTATCTATTTCGCCCTCGGGTGAGGAAGTGCTGCATGTAATCTTTTTCTCGTATCCGGCGCTCACAGCTGGATCAGGTCTGTCCACTCCGGCTATCAAGACAACCTTGTTTGACTCGTGGTCCAAGCAGTATGAGATTGACTAATTACGAACACAGTGCCTTCGTGACATATCAATTCTGGAAGAAAGGGTGTGTTGAAGTGAGGGAGGTTGCTCCAAGTGCCAACTTAATAATGACTTGGGGCAGTATTCACAGAGAGTTCCTTCAGCAAACAAACATGGTGAGTTTTAACTGCCGGTGGACAAGCTAAGTAAAAACACATAAAGAGTTTTCATGAGCAATTAAAAAATGGCATTTTTTAAAGATAATAGCCACACTTTGTAAAGCTGTTGAAGATAAATGCATCTTATCTAAATCTGCTCCACTAATAGTTGTCAAAGTTCACCGTTCTGTGTGAGAGGTGGAGAAATAATTCCTGACTATTTTGGGATGAATTTAAACCAGAGGAGCTGTGAAACTCAACACTTTATGAAGTGTTAAACTCAAGTCAAGTGTATCCATTGTTAAGAGTATTAGCACACTGTTTGCACACAGTAGCTTTCCACTGAAGTCAAGCTTGACGAAAGTGAATTCTGGTGAAGAAATGGTCCAAAACATGTTTTCTAATCAGTCAACACTGGGCTTTTTGGAGACTATAGGACAGAGATGAATTTACAGGAAGTGACATATAAAGGCTAAGTTCTGTCATAATGTGTCAGGATCAACTGAAATATCTCACTGTGGTGTGTTTTTATGGGCTTGATCTCAGCTTGAACTCATACGACACCAGAAAGGCCAGCTATGCGAGGACATATGGAATCCAGACAGCACAACACCCCTGAGATTAACTGATGGTCATAGTTTTGAAAGGTATTATCGGGGAAAAGTTAAATAACTGGTACACAGAGGGAGTGCAAGAGACGCAAAGAGAAAGCAAGAGTGTGTAAATGTTTGCTTAAGCTAAACAGTAGAGTTTGTGCGGTCGTGTTGAAATATTCTAAAGTGCTGCATGTGTATCCACCCACATAAATCACCTTGACAGCTTTAGCAACCTGCTCACAACCTGTAGAGTAAGTCTTCTAGCTTGAGTTGATGAAGTAAAAAGAAGTTATTCCATAAAGTTCTACTGCGTGCAAAACAAGAACTACCTCAAGTTACTGAAGCTTTTTAGAAACATTCAAGCAGCTAACCTTGCGTTTACTGTGCTGCCTCGATATCTCAATACTCAACAATATATCTCTTGTGCCTTGGTGTTTACATTTAACATTCAGTAAGCAAATGTCAAGTGAGCGCTGCTCCCTCAGGCAGTTTGGTTTTGCTGCTTCAAAGACACAAGAGACCCTAATAGATGGCGAGCTGCAAACTGCTTTTGACCAGTAAACCTCCAGGCTAACAGGTAATCCGACACATCCACTGGCCACGATCCATCTCTTTTAGGTTTACCGTTTGAACTACAGTTTTCTCAAATAATAGGCCCTTGATAAAAACTCATCCCTCGTCATTTTTGAGAGCTCACCCACACCAGAAACCAATGCACTCATCTTATTAATGTGGCCCTGTTGCTTTTATTTTAAACTTAGCAGCACAGTGTCTGAGTTTATTCATCTGCGGTGCTTTACTGTTTGGCGGGAAGAAAAATGGTGAAAAAGGGGCAGGAAACGTACGTCAATAATGTGTTTAATTATGCAGTAGTTTCTTGTTTTATTGCTTTTTATGTTCATTTAAATGTTTCTTTATCCTGAATCGATAAAAGACTGCCAAGCCCCTGTTAAATGTATGAAATGCATAATAAAAAAATTAGTAAAATAGTGAATGGATAAAAGCATTCACAGCAGTTTACAAGAACATTTGGTAAAGCTGCTGTATGTCAGTGACTTAAAACATTTCCACTTGAAATGCAATGACATCACTAAAGAATGCAAACAGACGGCAATTTGTTAGATTTAAAAGTCAAAAAGAAAACCGAGAGCAGAGCACACATGTTGTAGGTAGTGGAGGTTAAAAAGTATATAAATGGAACCATAATTGACTGTGTGGAATGAAGAAAACACACGAGGAAAATATAAAAGCTGTTCTGTGTGAAAACAAAATGAGACAAATGCCAATACTTTGTTTTCAGTGATAATTTAATCATTCAAACATTCATCAAACACACAGAAAGAAAAGCTTTCATCTGGTTGCGCTTCCTTGTCCTCATTGATGTGCTGTTGGATGAGTTCTAATGCCAACTGATTCATTCTGCAGTCAGTGGAAACCTCAGGGAGACATTACGACAACAAAATGATGAATTGGCATCGACAGCAAATGCCTTTGACGGCTGTGAGAAATATTTGTCATTAACAGGTAATGAGCAGAGCTCCAGGGGACATGTTGCGTTATTGTAATGTTGTCAGAGCTCAGTAGCGCCGGAGCTTATGGGTAGCCTCAATAAAAAGGGTGTTTACCTGTCGGGGGGGGAGTCTTAGACGCTGGCTGTGGACGATGAGATAAAATCACAGAGTCGATAAAAAGCCTTCAGGACTTAACTGTGCGGGCCTCCCCGTGGAGGTCGCGTCGCTCAGTGCATAGATCAGCCAGTTGGTGCGAGTAAATATGCAGCAACACAAGTCCGTCATTTCATTGTATATTTTTACTGGTGCAGTTAAGTCTGAAAGGATCAAACAGGACCGAATGTGTTTTAGAAAGCTCATCGACGATCAGTGAGAGAATTTGGAGACTCTAATGTGGAACATTCCAAGCATAATTTCAACCATAGACGGGAATATTCAGAACAATAATTACATAAATAAAACGGCCAGTTCAATGCAAATATACAAAGTCAAATCTTTGGGTAAATGAATAAACATTATCCTCTTCTACATTCATCAAATACATTCAACTTAATGTGATAAAAGCAACTCCAAGACAGCTTTAAAAGGAAAAGGGACATTTACGTTTTAATAACGCAACGTTGTTTTTACCGCTGTTCGTATGGCTTGAGTTCAATGTCTTGTGTCATATTGTGCATTAATCCTGTGATTTATTTTATTCTAATGCAAGCATGTAAGACAACACTAACTCTTAGCTTCAGACAATAAGTGGGGAAATCTCTAATACTGCTTTAATACTAATAATGAATACTCTGCTAATATGTCAAAGCTTTGTATAGATGCAAAGCAACGACTCTATATTCATGTGTGGAAACAAAACAACCTTCAGCATGTTGGCTCCAGATTCTAAAGCTTTAGAGAAAAATGTTTCTGTACAATTTTTAAGTCTTACTAAAGAAATCATAGGAGCCATTCTGAGAAATGAAATAGTTCTGCTTATCAGTGCTGATTTTACCTTCTGTGTTAGAGTAATGTCCGACTCCCTCCAGTGCAGTACAATTGCAGGTGTTTAGAATTGCTGGTTCTACGACAGCATAGAAATGATTGCCCACAATGCACCAGTCATGTTGAATGAGCTAAAGATATATAATTCTGAAGGATGTGTCTGTCCCCATTCTGTTAAAAAATGAATATAAAAAGCAAATAATGATATCGAATGGTTTGTTTCAGAGACGCCAATAGTATCAGAGTCAGTTACAGGGTGAACAGGTGCAGAAACCCGATCAATATACCAAGAGTCAGAGCAGAAACTGGAGAATCAGTTGGCAAAATAAATGGCTTTTCCTCCATAGTCTCTCTTTCGGGTTGCACAATGCACACACAATTTCACAAATACACACACACCCCGCCATCATTGTTTCATTTTGCACTCTTGACAACTGAAAACAAAAAACGGAAAATCTGAAAAAAGAAAAAAAAGTCACCACTCGAAAGACTCATAGCACTCATTTTTAAGTTAGCATTCACACGTGCATACGGTGGGTTTGTGGGATGTTGGTTGAGCTGCACGTCGGGGAGCGTTGGCCTCTGGTTCCTCAGAGTGTAGCTGGGCTTTTGCATAAAGTGTTTTTGAATCGTCACACTCTCGACCGGCTACTCTCTCTCTCTCATCGGTGTGACAGACTCCAGAGGTTTAGTGCTGCTTCACTGTGACAAGTCCCATGCTTTAAGAGTGCCCGAAGGGATAGGGCTCCTGTATACCCTGTAATCAAGAGACACGATTAACAACAAAGTTAGTCTTGAAGTGTACAATTTCACCTGCTAAATTACCGCTCAAACGGCTGCCTCGCTTGTTTTTATTTTGCTCGGCCTGCCTCCAGACACTTCCCACCTGCCTTCCTCCACCTGTCCACCAGATGCCCTCAGACTCCCAAATCATCCCCACCTGACACACCTGCCTCTGACGGTCTCATCAGTATATGTGACCAGTTTCTCACGTTGTGCATGTCTGTGTTCCAGCTCTCCTCAACCCTCTGGATTTGTTTGCTTGTTTGGACTCTCTCGTGACTAACTGTAAGCTTGTTTTTTTGAACTCTGGTTTACTAAAGCACCCTTTCTTTGCCCTGTTCTGCATTTGCATCCTCAATCCTGTTGCCTTGTACACTCATCCACGACACAACTAACGCTGGTCTTTATTTCTGTACATTATTAGGTGTTTTTAGCCATGATAGCAGGTTTGGTTGATGACCAAATGCCTGATAAATGAATGGCATTGCCATCAACCTGAGCTGTGCTTTGTGTTTAGTAGTCATTTGCAAATGTTAGCATGCTAAAAGGCTAAACTGACATAATAAACCTGGTAAATAATATGCTCAACGTCAGCATTTTAGCATCTATCTCAAATCTCAACTGTGCCAAATTATAGCCTCACAAATCCGCTAGTGTGGCTGTAAAGAGTTCATTAAAAGATCAGTTTAAAATGGAAGGAATTACCGTCTCTGCAGCTTCAGGTTAATATGGTTAGAATGTAATATGAGCGACCTGATTTATCTAATACCGCAGCCCCTACTCACACAATTTTAAATGCATCTACAATGCATTTGAGAAATATCCTTACAATCAACTTTGTATTTATAGATTACATCTCTTTGTTAATTATAGAAGGCTTTCAATCTCTGATAGAAATTTGAAGATAACACCCTCAACCATGATTGACTAATATGGAGAATCCTGCCCTTTGATATGTCTTACCTGGTTATAAGAGACTACTGATAGATTGCTTTGTAGACTACTTGCTACTATATCCACAGAGTTGTGTGAAAGTCCATTCTGATCTTGCTGCAGCTGGTCGGGGCTTCCCTGCCAATGTTCCTCTGTGACCATGTGACCGCTGGCATCATGGAGGCTGTTGTTGTTGCTGTTGGGGCACTTGCTCTTCTCCGGCGAGGCGAACGGGTTGTAGTCTCCTTCCAGGCTGCGGTGAGGCTGGGTGTTGAACTCTGCTTGAAAAGAGGACAGCTGCTGCGTGACGCCAAGGAGCCCTCCGACCTCCACGCTCAGGATCACCCAAATGACATCTGTCGAAAGAAATGAACGGCGTGGTGTAACACACAATGCCACTACCACTGTCCTACAATACCTAACGCTTAGCTACCCACAAAAATAATACACGAACCAGTCTTCAAAAATCCCAGTGAGCTGTGGTTCATGTTCAGAAAGCAGCTAATCCTCACATTTGAGAAGCTGGAAAATGAATCAATTTTGTAGTGTGTAAAGTTGTCTGTCCTCACCTCCATAGTAAAGCCCGGTGGCTGTGCACATTCTCCACTGGCCCTGGTACATGCCAGGAGAGGCAGGGCTCTGCATCTGCACACTAACATCAGCCATTTCCTGAGGGTCTAGAGACCGCACCATCACCATGTTTACGTGACCGAACTGATCTCCGCCAACGTACTTCAGACAAACCCCCGGAGGCCATGACTCTGCACCTGGAAGACACACACACACACAGAAAACTATGCTGAACTCGACATTGCGGGTGTAAATAGTTCTAACTCTCAGGGTCTGCTGTCGGCTCTGTGATCAGTCTTATTATTCAAGCAGACTTACCCGTGTTCTGTACTCTCCAGGTCTTTGTGAAAGGTGTGTCCGGTGGGACTGATTCGCCCTCGCCGATCGTCACGTCACTCACAAAGGACATGCCCGGTGCACTGATGTTGGGACTCTCAAAGTCGTAGTAGGCTCCGATGGCTGCTTGTAAATTCCTGGGACAAAGGCAGAAATCCAGGTGATCAGTACAGATATATATTGGAGTATGACGTGTGATTTTTGCAGGGGAAACCCAGTTATTCAACTGCAGTTTGCACAGATATGAATGAACCTCAGGCCACATATGGCCACATTCTCTGGTCAATATTTAGCAAATTCCTTCAACAAACTATACTGCTTTTTAATTTGAAAAACAAATCAATTGTGTATATTTTTACAGTAGTTTTCCTATATCTTATTATTGACTTTTTGAAATCCTATTTCCTCTGTTTATTGTTACGCATCAAGACAACTGTTGTGTATGTGAAAACCTACTTAGCAATAACCCTGATTCTAACATATTTTGACAAACAATATCAATTGTTTCTGCCCTTAACATATCCAGTAGTTATTGGTATACTGTCGAATAACCATGGAAGCTGTAGTTATTCAAGAAAAAGAAAGAGAGACTCGTACCAAGGGCCTGGGAATAAATCTCGGTCCCTGACTAAATAAAATCTACAAGAGAAGATATGTTTGTACTACAATATTTACTTCATAACATCGCTCTGTGGCATTTTGTGACTGGTTCAAAATGCGTATATTGTCTACAATTCCACAGAGATTCGAAGAATAAGAATGGGTGCTTCCCGTGTCATGCATAAACCAGCAGTTTTTGTATTTTTAGAAACGCCTTGCAGAATAGCACATCACGTGTTACTACTACACCCTCCACTGCTGCCCATAGCTCTCTGTTATCGTCCATAGGCCTGCATTAACTTAATACTGCACATGCGCTGAAACATTAAGACTTAAATTTGACCTTTTCTCTGTAGTTTTTCACACACGGTTTCAATTTATACCGTTGAATATATCGCCGTATAGCACTGTAACTGTATTTTGAGAAGTATTCACAGTAACGTTACGTGAAAAATACATAATACACGTTGTCCAGGCACAGTTAGGTAAAAATTAACCAGACATGCGCCACTAACGTATGATGAGCTTTGAGCTACACTTAGCAGACGTTAAATGTTACGTAATAAACCACTGTGGTTGTCGTCAAAAGAGTGAGACGTTACGTTAACGGCTGTCGATATGTGAAAGTGACGACACAATAAGCAGTTAACATACTGTAAGGAAATATTTTTAAACTTTTAATTACCAGTTATGTACCACGGCTAACCTGATAGTACCTAGTACCTTGCACAAAAGTGGCGACTAACGTTCATTTATAAAAGTACTTTCATGTGTTTTCACTCAAAATAAACAGACACCAGCATCGATGTGAACTCGATGTGTGTTCACTACCGTTTATTTATCGTATAAGTATTTATATCACATCACGCGCTATAAGCTAAGCTTTCCACTGTGTCCCCTCACACGCGATAAAAAGTCGGACACACGGTGACTCAGCTAACGCTAACGGTAGTTACGTTACTACAACGTCGTTAGCTGTCATTGTACCCACGTAAACATACCTAACGGAAACGCTATGGCTCTGTCACAATGAAGGATAACGCTCCTTTATGATTCCCTTCCCTTGTTTTACCGACGACATGTATATTTTGTACGAGAATAATTGCCGGTTAGAAAAGCTAGCTAGTAGAACCGTACAGTGCCAACCGTCCTAACAATAACCACACAGCAGGCCAAGACGCATCCTCGCGCTCACCAGTTGGTCATGTCCAGAAAGAAGGCGCATCCGGCGGGGTTTAGCTGGAACCCGAGGAGCCTCTGAAATTCCGAAATTAAGATATCTTTGTCTGTTGTACCCATGCAGCTGAATTTCTGCATGAGATCCTGGTCCAGGTCCAGGTCCAGGTCCATGCCTTCCATCACGGATTCGCCCAGACAGAGACAGGGGGCTTCGCTCCTAATTTAGTCCGAGGCCTCGACTTGTCATAACAAACTCAACAGGGCCGAGTGCGCATGTCACATGATTGTGTTTTGTGCCTATGAGCAACAGGCCTGCAGGGGAAAAGAAAACACTACTTTTATACTAGGTGTGTTATTACAGTAATGATAGTATGTCATAATGATAGTATGTAATAATAAATTAATAATACCATCAAATATATCACGTGTGTTAAATTTGCAAAATATAAAATCAAATATTGTAAAATATCTTCCATTGGCCCCAGCCTATTTAGAGTTGTTTGTTTCTTTTACAATAATTGTATTTCAACACAGGAAATCGAGCAGTGTTATTAGTTCTGCTAGTGTTTATAGTAAAATATTATGTTAAATACAGTAAACCTATTTGAATTTGCAGTGATAATTATTAGCAAAAAAAAAAAAAGGTCTGATTTTAATTTTATTTTGGCTGGTCTCTCTTGAAAAAGGTATCTTGATAGTGAAACTAGATAACACATTGTCCTTAGATAGATAGATACTTTATTCATCCCGCAAGGGGAAATTTGTTTGCTACAGCAGCAAAAATATATTTAAGCAATCAGAGTAAAAAATAAGAAAATATTAAGTATAAAAATGCACAATATATACAATGAAATAGAATAATATAATATAAATTAATTAACTTACCAGTAGTGCAAAGATGAACCAAACAGACAATCTATTAAAAGATAATTAAATGTATATTTTTATCATATTTAATGTAACATACTGCACCACATGTAATCCTTCTGTTTGTACTTTATCTTTTGTTATGTGAAATGTTTTTGTATTTATATTTGATAATCTATTGTTATTTATGTCAATGTACAGATATATAAAGTATGTCACAAATATATCTTGAAACTTAAAACTTAGCATGTATTTATTTACCGTGCACCTAGACTACGTGATTAAATAAAGTGAGTAACATCACAACTTGCACAGCGTGTCATTTGTGAAGTCTCATTGTATTTGTAGATATTTAGTTGTAATTGGTTCATTTAAACCTCCGCTGCACTGCCGCCCACCTGCTCTCCCCTCCACATCCAGCAGATGGCGCTATTGCGTCGTTGTGGATGCTCTAGTCCGTTGTAGCCAGTTCGCCGTCCGGTGTTTAGCAAAGCAGCAGCTAGGCTGTGCCTGCAGCGGCTAAAAAGATGCACACAGCTCGGGCTGTGTACAACAGAGAGGTGCCTGGAAGCTAGTACCGCTACATGTTTATTTCAGTGGGGGAAAACTGCTGTTTTCTGCACGACACTGGACGCTAAACAGAAATGGCCGGAATCATTAAAAAGCAAATTTTGAAACATTTGTCAAGGTAAGTGTCATTATTTTGTGGCTTTGTGTTAGCCACACTTAGCCCCGGATGGGTGATGGATTTACCGTTAACGTTACTGCCTACAACACACAGCTAACGCTAGTGCCTGTTTTGTTGCTACATTGATTTCCACTTTGGTTACCAACCAGCTCAACGCTACATGTTGTAACGGCCACACGAGAATAACGTTAGGAGACTGCACATGCATGGGCAGTGAACGCAGCAAGCCACTTCTGAACGACACTAACTAATAAACCTTAACCAAATTCCTCCCCCAGCTGTTTGCACGTGTTCTTAACACTGCGTTAAGCTTACAGACTGCCTTTAATGGTTGCTTTAGAAAGCTGGTATGTTACATTCAATGAGCCTCACAGCTTCCATTACTGCACTGTGCCCAACTGCTTACTCTGTCATTTTATGTCACTAAGTGGTCTAGGGCCCTACAGTAAATAACTTATTAAAAAATGGAAAGGTGAAAAGGCTGTAACGTTATCCGAAGTTGCATCTTTTCTTATTTTCTCCCACTCAGACCACATCTATCTATCTATCTATCTGTCTGTCACGATCAGGCTTTGCCTTGTGTGTTCTGTGTGTGTTTTTCTGTAGCTCCTCACTCTACCTGTCAGCCACTCCCTCAGCACCAGTCTAACTCAGCCACTCCCTCAGCACCAGTCCAACTCCCTTCACCTGTCCCTGATCAGTAATCAAGCACTCCCTCATCAGCACAACTCTCCTCACCTGTTCAAGTCACTTTATAAACCCCCGTCTCTCAGTCACACACTGCCAGGTCATTGTTCATGTCTACCCACCTGTTTTTGCTCGTCCTATTCCAGGTTTCCCAGTCTGTCTGCCCTGCCTCGTCCTGCCGGGTTTCGTCTCTTGTCTTGTCCTTGGATTCCCTGTTGCGTTCATGAGTCATTAAAACCCTTTTTCTCACTACATCTGACTGTCTGTGCTTGAGTCCTCCATCATGCCCGTGACTCTATCTATCTATCTATCTCAAAGATTCTAGATATGAAAAGTTATGGAGGAGTTATTTTTAGCTTTTACATCTTTACACAAAAATGCATCAGGGTACTAAAGAAGGCTTTCTTTAGTTTTAATGCTGCTGTAGTTGTAATGCTACTGTAGTTTTAGTCTCATCACTGTCTGATTTTTTTAAATTTTTTTTCCCCCAGCAACATTCATTCAATCCGGCCCCCTGCTGTACGTACACACATGTTGTGTTCCCGTCACCTTCAGCATCCTCTCCAGAGCTGCAGCATGCTCTCTGCTCTTACTTCCTCCATACGTGATGCTGCTGCTCAGGACTCTTCTAAATAATTAAAATTATTTTTTTTGCACCAGACAGGACACAGTGGACACGAAGACATGTAAGCACATTAATGTTGCTGACCATAGCTGGTGGGAAATTGTCTTTAGCGTCTGAGCAGTTATCTCTTAAGGATCTGACTCAGTGTTGCAGGTTTTCATACGTCAGTGTTGTTATTTTAAGCCGGGCAGGGTGATGACAAGATCGTATCCTCAGTTTGAACCCACACGTACCTGCGATGCATTCATGTTGATGGCTAGAATGAAGTTCATAATATCCACTGTATGTCTTGCTGTGTATACACACAGTGGACTCCTTCAACCACTGAGGGATTGCTGGATTTAAATCGACCACTTCAGTGGTGATTCTGTTGTTTTCGGCCTAATCGTCTGAGTAAGATCCTGGTATTGTTTAATTGTAAAACCAAACAGTTGTGCTTTTGGCAGAGTTTGTACAATGACTTATTTCTTGGCATTGGAAAGCTCTTTGAGCCAGGCTAATCTGAGTAATTAACCTATATTGCTGTTTTTCTTTCAATAATAGAACCACTATTCAGTGGTCTTTGCCCTAATGTAGCTCTTAATTATTAATACCAGCAAATCACTCCTTTTATATTCTGCCAATCCAAAAGGAAAATGTAATGAAATGCATGATGGTGTACAATAGCTGTTGGATATTTTCAGACTTGTGAACTAGATTTAACCCTCAAGCATGACTCATTATAGGCCTTGAGGAGGGGGGGGGGGTGCTGCTGAGGTGAAATGAAAGCAACATTCCGAGTTTTGCTCACAGTGAAAGTGTTGAGCCCTTGTTTTGTTGCTCAGTGTCAGAGGGAGGGTCTTTGACTGGATTATCGGCTACAGGATGGTGAAACAATGTCAAATATTTTGACAAATCTGACCACATTCACAAGTCGCCTCATCTGTTTAACATTGTTAACCAAACTGTGAGACATACAAAATGTCATGGATTTGCCAGATCAGTATTGGTATCATGTGGTGAATGTAAAATGAAAATACTCGACAAATTGATTTGCTGTGGTGGCTGCTGAACTCACCCTGTGTGTAGCCTTCTCCTGGCTGTTGGAGCTCGCTACGTTAGCACCCTCGGAGATGTTAACCTAGATGAGGAGTACAGCTGTGTGGCTCTCGTAAGGAGGCCGCTTCAGTTTGTCAGGATGACTCATTCAGTTGCACTACAGTGGAGTCCGCTTATAGTTATCACGGTTACAGTGATCGACCGCTGGTATGGATCAAAGAGGACAGAGTCATTCCCGTACAAATGCAGTTTAGACAATTTGCTTATAGTCTTCAAGTAGTGTGCTTACAGTGCTCATTTTGGGTCTTTTCATACATAAGACATTGGAAAAAAATATAAAAAGCGGGGATTCTGTACTATTTTTACTCTCATGATACGTTGTGTGCCAGAAAAAAAAGATGTCCCAATACATAGTCTTTCAAATGCAGAATGCCAAAAATAAAAGGATGCCCCAATGCATCCGGTGGCATTTTGCAGTATGCAAGCTTTTCTGGCTATTCGGTCCCACAATCCTCTGCACAGGGGATGTTCAAGTTCAAAATGCAATGATATGACGAAGTAGTACGTCCCAATCCTCATGCATGCTACATGCAGCAGTACGTACTTTGTAAGGGCGGCTGCAGCACTAAAAGTAATCAGGAAAAACATACGATCTGGGACGCCGTAGTCGTTTCTTCGAAGCTTATGACAAACCGCCAAGCTGCATCATTTGTATTTGTGTATTTCTGACTCCCAGGTGATGTTTTCCTTTAGTTTAAGTTCTACTTGCCGCCTCCGCATTCAGTATTCACTCTATACCTGGTCTCCTTTCCTTTAGGTTCACCAAGAATCTGTCCCCAGACAAGATCAACCTCAGCACGCTGAAGGGGGAGGGGCAGCTGTCCAACCTGGAGCTCGATGAAGAGGTTCTGCAGAACATGCTCGACCTGCCTACCTGGCTGGCTGTCACTCGGGTCTACTGCAACAAAGCCGCCATCAGGGTATGTTGTCATTGACCGGGTCATCAGACCTGATTGTGGAGCCGGTCTGACCGGTGCGGCTGTCTCCCTGTTCCTAAGAAGACGATTTAAACACAAAGCGGGTCCAGAAAAACGACATCATTCATGTCATTTAGGTGATTGTTAAGTCTGCAAATGACCTACAAGACAAAGCTTTTCTGTTTATTAATGCGAGAGAGCTTTTGAAATTCAGAGTCCATAGAGATAAGCCACACGGATAAGCACTGTTAGAGGCACTACTGAGGACGTTGTGATGGTTCAGACCAGCTCTGGTTATTGATGATAGAGCGACAAGCCGTGATTCACAGGGACACAAAAGGCCAGAGGCTGGAGTGATCCTGAGATAAACTGGCTGGTGTGCACTGAGCTGTTATGATGGTTGGTTTGTGTTCCCATATAATACCAATAATACTACATGTTTAAGATCTTAATTCAGTAATAATATTCGTATAATTGCTACAATATATGTATTCTACACATTACGTAAATATTTTCACCTCTTGAACCGCCTCGAGCGTCCTTCTAATGCAGCTTTAAAGTTGGAAGCGAACATGTTCCTAACATTGTAGGACAGTATTGTGTGATATTGTGTTAGACACGGTATCTTTCACCACCAATATTTGAGAGTTTTTCCATGTTTCCATTGCTTATTTTGTAACATGCGTAGCCTTCTCTTATCAATGAGGTTTGTGGTGTCAACAGAGTGACTGCTGAGAAAAAAACTTCTCCTTTCCAACTGTTACTGGAATTCACTTGTTCTGTTTGTTGCTTTCCTACTTTTAGACATGCCCCAGGCTAACCTCTCTTAAAAACGCTCTATTATGAAGGCCAAAATATTTTGAACTCTTGGGCTATACTAGGCTCTTAATCATTTATTTTATAAAGTCAAATTATATTTTTTAGAAGTTTCACTCCCCTTTTCTCCCGTCACCACAGTACCGTTAAAAGTGGATCGTGATCTCCGTGTTGTAGCCGTGTTAGTAACAAGGCTGTACGGATGACGATGGCGTGGGTCGGTCGGTGTGAGGGTTGTTCAATCCACCACTTAGGTCCAGACTGAAAAGGCTCAACAAGTATTGGGTGGATTGACGTGAAGTTTTTTGTGCAGACATTCACGGTTTCCAGAGGATGAACCCGACTGACTTTGTTGACCTTTCCTCTTGGCTCACTAGCTAGTCAACACTTGAATCCAATACTTTAGTTTTTGACCAAATACTAAATGAAACGACATTCCCTTCAGCCTCAGCTGTACTTTGTGTGTATGTTAGCATGCAGAACTATAGTGGTGAACATGTTGAATATTACAGACGCTATACATCAACATCCAAAATAGCACTTAGGTCAAAGTACAGCTTAGCTAATCTGCCTGCAATTTTTTTTGTCAACTAAACATCTTGTTGTAATAATTTATTGTCCGTCATCTCCAGACATCTCCAGGCACAACATCAGTTTTCATTGCTATGCAAATAACACACTTCTCCTCCTGTCATGCAACCAAGGCGCGAAGGCTCTCGACTGTCTGAAGCTAAAGTCAGTTCAAATGGAAATTCCTGCCAAAGGCCTTTTAGAATGTAAATGCAGTATTTAGCAGCCTTTGTGATTTAATAGCCCGAAAGCAAAGGCCTTTCTATATGACAGTATCGTTAAAACAGTGATGCAGCCATGTCCCTTTACCCCTATTCAAATCATTACAATGAAAGCCTTCCTATCTTCAGAGGCCATCCACATATCCACATGTGTAAACTCATATTATAGACGGGCCTTTATGTAATCTATTGTTGGGACTTGTAGTCTTTTTATAATCATTCATAACACTTCAATAATGGTATTTTTATGTACTCTATGTAGTTCTTTTTTCTTTCTTTCTCCCCCTTTGGTAAATGGTAATGATAACTTAGCTGAAGTTGATATTTGATATATTGAGCAGAAATGACTCCAAATATTACAGCGTGGCAGTTATTGTTGTCGCCCTTGCGGCAGGAGCTTGATGTTTACTGTGCACACAGTGAATGATAAACAGCGCAGAATGCTGGTGCAAGTGTTTGAGACTGACTCTGCAGACCTCGCTCTCCTGTCGTTTTTAGATACAATGGACAAAGTTGAAAACAAGCCCCATCTGTCTGGTAAGAATGATGTTATTTTTGTCCAAAATTCTTGCCCATGTCTGCAGCACTAAGCTTCTCCCTTCATGTTTTCATCCATGTTTATTGACCTGAATCTAGCAGTTGCCTGCATAGTCATTGTACTGTTTTGTTACACTGCTGCTTCATAGATTGTGCTTTCTGTCTTGTTATCATCTGTAAATGTTAGGTTGCTTCTCTATCTATCCTTGCTCCATTGCATGCTGAGTATTACAGTTTCTTCTTCTGTGCAGTTCTTGGATAAGGTAGAGGTAGAAATGAGGACGTGTGAGGAGCCACGTCCACCTAACGGCCCCTCTCCTATCGCCATAACAGCCGGCCAGAGGTAAGCCTGCGTCAATCTAGTGTTAAGACGACACATCTGATCAATGCTACATGCCGAGTCATTTACACGGTGAACATTGCCTTTGACCATGCTTTTACACCCTGTGTCCACAGCGAGTACGGCTTTGCAGAGAAAGTGGTGGAGGGCATGTCCGTTAGGATCAACTCCATCACCATCAAGGTGCAGGCTCGTGCCTTCCACGCCTCCTTCGAGCTCTGGCAGCTACAAGGCAACAGCCTCAACCCCAAATGGCAGCACAGTGACCTCCGCTACACCCGCGTCACCGACCCAAAGAGAGGAGAGGTACACTTTAGCCCCCCCCCCCGGACTATATTGAGATGAACAACCTCTCAGAATGAGCTCCTGTAATTCACTTTAAAGCGACTGCTTTTCTTTCTCTATGTGTCTAATAATAAACATTGGCTGTTCCACACCGATACTGATTCCATGAAAGTGTCGGAACATGGTGTGTTTTTTGTCTCAAGGCGTTTGTGTGTTTATTAATAGCTGAATGGTTTGATGTTTTGATATGTTTCTTGTTTCAATCAGGTTTTGACATTCAAGGAAATAAACTGGCAGAGTCTAAGAATCGAGGCGGACGCCATTGAGAGTAACGACCAGGACCTCGGTAGCACCCCGTTACGTCTCATCACCAACCAGGGACGCATTCGCATCGCTCTGAAACGCAGAGTAAGACTGCATTCCTGCCATTCATAGACCATTCTGTCAGGGAATTGGTTTAAAAATCATCTAAATTGTTAATTATTTGTCACGGATCAAGTTTAATTCCTCGTTCTATCTAGATAAAGGACTGTAACGTGCTGGCATCCAAGCTGCTTTTCATCCTGGACGACCTGTTGTGGGTGCTGACGGACTCTCAGCTCAAAGCCATCATCCATTATGCCAAATCTCTCAGCGAGGCCATGGAGAAGTCTACCCAGCAGAGGAAGAGCAGGACTGCTGAGTCCCTTCAGGTCCCGCCTCCTTTCTGCTCATTTCTGGATATAAGTTTCTTTTTATTTCCACGACAGATAGTTCTTAATTTTGTCACATCATCTTGGTAATTTCGGTTTCAGACTGCTCCTCCATCGCCTGGCTTCCATAACCTTTGGACAGAGACCCCACCCGCCCCCACTGGCACCCCCAGCAACATGAGTCAATTCTTTGATCTCTATGATGTCAAGGAGTCTTCTTACCACACCTTCATATCCCGTTTGGACTTGCATATATGCAGCGACAGTTCTTCACTGGATGAGGGTTAGTTGGAAATATCACGAAATGTGCCAAAAACGATCAACATGTAGCCTTTGCCTTGTAACTCAAGTGTATGTGTGCTGTTTTACTTCAGCGTAAAGCCACAATTGTGCTCGGAGTAATCCCTAAAATGCATTGAATTGCTAAGCATTTGAAAGATAATTACTGTCATGATGGTTTTTAATCAGCTAGCATGTGTTATTGCTCAGATGAGGCTCCCCCACCGGGCTTGCAAGGTGCCATGCAGCTGACGTTCAGGAAGCTGGGTTTTGACTACTATCCCGTCCACAGACCTGGTGAGTGTGACGACTCGTCCTTTCTCTGAATATAATTCCAGTATAGTTTACCCAGAGGCTCTGTCCAGCTCCCACTTTAACCACAGCATTCATTCAGGACCGGCTGTTAGGAGGATGTACTACTCAGGCAGACTAATGGCCAGGGAGAGTTTTTCATTGTGTGGAATGTAGAGCAGCAGAGTTGCCTCTGGAGCTGTTTATGGTGAATGTTTGAAAAAAACAATAGTTTTCTGTTTGATTACAAATTAACATGTGTAAAATACTTTATATATAGAATAGATCCTCAACCTCAGACCGTGGACCCGTTTAATCGGTTTGTCGGGTGTTACGACCGAAATATATGTTTGTATTATAAAGAACTCAACACCCAACCAAGTACCAACTCCAGATTTAATGTTTATCTCTCTCCCACTGCAATTCTCTTTACACATGACCTTTCCCCTGCTGGAATAGTTGTTGTTTGGCTCGTATGGGCTGTATCGAACAGTTTGAAGCTTCATTCATAATGTTGACATCCAAATTATTATTGTTGTTAATAATACCGTAGGCTGAGTGTCCGTATAGCGTTTAGTCTGAGCACCCGACATTTTTTTTTGCAGATCTCTCTCTCACTCACTCACACACACACACACACACACACAGAGTGAGCACTGTGATACATTTCCAAAATTCACAACAAGTTTTTATCCGACAAAAACGCTCTGCTTCAATCCGTTTTTGTTGGCGTTTGGCCTTTCAAAAGCAGCATTTTCACTCCAGCCAAACAACAGTTTACCCTCCCCCGCGCCGCAGCGTACACAAAGGGAGGCGAGCACCTGACAAAAACCTCAATAGAAGCTTTTAATGTAAAAAAAAAAAAAAAAGACAATCGGTACAGCTCTAGTGGTTCGGTCTGATCCACTTTGTGATGTGTGGTGGGTGATTATCACACTGATGGACCCGTGATAAAGAGCTCAAATATATAAGCATACATCCAGCAGGAAGTCAGGTTTTCTTCAGAGGAAATCAGTTTTAAGCCTAGAATGGTTGCTGAATCATAACTGCCCTTTTGCTGCTGTTTTATTACAGCTGATGGATGTCGACACTGGGAACGCCACAGTGGAGCCATGGAGGCTCAGGCCCAGTGGGCGGGGAAACTGCTGCAGGAGTACCAAAGGAGAGCAGAGGCGTCTGGGTTCCCTGGGCCACGCGCTGAGGGGCCCCAGTCAACCAAGGGCTCCTCTGCAAAGACAGGTCAAGGTATGAGTGCTGAATACATGTGAAGATTTGTCTTGTTATAGGACATCTATTTCTTTTCTGACAGCTAAACATAGATAAAACTGCACAGATTCATACTCAGAATACAATCAAAAACTGTGTAATGAAGTAAAACATGTTCTTGTTTGGCTTCATTACACAACAAAATACCACTCGGGAGCAAAAATGAAACTACGACCCCACACAGATCAACACATGGCTCTGTCACAGCAACATTTTTATGATGCTAAATGCATTCTGCTTGTCACAAAGTGTTTTCTCTCTCATTCACACGCTTCAGATGGACAGTCTAGTCCCAAGTCGAGCCCCTCTGACAGCGAGCAGGCGTCCAGCAGGAACTCTGGCACAGCTCCCTCAGGGTCGTCACTGAAGAGGCTGCGATCCAGCTGCGTGGTGGTCAGGATGGATGACGTGGACATTCACCAGGCAAGATTTAACGACCCACTGATTTGATTTACCTACTCTACCAGAAGCATTACTTCCATAATTGGACTGAGGGGGACATCTGTTCTTCAGAGGGAGGCAGTCAGGCAGTACCTCTGACGAGGCTAGAAGTCGCTTTGCATTTGGAACATTTTAGCGGTGACAAAGCAGTCGCAGATGCTGTTGATATTGAGGAAATGGGAGTTTATAACTGTCAAATTTCAAATGGAAGCCATCAACCTCCGGCCACATCACTGTTGACCTATAGTAGATCATACAACAGGGACAATTTCAACAACAACATTATCATCTCCTTAAGAAATCACACAAAAAACTTACACTTGTTACCTTGTGAAGGAGAAGTACAGTCCTTGGATTGTGTGTGTATGTGTGTGTGTGTGAGTGTAAAGCATATATAGAGTGATTAGCTGATAAACCGATGTGACAACAAAGTGCTTTAAGCCTTCTTCACTACTGACAACAGGCATGATCAAGATGAGGCCTGATTGAGATGACGTTTCTTAAACTCACTTGGACACGCTCTGCTACAGAACTGTATCTCCACGGCTAGCTTGCCTGTCATGAGCGGTTGTGTGCTCATTAATTCACTGAGCTCAAACTAGACGTGTTAAATTAGCAGTGCCAGACGGGCCTTACACATGGAACAAAAGTCTCTTTCAGACGAGCTATCTGATATGTTATATTGATTGTTGTTATATTCAAAATTGTGTTATGATTGCCGCACTAACAACCTTTGCCTTATGTGTCAGTGAAACACTTTGCCACTCCAGTGCCTTTCATCTGAGATTGAGAAACCCCCCTGCCACCTCAAATTACAGACTCATGCCGGTTGTGCACTGTGGACATTTCACTTTTCATCATGAAAAGGCTATTTTAGGTTCAAAACACTTGTAGTTCCCCATTTGATAGAACAAGGGGAAATTCTGTACGTGTCTGGTTCTGGTTTGTGACAGGAAGTCACTGACGTTCAAACTCAGGTGCGTTAGTTCTGTCATGTGTAACACACTTGTGCTTTTGTTGAGTACTTGAGTCCCTTTTCTTTGTTTATTGTCGTGGCTTTAAAGAAGCAGATAAATGCAAAGTCACAGCCCATATTTAACATTCACAACTCAACATTCAGGTGTCTACAAGAGGCCGGCAAAACAAGAAGACCCGGTCTTTATTATCCTGCAACCGCAAAGCTCTGCGTTTGCCAGACAACGTTCCAGCAATTCATCTGCAGTTCACTGAATACTACTTTCCTGACAACCCAGGTTTTTCAGGTATAATGCAAACATATTTAACCATATTAGTTTTTTTCTTTCTCGAGTTTAGGTTTTGTATGACGATGAGCGATGTATGTAATTCTGCTTTACTCACATACTGTGTTTTTCATTCATTATTTTTCATTAATGCACAACCCCCTTTTATATTAAGTATAGTCATACAGACCTGTTTTTTGTGCTTCTGCCTTTGTACATTTACATGACGGTATCTCTCGCCTTCTTTCCTTCTTCCAGTACCCACGTCCAACCTGTATGCCCAGCTGAACAGCCTCCAGCTCTGTGTAGACCCAGCCAGCGTTCTGTGGATCAATCTGTTTTCCAGAGGTCTGCTGCACACCCTGGACCAGGTCAAAGCTTTCTACCATTTACAAGACAGCAGCAGGGCTGAAGAGCATGTAGACGTCCGCATGGATGCCACTCAGCTCAAGGTGAACTGTTTTTACATATTAGTGGTTTCTTTTTTTTAAATTCAAAACACATTTGTGTAGCCTGTTTTTCGGCGCTTGTTGCAATGCTAACAAACGTCTGTAAATCCATGGTTTTTATATTCCTTTCTGTAGTTGATAATCCCCTTGGATTCTTCCATATTGGACCATCCGGAGCGGCCACAGTCGCTCTCTGTTACTGTACCCCAGATGGTTCTCAGTAACACTCGCCTCTGCCCCCATGGCTCCAGAGCTGACCTCAACAACACCTACACCAAGTTCACCAGCTGCCCTTTCTTCCAGCACACACCTCCCTGCCCTTACCCCAGAGACCAGAGTGCCTTCCACCCCATCCCATCCATCTTCCTCCAGCACTCTCAGGAGACCGAGCCCCAACCTCTGGACAGAAAGCAGCTGCGATCCCAGGACGTCTGGTCTCTCAGTCTGTCCCGTGTGACCCTGGGTTTTGATGGAGCTCGGCGATTCCCCAAAGGCGGAAGCCAACCTTTTGTTGAGCCCTTCGCCATGTCTGCGTGGATGTGTCAGCCCTCTGCCTTTAAAAACGGATCATCGTCTTCCTCCTCCAGTCCCAGCAGAGACCACCAGCCTTCCTCAGAGCAGGAAGAGGCTTCTCTTGCCTCTTTCCACTTCTTGGCCCACACCATCACTCCAGTGAAGATGTGGCTCAACCACTACCAGTATGTAGCCCTGCTGAGGATGAAGGATGCCATGGCTCGGTTGGGGGCGGAGTTGGGCCGGGATCTACGAGATGTTAAGCAGGCTCATGGTAAGAAGACAAAACCTGCTACAGTTTGTCTTGCCCTCCTGGTGGACTCTGCAGAACTGGGTCTCCTGTTGCCACCAGTGTGCACAGAGCCTGAGGAAGAGGTCCCCCACACCCCAGAGACAGACAGCCCCAGCATAACAGACTCTGACATCTCCCCCACTCATCATTCTGCAGTGCTGGAGGACAGCGCGTTAGAAAACGGCATCTCCTCGCTCAATACTGCCTCTGCGAATGATCAGGATGAACAGGATTTGGTGGTGGAGGAGGCATGCGAGGCTGTGGAGGAGGGCTTGGAGGGGGATGGTTTGACAACACAGCAGGACACCACTGTCCTCTCTCCTCCACTCTCACCTGGACACTCCCCCGTACTCTCCCGCGAAATGTCCAACTTCAGCCTGGAGGGAGAGCTGTCCAGCGCCATCAACGTCACCAAGGATGCAACCAAAGATGCCATCAGTGCTTCGCTGGACCTGACCAAAGGGGCGTTTTCAATAACAAAGGACGCCTTTAGCATGCTGAGTCGTGGCTCGGGCATGAGCAAATTGTTCAGTACGCAGGCAAAGTAAGTGCTCGTGCTCTCCTGCTGTGCTGTTGGCAATGTAATAGTATTTGTGTGTCTGGAGCCCGTGCTATGCACCACATGCTTTTACTGGCTGTCCCTCAAGAAACTCTGTGTGTGTTTTTGTGTGTGTTCATAGGGAACAGGTCCAGCGTTCAGAAGACGCCTCCCCCTCTCTGGCTGCCAGCCTGCGCCGCCAATCCATGAAGCAGTCGCCTTCCCAGCATTCCTTTGATAGCGCTATCTTGGATGGCAGCCTGCCTGACGAAAATCTCTCTGTGGATAGCGATATCAGTGACAATTTTGTTGTCCTCATGGACTCGGGTGCTTAAAACACGACAACATTTCAAAAGCAATTTCTCTGAGTCAGACAGGTGACACCTACTATAAGTTTTACTCATGTTTCCAGAGTCGGGCATGGAGTCCATGCGTGCCAACAACACTCCTGCAGGCACCCGAGGCAGCCCAGCCTCTGGTGCAGAGGGAGGTTCATCAGCGGACCTCAGCAGCTCTCTGTCCCAAAGTATTGAGGACATGTCTCAGGATATGGTGGGTCACTAAGCTCATCTAGCAGATTTCATGGATAGATGGAATCTGCCAGTGGAGTTGCATTATTCTCCTGAACAAAGTCATATTTACATGTGATTGTATTGTGATGTGTTGTTGCTCCAGTCCTCAGTGTTGCTGCTGATCCTGAGTGGAACAGCTTGCACCATGGACGTCAAGGGAGAAGATCAAGTTGTGGCTGTAGAAGCTCAGAATCTGAGCCCTGTGCAGATGGGCAATATCAGGGTATCAGACCTGCTGGCTGGCCTCATACAGGGTAACTTGGATTATTGTTGCCATGCTGTTTGCTTCCTATCATCAAGCTCTTGAAAAATATTTTCTCCGTTTTACCTGATCAAGTGACAGTGTTTAAAGCATGCTGGGAACTTGTTGCAGTGTAAAGTGTCCACGTGGCTCACAGATGGACTTCCCTCTTTTGTTTCTGCAGCTCCAGGCGGACCAGTCCCGAAGCAGCATGGACAGGGTATCAGGGGCTCTCCAGTCGTGTGCATGCGAGCAGAAATGGGTCCGTCTGCTGCCCGACACTCTGCTGTGGCTGAGTCTTCTGGCTTTTTGGACATAAGAGTGCAAGACTGCCAGGCACAGTTGTTGACCTCCACCGTGACCAACATTGGTCCTTTTCTGGAGGACGAGTTTAGTGCTGATGGTCAGCCAATGAAGATACACATAAGCAACATCACCATCACTATGAAGGTGGGTTGTTGATACTGTCTGTATATTATTATAAACAGTATGAAGTATATGAAATAAGCATATTTTTCTAACTTTTGAGGATAATCAACTCTGTAAATCCTACTATTTAGTTTGTTTTAAGTATATATACCCTGGACTCCTTGTAACGCTGTGGCAATACTGAGCGGATTATCCTGCTGAAATATTCTAATTGAAGCTTTGGACCGACTGTAATGGCGGTAAAAGGAGGTATGTGGTTCATTGTCTGGATTCCTTTTGTTTCTTTTAGGATGATAGCCCTAAAATCTACCCCACGGCCCCTCAACCTGTCCCAGCCTCGTTCATTGTAGATCAGCTGCTCCTCGAGCGCGGTGACGATGGCATCATGAGGCTTAGAGGTGAGCAAGAAAATAACTTATACTCGTCCGTATTGTGGATACACCCAACTATCAGCAGGATCATGAACCGTAAAACCACAAATACTCCAGCTCACAACATCTGCTGAACAGAAAGTGATCATCACCATTTCCTTTTTGACTGCAGCTGAAGGTACAGACCCCCCTAAAGCCTCAGCAGGTGATCCTGAGGCTGGCCCGAACAACCCAAACCGTTCCTGCTCTGTTCAACAGCAGCACGAGGTAGGGGAGACCACACAGTACCTGGTACCATATACTGTATATGCTTCAGCTTCGCATGTCTACGTAGCTACTATTTCTACTTTCCCCCCACTGGCTGACTACTCCATACTCCTGTGATATTTCCTATTTATTTAAGTATACAGCACATTGTTATATGATATTAAGCACATCACATTTCTTCCCTGACTTCGGGTAGCTCTTTCTTTTTTTCCCACCACACATATGTTTTTATCCCTGAGTACTATTTCAGTATTTCCTGGCACATTTCTTAAAGAAATGTACATGAATTGTTGTACACTGTTGATTTTATTTTATTACACACACATCTATGGTCCTTTTGTTTCTACAGACCAAACAACATGGTTATATACATGTAAAGCCATATACCACACAGCATATTATCTACTAGATTCTAGGCCTTGATGTAGTTACTGATCATTATCCCGCAGACTATTTCCACACCCAAATTTCCCACATCAAAACATCACATGCTTTGGTCCTGTCCATATCCCAATCACAGCTTAGGGAGCCAACGAACAAAAGCACCTCTTTGTTTAGTATTGTAATGGGTGTGACTATCAAGTGTAACATTAATAATAAGTGTGAAATCAAGATAATGCTTGTAAACAAATTTAGTGGCTATCAAGATGAATATCAACACTGTACCAGCAATGAGGCTGCGTGTAGCTCTGTACTCTGATACTTTCACAGGGTCAAGTCTTAGATATTCAAACCTCATCTGAGTTAAAGGTTTACTCGTGTTTAAATCTGCAGTGATCTGCTCTGTCGGTCTTAAATACAGCCGTAATACTGGCGTCCTGTTACTGGTCAACGCAGAGACGTGTCCCTACACAAGATTGCGTAATGATATTGTAATCGCACCTGTTGCTGTGCGGCAGAATCTGATATCTGCCTACTTGGTGTGTAGCACTTTGCCAAAGGGTGCATTAGCTGTAGCTGGAACTAACCAATCCAATACTCCGTTACAGAGACAAACCCTGGACTCGCAGCTCTCTGATGCCCAGGCTGCTCTCACCCAGGCCCTCAGTGACAGAGAGCGCCTCCTTCTGGAAGTCAGGAAGCATGACCCCACGTTCGCTCTCTGAGCCTCTCTGTCTTTCACCCGTGACCCTGCTTCAACACTGCTCCTGCTGGGGAATGGTGATGGGAGGTACCGGGCTGAATGTCAGGAACCAGCAAGACTCAATAAAAGCAGGTCTGGACATTGGACATGTTCGAAAAAGAAGATGGATCCAAGTTGAGGCTTTGGATCGCCTCCTACTATATCACACTGTTAATAACATTACATAAGATCCCCTATAGCAATTATTAAAAGTAGAACCGAGTGAATTAACTTACATTTACATTATGGTACTACTTTCTATCTGGCAGTCTAGATATCCCTCACTGCTGTAACACAAATTATCCTGATTATTTCTGGACAGTTAACTCATTGCGTGGTTTCAGTGTGTGTCATGCAGCATGCAAGGTTTAATATCATGGAGCTGTAATTCTCTCCGGTTCATTATTCGTGTTACGGAACTGAGCACATGCCAAAAACCTCCTCTTCACATGCACTGACACTGCCAGACAGCTGCTTAGTCCGTCAGCCGCTCCCTCTACACAACGTAACTGTATGTCCAGCATGCTTCGTGAACACGTAGCACATTTACAGATAGACAAGTCATGAAGCTAGATAGACAAGTCATGAAGCTGAATAGACTTAATAAGGTAGATTACTTCCGTTAGGTGTGTGTGTGTTCCTTTTCATTTGAAAGTATTATAACAATATTATCGGCTGTTACTTGTTGAAAATGTGTAGGGAAAACGATGCACTTTTTAAAAATTATTGTAAAGGAAGCAGAACTACACTGCTTTCACTGAGAGACGGATGCATCTCATTTCCACCGTGGTTGCTTTATCACCAGGGTGGAATGGTTACTTATCAAGTTCTCACTGTTCTCAATAAGCGGGTTGAAACATTCCCCGGTGTTCTCCGTCTTTGAGTGGTGAAACGTTGATCGTGCTTCATTTGTACTGTGGAACAATGTGCTCTGTGGTCAAACATCCACTCGAGATGGGCCCGTCTTTGGATCGCTCCCTCAGTGGGGGAGATTAGTGTGCACAGTAGCTCCAGTGTTGAAAATGGAGTTAGTCTTTTCACTCTAACTCTCTGGTTGAAGGAGGTATGGGATCATACCGCCTACCAGAGTTATGATACTTGATCTCCTTAAAATGTTGTTATGTGGTTTGCCTGGACACATCTCAGACTGCTAGTGTTATTACCTCTGTGCACATCTGTCATGTATAATATAGTGGTCATGCACTGACGTGTGTATTTATTCAGATTTGTCAAAGTGTGTTTTTTGTTGTTGTTAGACTAAAGTTACTTTACGGTGTACTGAAGCCATATCAATCAAAGGAAATGGCATTTTAAAGCGGTGGTACTGACTGATGCACACAGTGTGTCGTGTAAATTACTAAATTCACTACAGAAACTGACATTTTTCAGTGGGTTTAATCCTGATCTGCTGCAGATTTGATCTATCGGACCATTTGCCAGTTAAAATTTCACTTTCTTTTTTCCATACATAAATCTGTTATATGCATGGATTCCAACGATGGATTTGTTCCTCAAAAAGACTGAACAGTATAACATTCATTGTACCAATACTTTAGGGAAACAGCCCAGTCGGCTACATTTTACATACAAATGTTCTCATCTTGTTACATCTGTGGTTTACAATGGTGCCTGTGGAGGTATGCTTATCTTTCATTATTGTCCCATTGTGTGCTCGGGAGACCCCTGGTGGCTGAACATGCCAGAGCATTTGATATTTTAAACATCTTTTCTTTCTCATCTCTGGCTGCCTTGCAAGCTATGAATGACAGATTTTCATTCGTACAGAGGAATGTCAAATATTTAAGCAATAGAAAGACAGTTTTGGTTTAACCAAGAACAGTAACACTACACATCTTTGATGTGGAATTCTTCAGTGTTCAAGATGACTAATGTCAAAGAAAAGTGATTTACCTGTCGACCAAGTTTTAGTGTTTCTGTGTACTTAACCTACCTAACTACCAGTGTAAGAATGCAGATACTGCCCTTTAACCTCAGTAGAACTTCGAGATGTGATTTCAGCTTTTGATGTTTTTGTTTTTGCATGGCCTTAGTAGACAAAAATACAGCTGTACGAAGTTAGCCTTCCCATGCTGGATGCAACATGTAGCTGTAAACCCAGTTTATATCCACCCTCTCCTCCGTCAGGCCTCACTGTGAAGTAGCATCCCTGCTGACAAACTGGTGCTGAGTTCCATCTGCTCATAGACATGCGAAAAGGAAGAGATGGACGGAGAGTGAAGCGAGACTAACTTCAACCCAGGCAAAGTGTTGCCACTGAAAGCAGGTGCATGTCCTGAGGCAATGTTGCGTACTTTGCCTTGTGAATTACTTGCACTTGTGTGATAAGTTCACTGGATTTTGCACTCGTTTTGATGTAAATCAGTATTTTTGTCAGTTGTGTAGTTATTTTGTATCGTCTTTATCACTTCGTTGAGACTAATATAAAATTGGTTCTGTGAACCAAAGCTAGTATGTGGGAACTATTTTGAAAGAATAAATGATTAATTGAACACATTTCAGTTGTGCCTTTGTTTTTAATAGAAAATGCATGTTTCCGTGTAACAAATACATTTCTAAGGCATCCACGTTGTTTGTCATAAAATATACAGCAAGTTATGCGTTCAAGTCTCACTCCAATTATTTTAGTAGTGTGATCGATAGTTTGCCCTAAATAAAAAGTCTACATATTTCCAAATCAAGTATTGTCAAATAAACTAAATCAATTCTGCGATGGGCTGAATGATTGCAGTCACCTACTCACTAAAGATTATACAATAAGAAATAGGATCAGTTTTGGGTCAAACTATTGAAAATTCACACAAAATATCTCCAAAGTTCACCAGTTCTTTCAAATAATTGAGGCACAAGACCAAAACAGTAAAAACAAACACTGTATTTACAACAATTATACATGAATAGAATGTCACACTATTTGCATCAAACAGAGGTGAAAGGCAGCTCAGAGAGGACTTAGACAGTTGTGATATCATGTAAGAGAGCCTCCTGATCTTGCTTGAATTGACCATTCTTCAATACTCCGGTCACTGATTTTGACTCAGGTTTTTCCACAAGCTATGGCACCACTGTTGGAATCCCAGTCACGTGCCCCATGCAATCCAGAGCAGGGGTACCTCAGTGAAAGAGAATTTGCTTATACTTCGTGTTGGGGATCTGCGCTCGGCTCTTCAACCTCCTCACTGCTTCCCTCATATGCTTGGGCTGAAGCGGTGGTGTCTCTCCCCACTTCTCACAAACGTCCAATGCTGCGAGGACAAAGAGAAAGTATTGAACTACACAAAAGTGACATTTAAACTGCAAGGAGAAGCCCAAATAAAGTACTTTCATTTGGTCTGAGCTTACTCTGTTTTTGTATATCTGACACTCACCTTCCTCAACTATTTCTCCAGCAAAAACCTTGGAAATACCCGACATGGCAATCACCACATTCTGGGACACCGATGATCCTGTTATGGACTGGATCAGCTAGAAAAATAAAGAAAAGAAAACATTGAGCCAATAAAGTAGCTTTGGAGATTAAAAGAAAAATAGAAATACTTACCCTCTTAATAGCTGCCTTGGGGAAGGCAGAACGTCTGTACATCTCATAGCGATTTAGCTGCTCTTCAGAAAAGGATGACACCAACACTCTGTAAGACAAGAGGAACATGGGGGTTACGTGCCGTTTACTGGGATGAGACTTGAAAGTATTTTTGGGATTGGAATATTCTGTGAGAAAGCCTTACTGCATCTTTTGTATTTCATCCTCGTCAACCTTTTGGCGCCTCTCCTTCTTCTTCTCTGGTTCCATCTTCAGTCTTTTGGAAGCGCTTCCTTCTTCATCATCTTCCCCAGCTGCCATATCCTTCACAGTGGAAGACAAAACAATGAGATGATCTCTGTGAAGCTGCATACGCTCATTAATATTGATAAGACAGAAAACGTTATGGTGCTCCATTAGTCTTTATTTAGAGCCCCAAGCTTCAAAACTCACAGCTTTCCCCTCCTCTTTGGCCTGATCTTGCGAGGACGACTCTTTGTTTACATCTGCAGGTTTTGCTGTGACAGATACATCTCTGGTGTCCTCTGATTTAGGATGCTCCTCGTTAGCAGACGTTGTTCTCTCATGTTTAGCCTCAGGTTTGATCCGTGCAGGGTCGGCCATAATCACTCAGGTCCCTCCAACGCTGGCTGACAGCTTCAGATTCTGTAATATCAATGGAGGTACTTCATTGGCTAACGCTAGCTGAGTTAGCTATCCGTTTGTTTTCTGTAACGTAACGTCACCCAAATCAAGATGGGAGCAAACGCGTTGCAGCTACACGACCATCTATAGTCGTCTGAGAAGCATTTTAGCTGAGAAGCGTCAATAAAGTATAACGTAGAGTATAACGCTTTGTGTTAATAATCATATTTACATATTAAATAGCATGGACACAACATGCACTTACCCTCTCTGCAGCTAGGCGTCAACAAAGCAGCACTAATAGCAAGCTACCGGTTGAGGTAAAATACCGTTAGCTTAGTATTCTACACTAGTGGGGAAGTAAGCTAACAAATAAAGATACCGCACTGCGCACTAATATTTAATTTAAGCAACTCCTTAGTCTTAAAGCAGCGATAACACCAGAGTGGTTCTCCTGGCTTGTTGATAGCATTATCCGGGTTTCCGTTTCCGGTTTTGAACAAACTTTATGGACACAGGCAGGCAGACATAAACACACAGAGAAATTCATCAAGAGTACTAAACAGGCTACCATTAGACACGATGTTTATTGTGTATTTGTGCTTTAACTGTTAGGAAAAAAATAAATACAGTGCTATGATTTATCTATTAAAGCAAACACACTGTTAAATCACAGTTTAGAGGTTTAGACAATCTTTCCTGCTGTTTATTGTCTGCTATCGCCTGATCAGAGGTTGTGAAATGTTCTTTTTCGTGATCACACCCATGAGGGAATTTTACACTTTTTTATTTTTTTTAGCAAATCTGTCATGAGTACCAACAATGCTTCCTAGTTATTCTTGATAGTCTCGCCCAGTTAATAGTTAACGCACATGGTGACTGTTTAACAATACATTATTAAACAGGTTAGTTTTGATAATGTGCTTCAGACTCCCATATGACAGATATCTCAAACACTGGATGGTATAATCCTGCCTCTCAGTCCACATACTTCAGCTCGGGCGCCATCTTGCTTATGCCCATCCACTCGATCTATGAAGCAGCTAAGGCGACTGGGGGGGTGTGCTAGGGGGTTGTGTGCGTGTGTATGTGTGTGTGCGTGTGGCTGAGGCGTTTCGGATTGGAGATGCAGAAAGAAAGGGCAGCTTCGAGGAAGTGACGGACGAGGCTCGGGGGGACTGGTCAGAGGAAGTTTGCTTGATGGTGGTACCGTGCTGCTGCAACGAAACTTTTCCTCCTTGTGACACTGGCGGCACCGTGGATCGGGACGCACGGATCCAGCTGCGGAGGGAGCTTTTCCTTTCCTCTCCGTACTGAGGAATAACCAAAGGTTCGGGTGAAAAAACGGGGGATCGCAGAGGAATTCCACCCCCCCCTCCACCCACCTACCCCCCAATTTTTCTTCTCTTCCCCGCGCCTCCTTTGATATATAGATATATAGATATATATCTATATATCTATATATATATATATATATATATTTTCTGGGATCCGCGATGGGGAAGGAGCAGGAACTTCTTGAAGCGGCGCGCACGGGAAACCTGGCCGCCGTGGAGAAGCTTTTATCCGGGAAGCGACAGTCCGCGAGCACCAGCAGCGGATCGTCAGGGACCGGTGGAAGCGGCAACAGCGGCGGGCACGGCGCCTCCTCTCATCCGCTCTCCAGTCTGCTCAGGTAGGCTCTGGAGGTGGATACGACCGAACGGGAGACAGCCAGCGGCGCTGTCCCTGTCAAGTATACTCTGATCATTTACTGTTGTACTCTATAAAGTATCAGAAATACTGTTGGCTACACAATAACCAGCCACGATGCTTCCCTTTGGCATTGCCAAACAAACACAACCTAAACCAGCGCAGGAGCAGTGGCATGCTTCTTTGTTAGCTCCCTGCTCTGTGTAAGCTGTACTGTAATGTGCAACACATACAAAACGGCCTTGGTGGGTAATGATGCAACTAAACTAGAGAGATATGCAACAAAACAGCCACTGTCTCTGTAAAAACTAACACGGATGCATTATTAATTGCTTACAGACAGTCTAGACACTCACTGGTGGAGGTGGAATAGAAAGCCAGTTGTCAGATCCAGACTATTATTTTCTTTAATTAAGCAGCATTATATTTGTTCCTGTTTGTTCCCGTGTTCCTTCTCTTCATCTGCACGGGTGTTCTATCTATCAGAGGTCACAGGAGGAAGTGTCTCGGTGAGGCAGACGGTTGATGTGGTTGTCCACATCTGTATCAGATCAACCATGTAAGGTTAGACATGTTCAGCATGCTCAGTTGAGGTTTTTGCTCGTCACCAAATGCTCTTTGTCCTCGTCACTCCTCCGTCATTAGTTGTGATTTAGAAATAAGAAAGCAAACTACAGTCAATGTACAATACCCGTCTTGCCCGCATGAACAAGGCCCACCTGTGCACACATGCACAGATGCAGATGGCTCAACTGATTTTGGAGTGCTGGTCAAAACAGAACACCTTTCCCTAAAATAGCCCTGAGTCCCCCTGAGTTTTTTGTTGATTATGTAAGATGATTGCATCAAATTCCTCTCCGTATTATGAAGAGGGAGCTTGGTCTATTAGTGTGCCATGCCTTTAACTTGGTGCAGATGAGAGCTGCTGGCTCATATTGAATAATAGGATGAAATGTAACGGATCTGATAAGTTCTGGGTTTCATTTTGCGCTGCAGATGTTATCTGAGTTATGGGCTTATACCACAACAGGATTTATGAATTACCCTGGGCCGAAACACGTTTTTCTGAAAATGATGGGAGTTTCATAATGCATCCATACTGTTCGCAGAGACAGCCATTGTGCTGTATGCAATATTAGGAATCCCAGAGAAAGACAATAACAAGCTTTGTTGTTGAGAAAAGCTTACTTTATAAAGCTACACAGGCTGCCTGTCGATCAAAGTGAAATATAGCTTGTAGACGTTTTATGCACAAACATATTGCCAGGCTAAGTGCAGCATGTCAAAAGCTTTCAAGTGGCTTCCCCGCACCCTTATTCTTAATGCTGAACACATGCAGATCTGTCAATCAAAATATGATATTGCTCCTCTGGGAGCCCAGGCACCTTCATTCAAGGGACGAGTGTTACGGCGAAGCCCGAGGTGATGCATGGCTGTGTTACTCAGCGCAGACTGCACAAGTACTCAAGGTAATTACATTAAACCCCTTCTAATCGGAAATCCAATTCCGAGATGTCATGCAGTCAAAGGCGGACTCCATCTCTCCCTCGCAGGTCTGTGGGCGGACCGAGGAGCCCGTTGTGTGTCATCTACTCTGACTTGCGCAATCAATGTTTGGCAACGATAGCTCTGGGAAATTATTGGCTAGACTCTGTAGGAAATTAATGAACTACTACTGTACAACAAAAAGAAGAGTGTTGCCTGTGGACACCTGAGCTCTTAGAATATAACAAGTTGCAAGATCTGTGACCACGGGGCATTCTGGGGGATTGTTGCTATTGTGTGTGGCGTTTGATTTAGTTTGCATAATGAAAATGTCAATACGTTTTAAGGACATCACAGTGAATTACTGCAGCGGTACAGGCTTTGGCTTGGTGGGCGTGTTTCCTTTTCTTTTCCTTCACCAGCATTGCTCTGTAACTTATTCATCATCCTCCATTGTTGTAAAGCGTGAGGCCTGTAATCCTGTCAGAGGAGATTTGATCGGTAGGATCTGTCTTTAGAAAATTTGTAGCCTGCGTTGGTTGTGATGTCAACAAAGGGATGTGTGTTGTTTACACTCCTGCTGCACTCCGCTCTAGTGCGAGCCCTTCAACTTCCATTTCTGTCAGGAAATATGTGTAATTTGAGTTGGCTTGTAGCCAAAATAGGTGTGTAATTGTTGTGTTTTGAGCTGTTCTAGCGAGATATTAGGCCGTATGCACATAATCTAGTCAATAACATCCTGTTTAATGTACAGATTAAACAACGGGCTATATGCCGTTGTCATAATCTAACCCAATCAGCTCCATTGTTGTTCTTTGAAGGTGTGTTGTGTTTTCACTAGATTTTCGGTGTTCTTGCTCTGGAATGGGGAGCTTGTCAAGACTTGCGTTGTTGTTGTAACCAGTCGAGTGTACAGCTCTGCTCTGAGGAATGTCTGCTTTCCCAGGAGGCTGCATCCCAGCGGTTGCCACGATATAGACACTGACCCCCGGCATGTTTTAACGCTGCTGCCGCCGCCCCCGAACATTTGTTCCGTGGCGCTTCATTATCACCAAGATGGGCTGGGGCGGGGCTTCCTCGAGTTAGAGGGTCACGGTGTAACCTTCATAGTGCCACGGGAAGTAAACCTGATGAGCTGATAGTGTTAGTTGGAATTATTTAAGCCATTTTGGTATCTATAGTCTGTTTAAACGGTATTGCATGGGCTTGGGTCCATGTGTACTTCCTGTCAGCTCATGTCATTCACATACAGGAAATAAAGCAGGACACGTTTGGAATGTTTACAACTGTGAAATGGTCCATTTGAGGCATTCGCAGTGTTTTCATAGTTCTTGCTATGGCCCCCAGACCCCATTTTGATCCCAGAGGTCTACAGGAAGAGCTCTTGACTAGCACTTCCTGGACGAGGTTGTCCAAACACAGGCAGCTGCTGCGGTCAGACCCGGGGTAAGACAAGTCCCTGGCAGAGAAAGTGCCGGCCCACTGAGGGGGAATTAAAAGAGGAATGCATGCAGTTCTGGACACACACTCTGAGAGCTTAGCCAGATGAGGGCTCATCTCCCAGCATCACAGCCATGTCCTTTGTCCCACTGACAGAGCGTAGAATGATGCCTTTTCACATTCATATCAGTCCCTAAAGACCATGCTGGGGCTTTTTTTTTTTGTATTACAAAGAAAATTGAGCTGTCATTTGGATAGAATTGGACCACCACCTATTTAGAGTGTTGGTTAATACAAGTGGGGCTTTTTATTTATTTCTTTATTTTTAATTGAAATTTGGTATTCACAAAGGCCTCTTGAAATGTATTTTCTCCGCAACACGTGACGCCTTTCTCTAAATGCTAGAGAGGAAAGTATTCCTATCAGTGTAATGACTTGTTTAGCATTTTAAGAGGCTTGGGCACGACTCCACATCGTTCCATCCCATTACATACACAATTTCCCAAGCAGACCCATGCTTTCAGACCGGTGTGAGCCGAGAAAATAGCCGCTGCATAGACTGTCCTTTAAAAACTAAACAAATGTCCCTGGAGCTTCTCTGTTATTGTAGAATTCACTGAGTGTGAAGGTGCTCTGCAGGGCTCGGGATGGTGTGTCTGCAGATGACCGGCTCACAGCGGGGATCTGACACCCTCAGTCTTTAGCTGGGTTTCACTGTAGCTGTCAAAGCTCATGCAAACTGTCTCACTGCCCGCTTTGTGTGCAGGCAGACAGCGTTAACAAGGCAGTTTTATTCGCTTTTCCAGTGCTGGTGAGACCCTCGCATCATTCGTAGGTAGGCAAAAGCAGGCCGAACAGCAGGTCTGGCAGTCGCATTTCATCCACTGTTGACCTCTGAACTGAGAGAAACTGTAGCTGGTTCAGCCCAGGAGGGAGCAGTGGTAGCTGGGAAATCTAACACCACCATGTTAGCATTCCAGGAGCATCTGAGTTTGGGATGCTCTGCGCGTTATGTTTACGGCCCATGTTTGTGTAGTCGGAGAAGGCACTCAGTAGCAGTGATGAATTCCACATATGTGTGGGTGTGTGTGTGTGTGTGTTGGGGGGGGGGCAGACACTGTCAAGTACAGTGTTTAACCTGGTAAGATAAGAATAGAGTTCATCCAAGTGGGTCAGGTGTTACTTAATTCGTTTGTAGAGGAAAATCTCCCGATAAGTTGTATGGATGCCAGTCGACGATGATAATAACTGGACAGCAACCGTTCTGAAGAAGAAATGTCTTCTTAAAACCCATCTACACCGTTTTCAAGAAGATTCTGACATTCACTAATGTTGTAAGAGCAGACTCTGCATGCTCACTAACTCTTTGTGACTTTTATTCGGGGCCTTTCAGTTTGTGCGTGCACACGGCCCTGCAGTCTCATGCTCTTTAATGCCTATTGGCGGGGCGTTTCCCTATGGTAATTAGGATCAACCGGCATGTGCTTTCAATTTAAGAGGACAATGGGACCCATCATTATAACAATGCAGGTACGAACAATTCAGCAGTTTAAGAATACGTCATGAATGTGAAGTAGACTTTTCTGAGGTCAATCTTAGGAAGGGAACGGTGAATGAGGCCCATTGATATCAATGGGCCTTTTCATTATTTAAATCGCTTCATTAGACACATTTTTGTCTCTTAGTTCTCCTTTTCTTTATAGTTCTGTGCTTCCCGTGTTAAAAGAAACAGAAAGTTGCTTATGTCGGCAACACAAAGACACATTTACTGCGTCTCATGTGAGCTTGTTCATGTGAACTCTACTTCACCCCACTTTCGGAAAGCCTTGTAATAACAAATGGACAAATGGGGAAAGATAATGCTGCTGAGGTTATGGTGCATCTCTGTGTGTGGTGGTTGAGCCCATTTGTAGGAAGAGACCAGAGACGTCAGCCCCCCCACCTTCTCGACCTGTGCAGTCCTACATGTGCGTTAGCTGGATGGTAGCAACCCCCGACCCAGACGTTTTCATCCTGCTGGGTGGCGTCTTCCTTTCTCTCCCACTCTGCTGCTCTCAGCAGTCTTCTTGCCCACCTGCTGAGCCCCACGCCGCTCCACCTCCACCTCCAGACTTCAAACATGTTGCACCTGGAGCCAGAGTAACGGTACTGCCCTCAATATGTTCACACAGGAAAGAATTTATCGGAGAATCCCCTTCGCTTTGATACGTGTGCAAACCGTATAAAAGTAAAAATAACTGACCGTCCGCCCGGCAAGATTTTAGTTGAAACTGCACATCGGCTATTTCGAGCAAAAGGCACCGGGGATGTGAAACCGTGAGATCTGTCTACACAGACCTCATAGCAGAGTTTATCAGGAGTTAGGGTTAATCAATGGTCAGAATCATCAACCACGTGATCAAGAAATTAAGTCACAGACTTGTTGACGCTGTGCCAAAGATCTGAAGTTTGTTGCCTGATTTATTTCTCTGTACTGCCCAACTTGTTAAACTCCCCCAAAACAAAACAGTACATATTCACTACCCCCAACCTTCATGATGAGTGTGCACTACTTTATCACAGTCTTAGGTCTTTGATCCCAACATGCTGTCTTGCCAGAGATTTTAGCTCATTAAGGGCATTAAGAGAAATAAATGTATTATTATTCCTCAGCGGGCCTGGATGCCTCTGGCAGGTGCTTCGTTCTCTCTCTGCCGATCAGAAGATGCTAAAGTTGACTGTTTGGTTGCGGGGCATCTGGTTTCACCACCCGCCAGCAATATGCATAATAATCAAGCCCAGTTTCCCTGACGGTGGCTGGCATGCGCCAGTCACTGCTGGGCTCAGTGCCCTGGGCGAGACTAATCCCCAGTGTTGTCACCACCGCTAATAGGCCGGAGGACAAATCTGTTTATTTGACACCGGGTTCACAAACACCTGGGTTCTTATTTGCTTAAACCTAAGTTTCAATTGTGCCTCGACTATTCCTTAAGGCTCCATGAATAATCATGTGATCATAACTTTTGGTTTCCACAGGAAATATTGTAGCGTGCTGCTGAAATGGAAACATTTACTTTGAATACCTGCTGTTGTTAAATGGCAATAAAAAGATTAGCTATGCAAGGAATCTGGTAGTTCTGGTTAGTCCTGGTCTAGACGTAGACCAGGATATCTAGTATCTTCCTGTGACCAGATAGTTTAGTCACTTCGCATGAGAATCGACAAGGTGTAAAGAACGAGACTCCAGTGTCTTCTGTTCGTGCGTTTAATTATTGTTCTCCGTGACATCTGGAGTAAAACACAGTGGAGATTTATATTTAAGACCACATATTTTGGTAAATGACCGTCTTTCTATCAGCAGACTAATGCAGAGAACACATAAAGGAGGGAAAATGTCATTATCCTCCCTCCTCTCGTACTGGCCGGGCTTTGTACAACACAGTATTAGAGCCCCCCCAGAATCTTTCTCAAACTCCGGCTTCATCCCGCTGATATTCCCTCTGGGAAATTAAGGATTAGCTCAGTCTTTCATACAGGAATTCCTCAGTCAGTTCGCATGAATGTGCCCCCTCCCAAACCAAATCAACTCTTCTTTTTTTTTTTTTTTGCCCATTGCCCTGCTATGGGCCTACTAAGCCCCGTCCCTCAGTTGGGTTGGTGGTGAGCCGTAGTAAGAGGATGAAGTGGGTTGTCGACTGTCGAGCACCACTCTGACTCATGCCCTTGAGCGCCATGCTGCCAAAATGCTCTGAGGACGTAACACTTTGACTGCACTTAAAAGCTGCAACAACAACGAGGCAGCTCTGCTCACAGCAAGTTTTAAATACCGTGACAGCGAGGAATTGTAATGAGCAGACATCTTTGTTCCCTCTGCGTGCAGATGATCGTGATAGCGTTAATTAACACCCGTGTCCCAGATTAGAGCTGTAATATCACGGATATAGAAAGCAGAAAGTGACCTCATGCTGTGGTTTGTGATGCATTGTTGGGTTGTCTTTTGGTCGTGCAGTTGATGTAACGCAGTGTTTGTGTTTCCGAGTGCAACTTCTGTCAATGACGCATCCAACTCATGACCGCAGAGGACGACCAACCTGCAACGGTGTCAAACATTTTAGCTTCTATACCACATTTTCTATTAAATTGATGACTTTGAATGTCAAAGGGAAATCTTTGAGTTTTCATCTTGCATTATTGTTTTTAAAGCACATTTTAAATGTCCTCACGTTCACTCGCATGACTTGACAATCGATGCAATGGGATCACAAGATCGTGTTAATTGCGTTCCCACAGCCACGGCACGCCTTCTCACATTACTCTGGCAGTCGTTCCTGCCCTATGCCCGATTTTGTTAAATTCTTTAGTCGTGGTCGCTGCTCTGTTCATGTTTATGTTAGTTTGTTTACGGGCTTTTTGCTGTAAGCCGTTACATAACTCTTTATCTGGGACAGCAACGAGAGGTCTGTTTCTGTCTCCCGTTTTCTCTTTTGATGTGTTCAGCGGCCACGCACAAGGCAGTGTTGCTGTACTCTTAACGAGAAATTTGGTTACTGGTTTGGGAGGAATGGAGAGGAAGTGTGTGTGTGTGCGTGACGCCTTAAGAGCTGACTTAATCGTAGCTCACACATTTTCTTCCTCTCTCGTAACAGAAGTTTATCAATCCACAGCACTTCCTCCCGCCACACGTTCCCAAGTATTTCCTATTTTGTTGAATTAAGATTTTCTTATTCAGATATTATGTAATGGACCTAAACTAAATGGTCAAAATTGATGAAGTGAAATGAAAAGACTGAAAAGTGGTGTAAGCATTTATTCTTACAGAAAAATAATTAGAAAATACGTTTTGGCTTTTGGCGAACTCCAAACGTGTTTTCTTTTTTTCCCCCAACCTCTACTGTGGAGCTTTACAGCTCATTCGGGGTTATCTTCAGTCTCTTTGTTGCCTCTCAGATTAATGCCCTGCTTGCCTGGTCCGTGAGCATCGGTCCTCTCTTGGCAGGTTTGCTGTAGTGCCATGTTCTTTCCATTTTTGTAAGAATTGGTTTAATGGTGCTCCGTAAGATCATGTGACGGATCATGTGACACTTTGTACACAGGCGGACTTAATTTAACTAATTACCTGAAGATATTTGGTAATAGCAAATCCTTAGCAAAGGGGGTGTATACATATGCATGCATCAAAAAAGGTTTTTGTCATTACAATTCTGACTGTTTTGTCTAGCGTTTATTTTAATTCCATGCTGTAATGCAACAACATATATTAATCCCAAGGGGGGTACATACTTTTGCAAGGCACTGTATTTCCTCCGAGCTCTGCTTTTTGATGCCCCATGTCTTCCTCATGGCTGCCTGACTGGGAGCGCCTGCTGTAAGAAATAAATGGCTTTGGGAATGACTAGTGGAGTGGTGCATCCCTGTGTGTCTGTGCTCTATCAGGCTCATTGTTCTGCAGGCTACAGAGCCCTCTAAGACACTTATTTAATGAGACGGCTCTGACTGTGTAATTGCAGGCTGCTCTGAAAGCTATTATGGGAGGAAAAAACAACCATTACTGCGACAAAAAATAGTCTTGTGTGTGTGAAGCAAAGTCAAACAGTAGCGCTGAAGCCGATATGAGGAGGGTGAGCAAAAAAGAATTAGGCAAATCGCCCGTAATGCTGTTCGTTGTCCTCATAGAGTTCTCTCCATAGGCTTGATTCATTGAAAGGACATAAGTCATAATTCATGAAGCCATCCTAACGTCAGATCAGTAGTTTGCATTGGTTTTGAGACGGATTTCTATATCAGAAGCTAAGTAAATAGTAAAAACTCTTTTGGCATTCTCTCCCATTCGTGATTGATTCTCCGTGAGGCCCACTGGTTTCGCTCCCATTCTCTGTCTGTTCGGCGGTCTGTCGCCCGATTTATTTAGGATGTGTTGAGGTCGTTCAGAGAGCCCCACATCCCAGTCCTGGCACTCCGCCTCACCAGACATCCTTTAGCCTCTTAAATTACTCCCTCAGTCTCCCTTTAAACCCCCTCCCACCCCCCCATCTTCTATCATCGTTCTCTTTCCTCCTCACCACAGCGCTCTTTGCAAATTAAAAGGAACAAACCAATCTGAGCTGACAGCTGACTTCAGCTCCAGTGAATGAGAGTGCTGGGCTAATGCTGGGCTACCTTACTCTTTACCCCTTCAATGCTTTTAGGCCCTGCTTTGTGTGTTGCTGCTTGCCTGTACTGCATAACAAAAGCCCTATTCTTCTTCGAGGCCTTGGCCCAGAATAATCAGGCTGATGTTGCATGTAGTTACTGTAAATTAAGACAGAATTAGCTGGTAGCTGATGCTCAGTGCTGACAGTATCTGTTTTACTTCCTGGTTTTCTGGTTTGATGCTGCTGCTGCTGTGTGCCTTCTCATTCCTGTCCTCTCACATGATATTTTAGCGCGAGAGAGAGAGAGGGAGTGCATGTACACCCCCACCTGTGTGTAGGTGGTGGTTGGGGTGTGATATGAACTTGCTGCTGCGAGAGGACTGAGGCCCTGAGATAACGATCACAACAGAGTCACACCCACAGTTAGAGACGTCACAGAGGGATAGGCTGGTGTTTGTTTGCTATGTGTGTGTTGTGTTATGGAAGCCTAACAACCCTTTCTATTCTTAACAGCATCTGGAGAGGCCCCAATGTGAATTGTGTGGACAGCACTGGATACTCCCCTCTCCACCACGCCGCCCTAAATGGACACAGGTAGATCAGTGATAAATAACTCTGGGAATCGGGAGAAAAGCCCGTTTCAGCTCCCGTCTTTGTGCGTTTAATGAGGTCTGCCCCTCACAGACAAGTGTCCCACTGGGGAAATAAAGCTATTGACTGGATGTTTGCTATGGCCGCGTGTGTATTCATTAGTGTGGTTCATACTCTCGGCCCCTGTCCCTTCCCTTCGTCTGCAGCGAAGTGGTGGAGGCGCTGCTGCGAAACGAGGCCTTGACCAACATCGCCGACAACAAGGGCTGCTACCCGCTCCATCTGGCTGCATGGAAGGGAGACGAACACATCGTCAAACTGCTCATTCACCAAGGACCCTCACACCCCAGACTCAACGAGCAGGTCTGCCGCTGCATTTGCTCTTCTGTGTGTGTGTGTGTGTGTGTGTGTGTGTGTGTGTGTGTGTGTTTTGGACTCTTGGCTTCACTTTTTGGTTTTAAACCCATTTACCATGCTGATAATATCATGAGTTGTGAAATGTTACCAAATTGATTTGTTCTCCAATCTGATCGTGGGAGTCTGTGTCTGCAGAAGATGTATTGGGTTGTCTTTTAAAGTAGAAAGAAAGTTTTGATTTTCAGCACACTTGTTGACCTTTTTGAAGTTTAACAATTATATTTTTAATGGTTTAGTCAGCAGCCATAGGAAGTCAATCATTTTTACACTTGGTAAGGAGGTAATTTCTAGAAACAAAATGCCACATGGAGATATTTCTGATTCTAGTTCAGCATGGCATGCTCTGCACTATATTTGAACAAAGTGAATGTTAGAAAGATTGTGACCAGAGTGCATTAACCTGCATCATGAGTCTGACTTCTACTGTGATGCTGTGGTATTTGAAGTGTTTTGATGCCATGCTAGTGTGTGAAGTGCCCTCCCCCTTTTGAACTGTTTTATCGCTTATGTTTTCATATTATGTTTGGTTGCTTACTGCACAAGACAGCTTCCGGACCGGCTCTGGTCTTTCCTGTTTCGGGATGAGGAGAAATGACCCATTATGAGCTCCACAAACGTTGTCTAAAAGGCTCACAGTTTTAGCAAACAAGCAGCCCTAAAATGTAGCAAAAAGATGAAAAAGTATATTTGTCTCATTTTGTGTCATTTCTCCCGGCCTGTTCATGACATCTGATTGTTCATTAACCCAACTCTGATTTTTTGTTTCTCCTCTTTATTTAGTTTGACTCATTTGTGATCACCATTCATTTTGTCATTGCTTGTCTGAATCCATTGGCCTATGTTCTCTTCCTCCCTCCCAGAGCTCTGTAGACCATAAAGAGTTCAAACGCTGTGGGCCCTTTGACCCCTATATTAATGCCAAGGTGTGTACACAGTGCTGCCGAAAAACAACCTCTCCCTCTGAAGTGCTCCTTTGCTTTGCTGCCGTGTTGTCTTGCTGTGCTTTGGTTGGGTTTGTTGCTGCTGCTGCTTGCGGGGGCCACTCTGCTGCAGAGATAAAGGGGAGGCTTTTTTGTTTCACCGACTACCGGTAGATCCCTGTCCTCTGGCTTCCCTGCTCATGTACGCTCGTGATCTGCAAATTTATTGAGATGTTTTCAACATGCCCTCCACCACATAAGGTCATCTATTATTTTTTGAATGTTACAATACTGTTGAACCAGCCTTTTGGTTGGGGTCAGGCACTAAATGTCTGTCCTCTGAGAGCCACCGGAGGTGATTTATAGGACCGGGTATGTTAAAAAATTTGCTAAATTGTAATGAAAGCTTGTATAAAATGCAGCCTGAAGCAGTACAGTTGTTGGCACCACACGACCAGCATATATACTGAGCAACCAACAGCTACAACGACCATTATGGTATTAAAAAGAAAATCGACAATAGAAAGGCGACAAATGTAGCTCACAGGAAGTCCTCTGTGATATTGACTGCTGGATAGTGGTGGATTGAGATGAATGGTGTGGTGGAGCCATATTTTCACCTCTGATTAATGATCTGATGAACTGTTTTTGTAAATTATTCACACAATTCACCTCAATCCAGTCTAACCTGTAGCTACAAAACCTGTGTTTTATTTTTAGACATGCTTGCAGCGTGTCTCTGTGGATGGCAATATTGGTTGGCCAGCCACTTTAGTCCAGACTGATCTATCGATTGACGTAACCTTTGTACATGGTCCCTAGAGGATGAATCCTACTGACTTTTCCTCAAGCGCCACCATGATGTTGATATTTGCAGTGTTAAGTGAAATGTCTCTACAGCTATCTGATGGATTGTCATGACATTTGGTACTCGCGTTGTCTTCCTCAGGAGTCATTTAAATAACTTTGGTGCCAAAGCAGCCTCATCTGTACTTTGTGTTGGTTAGTTAGCAAATCTTAGCATGCTCACATGCCGAACTGAGATGGTGAACACAATAAACATTACTTGCCAAACATTAGCATGTTAGCATTGTTCACATTCAGCTAAAAGCACCCATGAGCCTAAGAGTTACATCGCAGAGCTGCTAGCATGGCTACAGACTTTTGTTAAGTAATAATACAATTATTTGTATGATTGAAATCAATTAGTATTCTTCTGATTGAGAGATGTATTAACCAACTATTTATTTTAGCACCACTGTATTGTTTCAGAGGTCAATAGAAAATAGAATCAGGCACACATTTAGCGGAGGATGGATTCAACTTTTACTCTCTTCCTCCTTATCTGGAGCACATACAGTCTTCTATCAGGCGTCTCTATATTTCACTGTGAGCTCCCTCCTCATTGCATTCAGCTTCCCAGAGGAGCCCCAATTACAGCGTATCTACACGAGGAGGATGGCTGTACAGCTGACACGGCAGCGCTGACAGTGTCACCCTCTCAGTTAGAGCAGTGAGCAGTGCGAACGTGTCCGTCGCTCCATGATTGCGTTTTCAGCTGGCGGAGCTGGAATCCCACACAGGCCTGCAGATATAAGGCCGCACACTATTTCTGAACATTGTCGCATTTCCTCTGGACTAATCTTCTTAGCGTTTGGATGGGAAGCCTGGCTTGCTGCTATATATTATATATATATATATATATATTGCTGCTTACTGGCCTTTTTTCCATTGAGTCTCTTGATCTGCTGAGATTGTGGGTGATGTCTAAATGCAAACACTTCCGGGATAGTTTGGGGACCACTACCTGGTCAACCGGCCTGAATAATTGAAGCCTTGTTATGAATAAATCAGAAAGATTGATGCAGTGTGGATGCTCTGGCTCTGGTTGTGGTCATAGTTGATGGCATCATGTGACTTGAGTTGGAGGGGAGCATCCTGCCTCTGCTCTCATCACACTCCAGGACCAGAGAGCCAACTGAGGAGGAGGAGGAGGAGGAGGAGGATGGGAGGTTTTCAGTGTACCAGTCTCTTTGCATCAGCATCAAAGATGGATTCCCATGCCACGCTTGTGAGTGTGTAAATGGGTGTGTTTGCCCCTCCTCCTCCTCCTCTTCTCCCCACCTCCCAGTTTGTGCTTCGGAGCTTGCGTTGCTGAGGAGAGGAAGAGGTGGGACGTTGTCATAGTAACAGTGTCACGGTATACAGCGGTGGTGAGTGACCCAGTGGGGAGATGTGGTGTTTGTGCAGAGCCAGAAGTGAGCGTGGTGTGTGTGTGTGGTGAGGCTTAAAGCGGCATCCGGGGCTCGTTCACCGTCGGGGCTTCAGTGGTCCCCTTCAAGGACACGAAGGGAGTCAGACTGGTCCAGTTCTCTGTCATCCTGGTCCAGGAAGCCAGCGAGACCAATGTGTATTCATTATGGCTCTGCGCTCACTTACTCATTACTTACCTGGCTGCTTTGAGCCTTCAAACACCTTAGTGGGGGGACCTGACCTGGACTAGTCCTCCATCTGAATGATGGGGTTACACAGGGTCAGTACAAACTGTTAACAGAAATTTACTGAAATAGAAGTTTGTCGACACTGAAGCTGAAATGATTAGTTTGTTAACCGATTGGTCAGAAAATATAGAAGCAACCTTTTTCGATTTAGGGCTGCAACTAATCATTTTCATCTTGGATTAATCTGGTGATTATTTACTAGATCCATTTATATATATATCTATATATATATATATATATATATATATATATTGTTCATAATTTAGCCCGAAGTGATGTCATCAAATCGCTAATTGTCTCCGACCAACTTCAAAATACCCCTAATTATCGATTTTCTATCATGCAAGACAAAATCCTTTTCTTTATACCATGAACCAGAGATTAATAATCAATCGATTATCAAAATAGCTGATTAACTAAATACAACGTGTGTCGTGGAAGCTGTTTTTCCTCTGATGATGTTTCTGTATTTCTCTGTTTAATATAATTAAATATATTTGCGTGTTGAACTGAAACATTTAAAGACATTGAAACGAGGAAATAATCGGTAGATTAATTGATAATAAAAATAATCAGGTTCAACTCCCTTTTACGCCAAATGATATATGTTGTGAAGAATAATCTCATCTGAGGAATGATGGCATAAGGATTATCTATTATCACCATTCTAATTATCTAAACTAACACCTCTGCAGATGAAAAACAGAAATTGAATGTGATAAAACTGAATTGAAACTCTGGCTTCAGTAGAGCCCATGTTAATGAATCTCTTCATTGACCTCTTTTTAGTTAATTACCATCATTTCTGTGTATTACTCCATAATAAGATATAGCCCCTAGTCTGCCCAGACTCGTATAGCGCCACCTCTCACCCTCGCTTCATCTTCCTATATAGGTCACATGTCAAATACAATATATGTTTAGATGACTTCATCTGACCCAGGCTCAGATGTCAGGGCGCTCTGCCGTTAACGTGAACTCCACCATGCTCCGTAAATCACCCTGGACAAATTCAAACAGAATGAGATCAATGCTGAAAGAGACTTAGTAAGAATAAAGCCAAAATATCAACTTTGGAAAAGTTTCTGATGGCAGCAGCAGAATAAATGTCTCCGGACTCGGTCACCTCATTATCAGCAGTGCAGAGTTTTCCCCTTCCTTCCTCTGGGCGCATTGCCCGCAGTCTGCCAGCGCGCTCATTTATTCCCTCTGTCTGTCACTTCAGTGTCCACACCATCATACCCCCCCCCCTCCCATTACCTTCTGCTCTCTGCTCGTCCTCCGGGACTTGTTCTTGTCTCTGTCGTGCCGAGAAAAATGGCTGAAGCCCATTTGAGGAGTGTTGTCATTTAGCAGAAGGACCAGGAATTCTCCATCGGGGTGCGTTCAACGTTTGCAAAAATTTCAGGGTGTGTCTGACGTGGCAGTTGGAGCCATTTGTTGCCGGAGGAGGAGAGTCTCAGTTGCAGAGATGTTATCTAAGATCTTCAGGGTTAGATATGTTTGGAAAACCCCATTTAATCAAGTGGACTACGAAGTGGAAAAGTAATATTTCCTGTAAAAGGGGGAATAAGTTCACTGTAAAGACAATTACAATCTATGGCAGGAAGCCAGTTAGACATGCATCTCATTACAGGACTGCAAGGTCTGTTAACTCTGGAATGTGTTAGTGTCCAAATAAAAGTCCACTTTTAGAGTCAGCCTTGTTATTTCATATTATATATAATATATTATATTATTGTTGCTTTGCAAGAACACTTATATTTACGGGGTTCTTGACAAATGGAGAAAACAGAGCTGCAACTGACAATTAGAAGATTATTGATTTAATTTGTAATTTCTCGATAAAATATAAATAAAATTGGTAATATGATGTCCTTCGGATTGCTCGTTTTGTCCGTCCAACAGTCCTGATCCCAAATATATTCAATTAAAAACACTATTGAGAAGAGAAAAGCAGCTAAACGTAACATTGGGGAGCTGCAACCAGCAAATGTTTTCATTTCATTTTCGGTTGATAAATAACTTTTTACGATTAAATTGTTGTTAGAGTTGTAGGTTGATTTTCTGTCGGTTGATTGATTAGTCGATTAACTGACTATATTCAGCACGACAAAACACGAAAAGATACATAGAATCAGTAACACAACTGTGACTTCTTTAATAAAAAAACTATATAGTGTGCAGATGTAGGTTATGATCAGGATGCCAGATACCGACGGTCCACATGGGCAGCCCTTTGGCACACAAGCTGCAACAGCTGCTCAGCCCTCTCCTCCTCCTCCTCCTCCTCCTCCTCCTCCTCCTCCTCCTCCTCGTCCACCACCACCACCTCCCACCACTACTACTACCACTACCAGGGGCCAGGCTGACGTAACCGCTGCCTCGCTCGAACGCCAGCCAGCGTGTCATGTGACAGAGGTCGCTAGTCAAACCGTGTTACCATCTCCAGGCTTCAGGTTGTGAGAATCATAACATCCTCTGTTCTCCCCCCCCCCCTCTCTCAATGTTCGGCAGCATGACAACACAATGGAGTATAATCTCCAGATGTTCCTGGTTAGGGCAGGGTTTATCAATCAGCAGCTGATCACCAGTGCAGATCCTAATCGCTTCTTGTTTCGACATGCGCGGAGGTCTAAATCGGGGATGGAGTCTGCAGCGGCACAGTAAAGACAGGATTTTCATGAAAACATGAACTGTCCAGGAAGTCTCGGCGGTGCCATATGAATTCTAATCTCTTTCCCAGCGAGGCTGCAAGTCATTGGTGCCATTTTGTGTAATAGCCTTCAGAGCACTTGTCTTGTTAGTATACGCGATTGTTTGACTGCTCATGTGGAGATAAGGCTGATCCGCTTCTTTTAAAGAGGGAGACTTCATGCTGGAACTCACTAAGTCCTTCTTACATAACGATATGAAAGTGTTGCCCTGAAAACCACAAATTAATTTAGTTTAACACTGTTTTAAAATTAGATTTTCTTTTTGCTGCCGCAGGGCTTTCGGCCTGCTAAAATTAATTTCAAACCAGGCTACCCAGTCCTAGTTCCCCTTATGTCATGTTGACTGTTTTTAATCAGCTTAGTGGCAGGATGGTTTGTCTGTGGATATCAAACAATGCAACTCCTAGAGTTGATTTTTAAGCTCTTTGTTTTAGAAATCTGTGGCTTCTTTATCTAAAAGCATGATTTTTCAACGGTTTTCAGTGAATAAATCCACACAAATGGTTGTTTGTTGCTACACAGAAAGTCTTTATTGATGCTGACATGTCTCTCTTATAATGCAGACAAGACTATCTTTTTTTCGACTCATGTGCATGTAGCTGCTTATAAATATAGTGTAATGCACAGGACCGTTTCAACAGGAAAGTCACACTAAATACTGTACGTTCTTCACAGACATTAGAGATAAGTTCTCCCTGTCAGGCCCCTGTGTGAGTAACATACTGTACGTAGCATAGCTTGCATCCGAGGAGGCGAGGCTTGATGTCTCATTGCTGCGTGTTTCCTATCAGTGAGTCAAGTGGATCAGATGCTGGCTGACACAACATAGCTATAGAGCACTTACCACCACGCTGGTGTGGGAGACACTCAACTTGATCTTACACACTGAGTTCAAGGTCTCAGCCCACTAAGTGTCTACTGTCGCTCTCCCGTTTCACATTGTGAGAAAAGGCTAAAAGGGACAGTTCATCCAAAAAAAATCCAAAATACAGATCTACTCTGTTAACTATTGAAGCAGCAGACCTGCACATTCTGAGCAGGTCAATCATGCCGAGGTAATCACAGCGCGTATGTTTGCCTGTTGAAGTCATCGAAATACTCCTCATGCTTCTCTGTAAAAAGCGGAGACGAATGCTCGATGGTGCGTCACAGATGAAAGACGGCTTGCTCTTTTTATGAGTGTGTACATGTGAGTTTGCTTTGAGCCAAAGAGAAGCAAATGCACAAATCCGTCTGAGGAAACCAGCCAGGCAGTGAAAGCTGAGGCCGCTTTGGTTTAGTCCTCATTGAAGGGCTGCTTTGACCCCCTTTTTTTTTTCTCCATTTGTTTTGTTCACCAGAGAGAAAAGTGTTGTTTTTGTTTTTTCTGCAACCAGCCTCTGCGTCCCCTCTCTTTTGATAGGCAGGTGTCGTTTTGTTTTCCTCTAAGCTCCGCCTCCTCTCTCTCTGCTCAAGCTGTGACCTGCTTTCCCAGAGTAGTACAGTATTCTCTCTCTCTCTCTCTCTCTCTCTCTCTCTCTCTCTCTCTCTCTCTCTCTCTCAAACAAACCAAGGAGATACCTGCTGGTCCCATCTGGCGCCAGGTCTTCAAGAGAGTCTCATTTAAGGGGCTACTGACACCTGTCTAAAACTGCCCCGTTGCCCCCACCTCCACATGACATCCTGTCTTCAGTGGCACAGCTGGCATGTTCCTCTGGGAGTCACCCAAACTGGCATCTTGCATGTCCATGTGGGGGCCCTTTTTTGAAGCCAGCTGTCGGCCCTTTGTAGGTGGCTCTGTGTGTCTGGAATGACCGACTCTCGGAGCATGTGCTTTCACAATAAGCTCGACTTGTCTGCCACACCCTTCGACGCACAATATGCGACTCGAGCCAAAGAGCTGAGGGGTTGTGCGGGTTTTATATGTTTGCAAATCTTGACAGATTGAGAGCAGTGCTTATTGTGCTGTGTGAAGCCACTCCCATGTCATCTCCCTTCTCCACACAGGATAGTGGTTTTTATGGGTGAACTTGGACCATCCATGTTGTCACTGTGTGTTAGTTATTATTATTTTTTTATGAGAGACTATTCCCACGCCATCGTCTCAGCTCAGCTCCCGGACTGCATGGGTTTGCCCCCTGCTGGCTGTTCATGACGGAGAACAGCAGCAGTGCTGGAGGTTCGCAGGTCTATTAGACATCGATCTTGTTGCTGCGTGCGAGTCATTGGAGCCAATAAGCTCCACTTACTGAGTTGACTTTGCGTTTACTGCTTTTAATTGCTGTTCACTTGTCTTTTAGCTCGTTGTTCTATGATGAAGATTTCTGAGAAGAGAATAGTTTCACCTTTGCACAGAATGAATGACCACTGTGTGAACTTTTTTAACATGAAGGACACCAGTTCATCTCCGGCCGTTGATCTGATGCGAGCGAGTCGGTGTGTAATACGCATTAATATTGAGTGTGCGTTACTGTCAGGCCACTTCATGCAGTCCCCCCCTCTCTCAGCCACCCTAAAATAACAACAGTCACGATGCAAAGCATCACCTCTTCCCCTTGTCTAAACTCCCGTGATCCCGGGACCCCCTCTGAGTCACACTTAATTACAGACATTTACACTTTCCTGCACAACTTTTCACTTTAAATAGACATATAACACTTTAATAACAGACTTATTTCTACGTACTTCTATATTGTTTGATTGTTTATTGTCAGGCACCAATCACCAAGCCACATTCCTTGTATGTGCAAACATATTTGGCAATAAAGCGCTTCTGATTTTGATTGTTGCCTTTTGATGTTCTCTAATGTGTGATTAGACAGCGATCTGATCAGATTGTGCCTCATAGATGGCATAACTAATGGGCTACCTCTACCTCTTTGTAACTATACATCCAAGTGCCCCATGTCTGTGTTAAATCCCCACCTGTGAGGGCGCCACAGCCCCTCTGCTAGCACCCTACTGCCTCTGGCACTCAGTACCGTCCCCAGCACCTGTCCTCATTAGTCCATGCATGTCTGCCAGTCCTCCGCCCGGGTCCACCCCGTCCCCTCTCTGCCCCTCCCCCCCCCCCCCCCCCCCCCCCCCCCCCCCCCCATTCTTCACTCTGTGCTTCATCGTTGTCTCTCTCATGACCTTTTTTCGATCTGCTAATGTGGCGGGCTCTCATGCACCGATTGGTTTAACCTCACCACGACTCCGCTGAGTCACCTGTTCCTTCCTCATTAACAAACACGATCTCCTTTATTACTTCTATTTGTCACTTTGTTTCCTATGCATATCTGTGCTGCTTTTCACCCATCCCCCCCCCTCCAACAGAACAATGACAATGAGACGCCGCTGCACTGTGCTGCCCAGTATGGCCACTCCCAGGTGGTGCGGCTGCTCCTGGAGGAGCTGACGGACCCCACCATGAGGAACAACAAGTTTGAGACCCCGCTGGACCTGGCTGCGCTGTACGGCCGCCTGGAGGTGGTCAAGCTGCTGCTCAGTGCCCACCCCAACCTGCTCAGCTGCAACACCAAGAAGCACACGCCGCTGCATCTGGCCTCTCGGAACGGACACCTGTCTGTGGTCGAGGTGCTGCTGGACGCCGGCATGGACATCAACTACGAGGTGTGTGTCTCTCTATATGTGTGTGTGTCAACTTTAAAAGCTTCGGGTTGCAAGTGTGTCTTAATGTGCTGCCACGGCCAAAGTCATGTTTGGTAGCTTAATCTGTTCTTGCTGCACTTCCTCTCACTACTTCCTCTAAAGCTGTGAGATTAAATGTAAAACTCTTAAGCTCTCGGTTTGTAAAGGAACCGCTGTGGTATCAAAGCAGAGCTGGCCTTGCTCCCCCTGGTGGGCCCCCTGGCTCTGACTCTGAACCAAACGGTGCCGTCCATCTGTCTGGAAACACTTTCCCCTTTTTACTCTGTCCTCCTTTCCTTTGAGTCAAGGATGCAGAGTCTACCCAGTGTCCTTCAGGCCTTCCATCCTGCAGCTTTCAATTAGCATGGCCCTCTGAGCTGGAAAATGATCTGCTTTGATTTCTCAACCACATCATTCTCAGTAGAGGTGTGGACTGGGCGGTGGGCACGAACCCCGGTAGTTGGCATATGCACCGTTAATCTCGCTGAAATGTGGGCGCCGGAATAGCACTTCTGCAGTCTGATTCATTCGGCAACAGTTGAAGGAAATAAGCACGAGATTCAATTTTCATGATAATCAGATTTGTGTCACACATTGGTGTTTGCACTCTGTCTCATCTCTCTCTCTCTCTCTCTGCCGCTGGCTCTTCATGCATCTGTTTTCTTTCGCTGCTCAGACGGAGAAAGGCAGTGCCCTCCACGAAGCTGCCTTGTATGGGAAGACGGATGTGGTGCAGAGACTTCTCAGTGCAGGTCAGACTTCACTGCCACGCAAGCAATGTCTGAATCACTTGCTGCTCCTAATTAGCACAGCTTCTGCGAAGTCAGTTTAAATAGCAAAAAAACACCACACATGCTGTAACACTGGGCTGTCATCCGTCAGGTATCTGTGTGAAAATCACCGACCAGAAGGGCCTGGCAGCGCTGGACACTGTCAAGGACATGCCTTCCCAGAAGAGCAGAGAGATAGCCGCTCTCATCCTAGGTGAGGATCAAATGTGAACACCAACACTGTGTGTGGGGAAGCTTCCTCTTCATTTCTCATTTACCGGCTGTGATACAAGCTCCTGTTTGTCTGTCGCAGGTCACATGACTGGAAAACCCCCCGACATTGACCTTCCCCTTCCCCCTCCACCAGTCCCTCCGCCTCAGGAGAGTCCCAGCCCACGGAGAAAGGGTAAGACTTACCAGATGTTAGAAAAAGTTTGGGGTTTTGAGCTGTTGCAACAGAGATTCAGTCAGAACTTTGAACAGGAAACAGAGCAGGAAAATAAAACAGAGGGTTTTCTTTAATCTGTTCAGCTAAGAACTTCGTTTGTCTTTGTGCGCCTTTGTGCATTTCGACCCGTGTTACAGGTGATATGGCGAAGGTGAGCGAGCTGATCTCGGGGCTGGCCCCGAGGCCCGAGGAGGAGAGCCCGTACGAGGCTCTGTTCGAAGCCACCTCTTGTCACTCTCTCGACAGCCTCACCAGCGGCAAGTCCTCAGACAGGGACTCTGGACGGCCCGATAGCGAAGCTGGCAAGGTCTGCAGTAGTTTACCTGAAACCCACCCTCACACACAAACACACACACAAACGCATGCAAGCAAAATCATAAGCGCTTCGCAGGGTTTTATGGGAGAGGAAATGCAGATCTCCCACTAGAGGGTGATGGTGGTCTTCCATCCACATGAGTCATGACTGGGCCTCAATACCCTGCAGCATTTCACTTCTTGTTGTAAAGAGTGGTTATGAAATGCATTTCTTAATTTGTGTTATTGCAGTAAACTAATCAGCAAGTGTATATTCATCACATCTTATATTCCATTTACAGAAAGATCGGCTGGTCCATGCGTCACATCCGGGCCCCGGCCACGAAGAAGAGGTGAGCTCAGATGTGAGGAGCTGCGATCATAGAGCCAGGGAAATGTGTCGCTGCGTCACAATACAGATTCTCATACGTGTGCCGTCTTTAGCGCGGCGCGTGTGACAATCACGGCGGGATACTGCCTTCAGAAGTTAGTTCCTCTGAGAGGTTGGACATGGTTTATTAATGCAATGTCACAGGGGCTGCTGGGAAGTGATTATCTGCCTGCCGAGAAAGCCACTTTTTTTTTTTTTTTTAGCCATGACCCCTTTCACGGCCGCTCCCTTCACGGTCACTGCTCAAATCGAACCGCTTCCATATTCATCAGAGTGCGGCATTGAGACACAGGCAGCGGGGGCATGAAAAGGAGAAGTGAAGTGGAAGAGGAGTGGAGACAAAATCGGAGAACCTGTCTGGCCTCAACTGGGGCTGACCTTAGACAGAGCTTTGTTGAAATAACATTGAGGAAGTTTTATTTATGCAAAAATCATTTTGAGTCTTAAAATATAAGCCAGTTTTGGTGAATGTTTCATAGCAAGTAATTTCCTTTTCACCCTCTTTGCCTCTACTTTCTCCCCGCCTCTGTCCCTTTCCTGCAGGCCCTGTATACTAACAGCAGTATTGCCGAGAGAGGAGAGCCGGTGGAGGAGGAGGATCACACATACGAGTTGTTGCTGACCGCACAGACCAAACACCCACCGCCCAGCCACGAGTCCAAATCCAATAAAGGTAATTGTGTCGCATGTCGGGATTATAGAAGAGCCGGTCAAGAGCCATTTTCCAAAATACTTCTTCCATTGATGCTGTCTGAGCTCAGCCGAACCTGAATGCATTTCCTATCCTAATCATCGAGAGCACCTGCACACACTGCGTGTGCCCAACCTGAGCACACCCTCCTTGGTTGTGGCTGATGAATGGCACCGCATGTAATTGGATTAAATGGGATTAAATTAGGAGGCCATTTTGATACCTTGCTGTTAAAAGTTTGAAAACCATCCCCTCGGGCCCTCCAGCTTAGTCAGCCTCACTAGCACCATTAGAGAACGTCACTGAGCTAAAGGGTTGGAGTTTAACCGCTGATGTCATCATGCCTCCCCCTATATGGATAACTGATGGTGTTTGGCGTGCTCCACCCGTTAGTTAGACAGAAATGTCAAATGATTAGTTTCCCATCCGTTTTAAAACCCGCTTGTTTAAATAGCAGGGGGATTAATCCGAGTCTGTCTGACTCGAAAGCCCGATATGTCGCCATGCATAATACATGATTTTATTATACATCACTTTCACTTCCTCTTAGCATAATGTCTGTCCTGACAATCAGAAGTGTCTGTAACTTTAAAGAGATATTGAGTACTCTGAAATGACCAAGATAATCTTTCATCTGCCCAAACTATGTTCTAACTTGTTTTTCTTTTTCATTCCTCAGATGAGAACACTACGATACAGTCTTCCAACAATGTCCTACCTCAGGTAAATGTAACATTCCTCCTTTCATCCTTCATCGTATGTTTTATGTTTAGACCCCTACATCAATCTTAGCAATACTTTTGTACCTTTCTTCATTGCCTGCCAGTTACTGAATCCTTTCGTAAAAAAAACCTCCGTAAGAGCAAGTTGTACAAAAACCATATGGAAAGAGTTCTGACGGTCAGAGGGCAGTATCCCAGCTGCAGCTCTGGATTGCATATCTGGAGCGTGACCATAGCAGGTTATATAATGAAGATGAAGGTCTCTCCACAGTCAGAGATTGAGTCATATGTCAGCAGAAGGCCCAAGTCGTCTTAAACTGGCCCTCATAACTGAGTGTCGGTGTGAACCTGCCCGCCTTATTTATTGTCCTATCATATCTTATTTTATTGCCTTTTCCAATTTATCACCCAGTTAGCTGTTTTTAGTATCATTGCTGCCTGACACCCACAGCTCCACCTGCTGCCCACAATATCCGCTCACATCTTTTATTTCAAGCTTCGATTGGATTAGCTCGCCGTGCTCCTCGGCTGCCTAATCATTATATATGAGCAGCGTGGCGTCCTCTCTGTTCTAATCTGCAGCCTGGTGAGCCAAGCTACATTATGGCCGATGTGGGTAAACCTGAGTACCGCCATGCAAGCATCAATCAGATAGCACCTTCTTTCATGTTAAGCTAGCTGAATAATTACCCATTAATTGGGGTAACTGCAGATGAGACGCAGATGTTTGTGTTCGGGAGGTAAGATTTGATTGACGGACGTAAGTAAAACTGTTTTTTTTGTTTTCCGTCCCACTTCAGCGTAAACCCACTGCCCCAAACAACCTCAGAGCCCCAAGCAAGAGAGACACCCTGCTCCCTCCGGGACGGGGGAGCCCGCGGGCAGCAGGAGGTGAGTTTGACGACGACTCCTCAGATTTTAGTAACCAAATAAGGAACAACAACTGCTGCTGGCGAACGCTGCGAGGGGTGCGAAAGTGTGGACGGGGACACATCAGACTCGGGGGGGGGGGGGGGGGGGGAGCCAAGCATGTCAATGAAACGGGAGAAATGCATTTGAGTTTGCAGGGTGAGCTGGGCAGGCTTGGATTAGCGCTGCCAGGGGAATGCACGATTGCCATTCTGGAGCAGCAGAGCGGATTTGACTTGTCGGGAGAGCGAGGCTGATTGACATTCCCTGGCAAGTGGAAAAGACTCATTTCACTGCCAATATGAAATAGAATCCTTGATCAGATTGTGAGCGTCCTATCTCAGAGCCCCATCCCGCTTAAAGCTGGATATATGCCACGTCATCCAGTCAAGCATGGAGTGGAGGTAAGGGAGCACGGGCCTCAGGGGTTTTTTTCGTGGCAGACACATATGCAGATTATCTTTATTGAATAATTCTTTGAAAAGGAACCGGACAGTTTTTTTTCATACTTGTGGGTTACTTGTTTAATTCTTTTTAACATGAAGTTGTTTGATTTAAAGGCACAGATGGAAAGTGAAGAAGAAGTTCTCCCTGAGCACTAAGAGGACATCTTTTTGTTGATACACAGCCCCTCTCTGATTTTACATTACCACATGACTCAAGAATAACAGATTTTTAAAGTTATTGTTAAAAGGCTGGTGTTGGGAAATGTGAAGCACTTCTAAAAGCACAGAGAGCCTTTCATTTCCTGTTTCCTTGAATATTGTGTCTAGTGACTCAAGTTAAACTCTCTTTTCCCTTTTTTAAAGCCACAAAAACCACAAGTTTGGTTTATATGTGAAAACCACTTTGTGATTTTAGCATGACAGCAAATTGGTTCCCACTTCTGTGTTTTACATGAACACAGACGGCTGGTTGAGCCGGTTCTGCTCCCGTGGACGTGACTTTCATCGTGGTTGAAGCGGCCCCGTTCCCCCCCGTGTGTGTACAGTCGGGGACTAGACCTCAGCACTCTGTGGCAGGTGGAGGAGATATGCACGGTCAGCGATACCGGGGTGTTAATCATCCGTCACATTGCTGTTCTCAGCAGGAATATAGTGTTTCCCAACAGATTTCCACCTCTGTGTCGGGTTTTATACGGTGTCCAAGGGATATTTCTCAAAAGTGGTGACTTGTAAAGACAGAATGAATGAATGAATGAACACAGTCGAGAGGTTTATTTTGAAGCCTGGGATCTTAGTTCATCACTGGAGAGGGGCTGTGAATATTCACTCTGTAGATATAATTCTCCACAGTTAATAAATGTGTGGTGTCTGTAGCAGACAGTTATGAACAGCGATGGTGAAGAATCAGATCTATCCTTACTCTACTCATTCAGTTTTTACAGCCATGCCTTCTTTTCTTTATACTGGATGTGCAGCTTTTACAGTTTCAGTTCCCTCCCATAAAAATATTCACAAGCGCACTCACATCCAGACGATAAACACGGGAAAAATAGAGTCTGCACACTAGATAATGCTCCCATGGACCATTTAATTGATTACCACCATTAACTGGTTCCCTCTCATGCCAATGAAGCACTTAATGGTTCATCCAAAGCTTTGAATGGCTGCTTCAGAAATGTACGGTTGTTATGAGCTGCGATGCCACAGATGGCTGCAGAGAGGCTGAAGATGGAACGCACCTGTTTGGCAACTAAACCACATATTTCACCAAATGTATCAATTTAAAGGGACAGTTCACCCCAAAATCACAAATGCATATTTTTCCTCGTACATGTAGTGCTATTTTAAAAAAAAAAATCAAAAAATACGTTGCACAAACTCAACATCTCTTTTTCCAGAAATCATGACTCGGTAAGTTCCTTTCAAACAAATGTTTATTGGTGCTTTGAGCGCCACATACACTCTTTATCTTGGAGAGAAATCAGACATCTCTACTGCTGATATCTCCAAAACAATCTAGATTAATAAATTGCACTAATCTGGGGTGAACTGTCCCTTTTAGAACCATCATTTGCTTGTTTGTTATTTTAGTTCCACTCATGTGCTTGGTGCCTTTTACATATTTTTTGGGAGATTTTTACGTCATGGATATGTGACAGATGAACATTTGTTCTTTATTAACCGGCACTGTCAATAGAGGTATTTCTTTTCTCGCTTTACTGTAAATGTCCAAAAAGGCTTTCAGTTCCTTATTGTCTTTCTGCAGTAATGAGACCCAGAGTTAAAAATCTCTTTGAATCTACAAAAACAACAGAGCAGAGGTTTCTCATCCGGAGAACGCATTGACTTTGGACCAGTGTAGATGGTGGATCGACAGCACCGGCACTGCAGTGTCTGCAAAACAAACATGACATCATCAGTAAGACACGGAGCCGTCCCGTCGTTGCCAAATGAAACACCTCTTGCGGTGACCTCACCCATGTATAGGAGTTGCAACAACATCAGATTGTGTCTGTGCACGTTTTTCCACCATACAAGTGTATGAGCAGAGAGTGAGGGGGGTCTCTGCAATGGTTAACACCGTGTGAGATTGTTGGAGCCACATTGATGTGCTCATAGGGCGTTCACACTCCCCAGCTGCCAAGGAGAGGGTGGGTGTTTGGCTGTGGTCCTGACATATGCATGCAGTACACTCACTGACTCCTTATAACACACACACACACTTTCCCGAGATGTTTAAGTGTTTAGAAACTTGTGAAAAGCGGAGTTCAGGGCGTTGTTTGGCACATTCCTTGGCACTGGAAATGGACCCTGAAACAGTAATGGGGCAGTTTCGTGAAGTTTGCGTGTCAAACAGTGTACTGCAGATATGGCGTCTTCACAGCGAGCTCTTTTGATGTTTTCAGTCTTTGAACGGCGGGTTTGCGAGCCACAAACTGTTCGCTGAAACTCGTCTGTGAAGGACAAACAAAGTGTTGCAACAGGTCACTTCTTTCCCTGTGGTGTCACTGTCCCAGATTCGCTGTCACCGAACACCGTGACCCTGTCACCCTGTCGGGGACGGGCCACACAAGTACCCACCCACCCACAAACACACACACACACACACACCTTCACCATATGTCACAGGGCTAATTATCTGGAGTCTGGCTGCTGGAGGATAGGGCCGATTCAAATTTCCATTCCTGAGCCACCATTAAGGGCTAGAATTAGAATCCAGAAAACACAGAGGGCTGCTGGTCACACGGCAGACAACAACCCGCATCACCACAGTGCAAAAGAAGATGACCACGGAACCACACGGACTAGTGTTTTTTCTAAAGCCACTGTAGATGACGGAGGCCACTTTTCATCCCTACGGCTGATTTGATTGTGGAAAAGAGGCTTAGGTGGCAGTAATTCCTCAGGGAGAGGGCGGAGGAAAATCTAATTGGTTTTAATTGCTCTTGCCAGTCAGTCTCATTGAGGAGCTGTTTTCGTTGGAGAAAGAAGCCGACGTAAGTTTTACTCCTCTCTGGGATATTCCAGAGTCTTCTTGTTCATTTTCTGTTTCACAATCTGGCATGTTTGTTGTGTCCCGTGTGAGTTTAGTCAGTGGCCTGGGGGGGAATTCTTAGTGCTGTGTCATTTTGGGGGAGATGGACTTAGCAGGCAAGAGGGCCTGTGAGGTAAGGCTCGTCACGAAGATGACTGGCTTTAGTTCCCTGTGACAACATGCACTCAGTGAGGCACCAGCAGATCGTCGTCAAGCTGGGTCAGGAATTCTGTTATAACTCCGGCCAACATACGCCTTCTCCTCGCTCCATCTCTCCTCTTTTGCTCTCTGTCACTCCGGGTAGGAAACAATTACAGATCTGTTTCTGGGCTTGTGTGGGCGGTTTCTTATTAGCCCTGCTCTAAAGATCTGCCCCTCAGTCAGAGGTACTCTTTCCAGCCCTCACAAACTGCTCTCTTTCTTCACTGACTTCTTTTTCTCTTTCTCTAGATAACTCCCAGCTCGGCGAGGATCAGGAACCAGGTGTCCCGGAGCAGTTCACTGGCCTCCTGCACGGATCCTCTCCTGTCTTCGATAGCTGCGAGGAGCCCTTCAGGCTTCCAGGTGTTGTGCCATCCAACCAGGGCCAGCCAGAACCAAGAAAATCTGCCAAAGCAAAAGAGGAAGTAGCAGCAGCAGCCGCAACGCCGCCTAGCCGCCCCAGTATGGCCGCCATCCTGAAGGACTGCGATCCCAAAGCAATTTATGCAACTGTGAATAAGGAGCCCAGGGACTTCGGGGCTGGGGCAGTGTCCGCCGTAAGGATGCGCCCTCCTGGGGACCTGAAGCTGGCACGCAGCCTCTCCAAGTCTGACTCCGACCTGCTGGTGTCGCCCCCTAATGAGGAGGACGGAGGATTGGGGAACCGTAGCGAGTCTGTTTCTAACTGTAGCACTGGCAAGAAGAGGCTAGAGAAATCGCCTTCTTTCACCTCAGAATGGGACGAGGTAAGTGTTGCACCTTTTGGTTCCTTTGCCCATACTATACAAAGTACAGTAGATATCGACTAATGTTAAAGGTTTTTCATATGTTCAAATGTAAGTTTCTTCAAATATTTACCTACGAGATGTTTCATCAGAAAAAAAACTATCTAAAAACCCTTCACACCAGGTAGGAGCCTAACATGCAAAAAGTTATTGTGAGAAGCCATATGAAGCAAACGTTAATATTATGTGGAGCGCTTGCACACAATAACACACCAATTCATAGACGCAGATTGTAATAAGAACAAATCTCTTATTTCAACTGTACATTTAAAGAATGAATCCAAATATACACAAGTTGAATGAGCATTTTGCCTCTTATGCACAGTGTGTCCTTTTTTCTTCTCTACAAAGCCCCGCTTGTTAGGCTTAAGTAAGCTTGTGGTTGTGCTGCCGCCACATGACATTTGTCCACAACTACAGAACTGATGGAATGAAAACCCGAGGACCAACTGTAAACAGCCCCGTTGACTGACGTGAACTTCCACAAAGGCTTCTGTTTACTCAAAGCCACCTGTTGTCTTCAGGGGGACGCTGTGCAATTTCAGCTCAACCTTCTTTTGAACTCAAATCTTTAGCAAACAGAAATAATAAAAAGTGTTTGTACATGCGAATAGTGAAGGCCTTTCGATAAGCACAGATCATTTTGTGTACCCAAAAATGATTTGACTTGGCCTTAAAATTGTGTATCTTTATTTGCTGAATCCCATCTTGTTTGTTGTTATCGGTGGATGCTTAAATTAAATACACCCCTCCATTCAGCACTTTAATGCTTTGTCTGGGATGAAGATAAAGAGCTGAGTCGAGCCCCAGAGAGAGGAGATTAGAGGAGACAAGAAGATGGAGATAATGCAGCCGAGGAGCTGAGAGAGTAAGACAAGAGACCGAGATTTGGATATTGAGATTCAGAGAGAACCTTCAAGCTGCAGATATGTCTCCCTTCAGCTCGTGTCTCCTTCTCTCACTAAGGCTTCAGAAAGCTACTCGAGTCTCTGTAGAGGCAGCCCATCGTGCAAACAAACACAACACACACACACTGCTGATCCAGTACGGGATTATTCAAGAAGTTTTCTCAAGAAATCCCCTTTTTCTGAGCTTGTTGAGCTCTGACATCAACAAGAAGCATCACTTGCATCGGCACTTTTTTAACAGTATATCCATATCTATGGACTGTGAGGTTAGAGCCTATATAACAATGAATGAGCAGAGGCATGTACAGTGAACATGACCACGCTCTTTCACCGTTTTCCCTACAACAATCCTCTTATTGTTTGTCGGATTAATGATATCCTCCAAGCCTCTTAATTAAGTATCGGTTTAAGCGATCCTCTCAGTAACGCTCCCTCACATTGTTTGTATCCCGCTCTGTTTCTGGATCTCTCTGACAGCTCGTCTACGCCGCTGTACCACGGTGCAGCCCGATCCGCCAGAGATGGTCTTACACGATGCATTTTATGATGCCAGACCAACCTTGAGCAAATTCGTCGGGCTCAGATAGCACCGCTAATGCTTTCTCTCCGCGGTGAGATCGAATTGCTGCCTAGTGCTCCAGAACAGACATCAGAACAGCACCAGCGAGCTGAGATAAATGGCGGCTCTGAGGTCGATATCTCGGCTGCTCCGGGCGGTGGTTTGTATCCCGGTGGTCAGAGTTGTCCACTTCTTTCATCGGCCCCAATAAGCCCTCCACTTTTGAGGCTTGATTTGTGGATGTTGTCATTCTGTGTATGGGGGACTTGAATGAAATACAAAGCTTTGATAGGTTGTTGGTGCAGAGATTTTCTAGCTTTTCAGTCTCTTTTTTTTTGTTGTGGCTACACAACACAACCTGAATTATGTATTATTGTTCGCCGTATAATGTTTATGACCCCTCCTCACTAGATATTATTGTTGGATCTTTTCTCTAATGAGCTCATTTGCTCCTCGCTATACTGTGATAGTGCCCCTTTATTATTTATTCCCGGTACGTGCAGCCGTAACGCTGTGCCAGATGTTGCGTTTATGTCGCTGCAGTTCTGCGCTCAGGCTGATTACTGTCCTGCTAGCCCACAGCAATGAGGCTGCAGTTGAGGAGAAAGTCTTTTTTGACCCAATGTTTGTTTTGTCTGGAATTACTCCCGTCAAAAGCTCAGACAGAGAGGGGGGGGGGGGGGGGGGGGGGGGAGGAAAAAAGGCCCTTACAGAAGCTCGGCAAAGTTCAAAACACTTTTCCAGCCTGAAGGCAAAGCACAACGCCTCGGCAGCGCGACGCATTAATCCTCGTGCACAGTCGGAGCAACCTTGTCTTTGGGATTTTATAGGTGTGAGCACCCGCAAGGAAGGTTTTCCCCTCAATCTATTTCAGCATTGCCGGACAACATAATTAGTTTATTGTTTTGTCAAAGCCTGCCAAGGAAACACTCATGGGAAATTGAAGGTATATTTAACTGAGGTTGCTCACAAAAACTGACCTTCAGACCTTCTCTGTATGCAGCCAGTGAGCTCCACAGTAAAGAACTGGTCTCCGTTTTAGTGTGCGATACAAAGCAACGCCATGGTTTTTAACCTGTGCGCTCATTCTTATTGGATAAATCAGACAGATATATCAGCTCATATTAGCTCATTGCAGTTATATTGGTATCTGTGTATATCACAGGAAATCCATGAAGAAAACGAAGTACAAGAATGTCAATGTTTATTTTTCAGCTGTAAATGTTGATTTATGTTATTTATATTTCATCACATCGGCTTTAAAAAAACCTTTATGGTTCAGGCTTTAGTATCGACTACTCTGTGTTGTGTCTGTATGTAGAACTTACAGTATTATACATTTCTTTTACATAAACACAGTACGTAAACAAACATTCTTGATACAGACCCTTTGTGAGGAAGTTAAATACTCAGAGGGTTGTTTTTACATTAATGAAACCAACTTCTCAGTGCTCTGGTGGACAAACTATGGAATGGGGACACTGTCCCCCAAACCTAGTTTGGTACTTCTTTGCTGATATTTATACACAGATATGATTTATCTGCAATTAGCTAATACTGGCCCGGTTGATTTATTGGTCCATCACAAATAATAGCAACTTCCAATCAAAATGTACCAAAGTGTGGTGTTATTTTAATATCATGTATTACGTATTGCTTATTTCAAAAGTCAAAAGTTCACTTGTAATACTGTAATGGAGACATAGAGGGAAGTATTGACACTGCTCCAGAGATATCGTCATCCCTCTGCACAACATTGTGGTCCGGTTGAGTAATGAGGTCAATAAAAGGGGAACATTTTGTGTGCTTGAATCTTGTAATTCCCTTTTCAAGCTTTGTGGTCACAGACGGGGCACTGCGCAGCGTACTTATCCAGTTAGACGAACACCTCGCCTCGTCGCTCGGGATGTGGTCTCAGACAACATGACGGGATTAAGGCGGGCATGACATTACGTGGTTATCGGAGACTGCTGCTCTTCCCGCGATGCCCTCAGCAGCGGTGGCTCTTGTGTCGTCTTCTATACCGAGTTGAGAATTGATCTGGTTTGAAACAGAGAAAGGCGGAAGAGGAGGAAGCAAACCAGAAGGTATCGCTGTCCCCTCTTGCACAACCAACCCTCCCATGTGGCAGGAGAGCAGGTTGTGTTATTGGCTTCTAACTGAAGATGAGATCTAATCAGTGAGAAGGAGATGCACTTCAGGCAATGGCCTCATTAGCCGCCGGCTCCATGACTAGTGTGTGTTACTGAGTGAACTGGCCATGCTTTAAGTTCATCTGAATGCCTGAAAGCTCATTTGAAATCCTAAAGTAGGCTGCTGGCAATGAGCATCACAATTCATCCTTAATTATTCATTCATACCGGGGACTGCATTTTATCTGCCCTCCACTCTGCCGGCCACAAAATAAAAAGGTTTTGGATAATAACAATACTAACAATGCAGTTCACCGTGTCAGCACAGAATATAATGTACCCCCTCTCCAGAGAATCGTGCCTCTGGTGGATCTCATGTACAGTATGTGCAGGCTCCTTGTCAAATACAGACCGTGTATTGGTCTAGCTGACGCAGCCTGTCAGCTAGACCAATAGATCTCACATTCATGCAATGCAGCGAGGATGAATTTGTAATGTACAAACCCCCGAGATGCAATGTGCAAAATGTAAGCCCCACCGCCTCCAGAAGGATGTTGTAAAGAAGCCGGCTGTAGCAGCAACTCCACCGTTTCTAATGGCAGTGATTGCATATTTCTCAAATGAGATTAGATACTTTTAGATTCAGTTGAAGCCTTGGTTGGCAGTCTGATAGTAGCGCTTTTGAAAGGGCAATTTCTTTTGTCCAATTTCCGAGCTTAATGAACTCGGAGGCCTGCCTTTTTTTCTCACTTGAATAGCGATTCAGATGCCGTGGAGTTCTTTGCTGAAAGCTAAAGGCAAAGCGGCCGGGAACCTTTCTTCTCCCTTTCCTTTCCGGGAAAAAAGCCTGTGTTTGCTTGAAATGGAAATATTCACGCTGCCGATGTAAAGTGCATAGCATATGAGAGGAGTGTGTGGGGCACGTAGTTAAAGTTTGATCGGGCGTAACCTAGCCTGCACTCTCTTTAATGATGTTGGGAGTGTCCTCCCTTTCTCTGTTCTCTCTCGCGCTCCCCTCGGCCCATACTGCTCCATCCACAGTGTTTTCTTTACTGTTTCTCTGTCTGAGACGGCAGCCATCTTGCTGGTCACGACTGGCTGCTCTGGAATACTCTACTGAGCTGTGTGGCAGCATTTGGGGCGAGGGGTCCCAGGACATTACCAAACCCACCCCCCTGAGGAACACACGCAGTTTGCTAAATATTCCCGTTCTCACAACCCCCTCCTTTTCTTCTTCACATGAGCAACACACCCTCAAATACACTGCCTCTGGTTTCAAGACAAGGAGATTTGACTTGCATGAGGTCTTGGCCTATGCATCTCTCCATTTACGGAGCTCTGTGTGTGTGTGTGTGTGTGCGTGTTTTGTGCTCTATGTGCGCTGGTGTGTAAAGCGCATGCTAATGTGGGTTGGGTCTTGGTCCTCGGGATCAGACTGAAGATGACAATCCAGGGGGCACATTGTGTGGGCCAGCAGAGCGAGCTCCACAGATGGGAGGAGGGAAAGGGAGACGGAGAGCTCTAGACAGAGACAGAAGGAGAGGGCCGCCATCCACAGCCTCGTTTCACTCTTAACTTCGTTCTCCATTCGTACTCCGCAGATCCAGTTGCCACTATGAAACCAGCTTTTGTGAGTATTGATTCCCTTCCAGGCAGCAGCTCCACTGGAGGCTCATTCATCTCGTCGACCTGCCACGAATGAATTGAATGAGGGGAAAGAACTGATGCTTTCTAGCATTTCTTTGGATACTATATTTCCTGTGGAGCCTGTTCGATTGGTATGCGCTGATTGCTAAATACAATGGAATGAGGGGGGGGGGGGGAGCTCAAGCCCGTCCCTCACGTTGTCCTGCTACTTTGGAGTGTTTTCTTTAAAAAGTTAATCCTCTGTGGCATTTTAAAATCTCCGGAGCAATTCATGCTGCATCTCTTTGTTCTCTCCCCCCCCCCCCCCTTCTCGTCTTGTGTTGCCATGTTCATGAACTCATTGTGGATTTGGGGTCGCTTTTATATTTTCTGTGAGGAGAAAAGTGTTTGCTGCAGCAGAGGCGTCTCGTGTGTTTGAACCTGCTGAGATCAAACCAAACCCGTGGCTGTGTGTCACGGCCCGGTGCAACCAGCAGGGGGAATCTATTCTCTAATCCCCACCATGGGGAGAACACAGGAGAGCCACAGGGGGGGGGCTCTGCTCTGGTGAGAGAATAGGTGTCCTGTCTGTTCTACCTTCCACAAAGGATGTATATTAATATATTTCCACATCCTTTGGGGATGAGTTTTTAAAGTTGTGTGGAGCGGACACTGCGCCTAAAACCATGTGACATTGGGCTATTTCAGGAGGATGTTGATGGGACTGCTGACAGCGCTTTGTCCCGCCGTGGCATCGAGGTGCTGGCACCTGCTTTAGACGGTGGCGTGCTCGTGTTCCGCTTGATGCCATCCACTAGTCCATAGTTTTCATCCGACCCTTGCTCTGGTGCCAGCTCGCCAATTTGAGGCCGGTGGTCCGGGCGCACTCTCTCTCTCTCTCTCTCTCGCTCTGCAGCAGCGTTTTGTTTCACCCTGAACACGCTCTGCCAGGCGTCCCAGATATTCTGCTCAGTCATCCCGGAGCAGCAGACCTGCTGTGAGAAGCGTGATAAATGGGTTCGTGTGTCTTTAATCTCCTGACCGTCTCCCATCGATGCCAGCTCTTCAGCAGTTGACCTCCGCCTCGCCGCTGACTTCTGACCCTTCCTCATTGTATCTCTCCGCGCTCATAGCGAGTCCCCACTCGCACAAAGGATGCCCTCTTCATTTCAGGTCTCTGTATTGATTCGATCTCGCGGCACAAAAACACATTCCTCTCCCTCTCCTCTATTAATTCTCAAGGCGCCGAGCTTCTTAGACCCTCGACCATGAAATTCAAAAGGCTTTTTCTTGTTGTGGATGTGTTTTACCTTGAGGAAATCACTGGGCTATGTCCCCCGATAAGGATATATTTACCCAGCTCCAGCAGTATATCACACCTGCCTTTCACGGTAGCTGCTTCTAAATCTCATTGGAGCAGATAGTATTCCCTTTTTCATTATACTGGACATGCTGATACACCAAGACTGAATGCAGCTGTGTGTGTTTTTGTTCTTGCATCCATACTTGAGTTTGAATTTTTTTTTTAACTCGGCACACTGACCTTACCTGCAGTGCGAGTGTGTTTTAAAATGCACTCGATGCATTCGGAAAGATACCCTGAGGCCCTTGCAGATACGGCAATAGGGAGCACAGAATATTACAACCTCTGCTTCAGTGTTTTAAAGTACATGTGTTGTCCCCAGCGGGCTAAAGAAACAACCTTGACACTTGAATTGTATGCCAGAGCGAGATCACAGTTCCTTATTGATGGTGGAGACCAAAACCGGAGCTAAAAGGAGATTAAATATTGGACTAACATTCATCAGGTGTCAAGAAACACGATTCAAAATGAATGATAGTGTTGTTCTGTAACTGCTGGATGTGTAAATATACAACTGTTTGCCCTATCAATTTAAAAGGTGCCGATATGTCAATGTTGGGTCCACAATTTGTTTCTGCTGCCTCCTAGTGGCCAAAAAAACAAATATTGCAGGTTTAAAGGAATAGTTTTCCATTTTATTCTCATCTAACTCTTCAAATTCCTCAAATTTGCTGGGTGAGGGTGAGAAGATGCAAAAGCTGGTGACTTCCGGCTCCTACACAATCCCAAACAAGGACTCCACACACTCAGCTGAACGACAGGAGAGACCTGGCTTTAATATTTGAGGAATAATGTCTGGCCCTGTTTGTCCTACACCTGCTTATACGACATAGAGAATATATAAGTCTGGCTGTGGAAAAACTCAAAAACGAAATGATACAAAAACATCTTACTCTACCTGTGATTGTCTGCAATAGGAAAAGCTAATATTTATGCTAATACTCCTCAAAGGTTAGTGGAGAATGTTGTCTTCTCGATAAAACCGCTGACACTGTCGTACAAACGGTAGCCACTTATTTTTGCTGACTCATCTGAGTCTTTGTTCAGGTAGGAGAGGTGCCTACCATCATCTTTCCCGTTTATTGACTGATGCGGGGAACATGTGGCGCTGATAGATGGAGGCTGTTTGTCAAGCTGATCAACAATCTGGTCAATATGCTGTACTCTAATCAACAGTATGGAGGAGTAACGTCGGACAGATGGTTCACTAAAATAATGCGATCCACCCACTGCCCATCCTCTCACACATCTCCTCTCCTCCTCTCCTCGCTAGAAATAAGTTGTTTTTCCTCCGATGTGCTGAGGATTGATGTTGAATATGAAAATAACCAGGAAGGCAGCGTAAAAGATTGATACATTGTACTGCAGTGCGGAGTGTGATCTTCAAATTGATGGATTCTCCCTTTGATTCTTCAGGGATTTAATCATTGCACATTGCTCAGGCACCAAACATGTACAGTATTCAATTTGACGGGGAGGTTCAGACAGCTGGCATGGTGAAGGTATGTGTGTGTGCACCGACGAAAAGGCAAAACAAAACCCTGAGTTCTCTCTTAGCAGAAACCGACGACTTCTCCCACCACAAAACAACGAAGATCTAATTCCGTTGACAGCGTAAGACGTCCATCCTTCACGTAGATCTCTCCTGGTCCTTTTGGGGGGGGGGGGGTTTGTATCTGTCCTCTTCTGGGGCATTCTTTGTAGAGGTGGATGGGATCCTTTTTCAGGCTTTGTGAACCCTTTTGGAATGATATAATCCCAGTGATTATTCATTTCTTCTTCTGAGTCTAGAAGCTCTAATTTACTCTCTGACAGCAGCTCATTTAAATAAAGCATCATTCTTCAAAGTTAGATTTCTGTCTCCGACGTTTGTCTTCCAACTAGATGTCATTTCACTGCTAAACATCCGCGTCCAGATTGATGATGAGAACCTGACAAATGTAGACTTTAGTCTCCCGACGGCACTTTATTGCTTTATGTAATTATACTAATGGGGACATAAAATCTTGTCTCGGGGCTTTTAAAGCGGCTACCAGGACAATTTCCAAAAAGTCAGAATAAAGATGGCTATTCACTCCGTTTTATAAAAACACCTGACGGGTGTGACGGCAGCGCTGTCGGTCTCTATCCTTTTCCATTCTCTGCACTCCCCAATGTGGATTGGTTGAAAGGGGGAGCCTGTGACAGGTGTAATATTGCAGCTCAGTGCCCTCATGAATGCATTTGAAGGATGTTTTCTGACTGTGTGTGTCCGTGTATCAGAGGCTATACTCTGGAGAGAACACCTCGGTAACGTTCACACGCATTCTCTACAAAATGCGTGAAATGATTGGGAGAAAACACGGGAGTCTTTGCTTCTTTGATTCTCTTTCGTCCCAAGCTCTCTTTGTTTTTAACTCCTTCTGTATCACCGGATTTGGAGCAAACATTATGACACAGATAGTTTAAGTATTTTTTTCGGAGCTTAATGAACTGATGACGAGCATGAATCACCTAATACTGTTTCTGCATCTTTTTCTTCACCTCGCATCACCTTTTTCTCTCTTTGCTCGATTGCCGTCAAACTTTTGCTTTGTGATCATTTATGTGATTGTTTCTGTAAATCAGTTTTGGCCGCAGGCAGCTGATGAGACGCAGATGCCTCCAGTCTAGAGCCAATAGACATGACCGAGGCCGTAAATGAGATATAAAGTCAATCAACCGTGGCGCAGTTGCTTAAGATGCCCTTCGAAATCTTTATTTATGTGTCTCCATAAAACCACTGTGACTGACTCCTCTCTCGCTTAAGGTTTCCCTTAACTCTGTCGTTTCCTTTTTTTGCAGGGTGACTGTAGCAATTGGTGGTTTATTGTTTCATGCTTGGGGAGTGTTTCTGCTGGTGAGAGGTGGAGGCTAAACTCACGATGGCTCCTCCGGCTCCTTACTGTGTCTCCCTCTTCTGCTCCTGTCCTCAGATCGAGAAGATCATGACGCTGATTGGTGCCGGCATCGATTTCTCCAGAGATCAGCAATATGCGACACCAGGTAGAGTGTGACCATCATTGCCTTTTCTCTCTAGAAATTTTTTTTAAATTTCAAATTCAAAAATGAATCACAGATGAGAGCTGAAAGTTCGAGGAGAAAAATAGTGGGCGTGTATTTCTTTGCCTGTATTTCCTCAAAACCTTTGATCAGCATGTCTCTAAGTGTGTGAGGCACATGGGTTTATTGTTTGCTTGTCTTGTACTATACCCGCTTGGATTTCCTTTAAAAATCATCCTCCAAGACATTTCATCCGTATCTGCGCCCTCAAGGGAAATCAGGTGCCTGGGACACACGATCAATGAAGGAGGCATCCGAAAAAAACAAATTGCGATTCAGTTAGCGTCAGAGAATTGGGTAGAATAGTATAATGGCGGGAGACAGTTGGTCTGTTTCGATAGAGCAGATGTGAATCGACAGATGTGAATCGACATTAGCAGCCTCGGAGAAAGGTAAGAAAACATGTCGGAGAAGCTTTTCCTGTCTAACGGTGCAGAGAATAGAGAGGACACCCACTGGATCTGCTTTTGCGTGTTGTTATTTTCGAGGCGGTGGTCGCTCTCATGCATGTGACACAAACCAGTTTGCTTTGTAGTACTGGGCCCTAAAAGTGCCTGAGAGACACTTTCTTAGATCTAGCTTTTCATCCTGTCAAGAGATATCTTGGTGTTAAGGATTCTGTACCTTTTCAGAAGCCTGTCGTCAGGTTTGATGGATGGTGCCCAGAGACTGTCGCCGTAAAAGCAAACAATTGATGTTTTCCTTTCAGCTTTCACGTCGCCCTCTCCATCATTCACCTCAAGTTCAAACTTTGCCTCATTTGCCACGTTTTAATATATTTCAACACAAACTTGTGTGTCCGCTCGTTGTAGCCCTCCTGTTTGTTATGCCCTGCACTGGAGTGAGCTGTTTAAATATTAACCAGTACGCATGTCAGGGGACGTGAGGAAAGCTGAGACCACTGCAGTGGAGTAGCTGGCGCCCCATCACTCGCTGGTATCCGTCTGGTCTGAACATGTCCGGATTCACTCCTCTGCATACATGTGAGCTTCGATCTGAGAGGTGCCGTGTCCACAGCTCCGTCTCGCTGACGCTGCTGTCACGAGGCCATCAGGGGACGAGCTGTTTGATGCATTCCCCCCCCCCCCCCCCCACACACACACACACACTCCGATTCAGCCTAGTGTTTGTCTCGTCTCTGTGTTGACTGGAGAGCAGCGACGTCTCTCGCTGATTGTCCCGGTGCCTGCAGACTCTTGTACTTTTCTGCTCTTTACTGATTTACTCCTACATCAGAGAGAAAGAGATGGCGGAGGAGGGTGAAGGAAACCTAACGAGTGTGAGAATAAGAAAGGGACTGATGTGAAAGAGCTACTGCAAGTACTGAGGGGTGGGGGGGTCTGTAGCGGTAGCTTGCACTGACACAGAGCAGCCACCTGCAGTGTTTGAGAGAGAGAGAGAGAGAGAGAAAGGGAGAGAGAGTGGGAGGGAGGGGTTGGGAAGCGTATGCCATGAGGGGAGGGAGAGTGAGGGAGTAAGGGAGGAGAGAGGAATTGCAGGCAGGAGAACTGTGAACAGCCAGGACAATAGAAGGACGCCACCTCGGCATCGGTAGGATTAGGTGGTCCTCTCCGCCCCTCGGCCCAGAGGGGACTACAGACGTTTTTTGTTTTTTTTTACAGAAGTGGACTTGACCGCATCTCAAAGACTGTGCCAGACTGAGGAGAGACAGTTTTAGCACTCTCTTGTCTGCAGGAGTTCATTCTTGGGGGGGAAGGGGGGGTGAGCCGTTACTTAGGTGCTATTTGAAGTATAGCTGATTGGATCCTTGATTGGATTTTCTTTCTTTTTTTTTTGACATGTTTCCATGCTTCTGGTGTGACCAGAATGGGATTTATGACGTGGGAAACTCCTCTGAAACAGGATTGCTTTTGCACCAGGTTGAATAGATAATGAGAGCGCTGACGGGAGAAAGAGAAGCTTTAAAATGTGCATTTTGCACATTTATTGTAAGTTGTCAGCTCTGTTAATGTGCTGTGCTGCACAAGGTAGGCCGAATCTCTTTTCTATCAGCAGGGAAATGATGTTAACTTGTAGCTGTGGTTGAGATGCGATTGTGAAGTTCAGAGTTAAGGGAATTGAAGTGTGTTTTAACTGATATAAAATGTGTTTTTTGCTTTGAAAGTGAGTGAAATCGTAGATGAGAAGAGGCCGTCATCAGTCCTTGTACAGTTCAGGCTCCTCTCTGCTCGAGCTGCCGACAGCCGTCAGTGTTGCTTTGTTCCTCAATCAATCTCGAGCTCGTGACAGACGGACACGCAGGTTTCTGTCGATTCCGCTGCTTTCCACGTGAACACTTACACGTTCTCAGGTCGGTTCCTGTCGGGACCGTGCGTGGTTTGGTTAATTAACTGTCTGCTTCTTGACGACAAGTTTCCAAAAGAAACTTTCCATGCGTCTGAAAAACGTTACCTTCCCCCTTGAGTAAGGTGTTTACCTCCCTCTGAGTTTCTCTTCATTACAAAACTAGAGCTTCATTAAATCAGCTGCAAGCTTTTATTTCTGGGCAGAAAATGCTTCCACCTGACATGGGACATTTTGACTTTTTTCCGAGTTGGATATGAACTTTACCGTTACGTTTGCAGCAGTGAAGTGAGGCAGCGTCTTGTTGATTTTAAATGTTTTTTTTATCACGTTCCTGACTGACTGTCATAGCTGTTTTATTAGCTGGTAGTCCACCAGCTCATAGCCCTTCATCATCTCCTTCGCCCCCCCTGAGATCAGGGGTACTTTAAGCCATCTTGGGCGACTGTGGTTCGGCCCCCGCTGCCCCGCGGGAGCCGACGCCCTGTCCTCAGAGGACACTGTCTCCCCCGCCTTCCTGCTGCTGGTGCGCTCGGCTCTGCTGGCCGAGAATGATGTGGCAATGTCACGTCTCGTCCTCGGAGTGCCGCTGCTACCGGCTGAAAGGTTTCTCCCTCCTGAAGCGCTTTCCCCTGTCAGCAGGTGCCGCCGGCCGGCTGCTGGACCAGCCCGTGGGAGACTGGCTGGAGCACGTGGGGCTGCCGCAGTACGAGAGCAAACTCCTCCTGAATGGGTTCGACGACCTGCACTACATGGTGAGCTCCCCACTTCTCTTGTGTTCTGTTCCGAATTGACCTTAATGGTCTTGAATGTTCACTTACTTTGATCCTCCTCACTTTTACAATCTTTTTCCTCTTGTCTCTCACCGCTTCCTCCTACTTAACTCCACGTGTCTTTGTGCATTAATCCAATTGACGCCACCCTCCATTACTGGTGCTGTGAGATGAGATGATCCCATTAGCTTCGTCTGAAGTTCAATTAGCTGAAACCCTGTAAACGACCCCTCCCGTCTGACTTTCTTTTCTTTTCTTTTTTTACCAGCAGCTGCACGATTTTATTACAGGAACTGTTTATTCTGGGTGGATTCAGCACATAATTCAATACCTCACAATATTCAGAATATAATTTGACGACAGAACTTTCCCTCTCAGGCATTTATTGATGTTCGCTATATTTACACGCCCATCCAACCAGATAATAAGCAGTTTGCTCTGCGCTGTCAAACATTTTGTTTCACGGGAACTTCGATGCCATTACGCCCGGCTGCGCGTTGAATCAGGTTTGCGCTGCACTCTCAGGCTCTCAGACAGTCTGTCTCCATCTCAGGAGGCCGCTGCCGTGGCCTCTCACTTACAGTCAGTGGGCCGGCTGCCTGAGAGGAAGCCGATGCCCGGGCAGAATGGAGGAGCGTCTCGGTGAGCGATGGGATGCTGTTTGCCAAGCTGACAAGTTTTATAGAAGCCACAGTGTGCTTGCCTTCTTTTTCAGGCATTTGAGACAAAGTGAACTAACTTAAACATATCGAAATTAAACATCACCTACATGCCAAAATACTTTTGTTAAACCATCTCAGTTTGTACAATACAAAATGTACAATCTTAATAAATATAGGAAAGATAAGATGATACGTGATCCACAACGTGATACACAGCAATCCCAGAATTCAACTCTATCCTGACTAAGTTTTACAAACTGTGTAGGTGTTTTGTAACTGCTAATTAACACGCACTTTAAGGAGTATCCCACTACATTTTACTGGTTTCATGTCAAACAAAGCATCTTTAACCGTTGCCCTCCGTATGTTACTCCTCGATTCGCTCACACACTCTGAACCTACGCAAACATGAGGAGGAAAACCTGTTGACGAGCAGCATGTTGTTTCTTCAAAGGTACATTCATGATCCGACAGATGTTTTCTGTTTACCTGGAAGGATAAAGTCTTTGCCTGAGGTGAAGCCAGTGCTCAAATCCCATATTTCCACAGACTACGGATTTATTAAATCAGGGGCAGCTAACTCATAAACCATGACAACAGCAGACACAAGCTGAACCCAAGCCACAGTGAAATGAATAGAATACAGTAGAGTACAGTACAGTGGGGCGCTGTAATTCATGCAGCCTAAAGTGAGCCAGTGGTTCCAGTGGTGACGAAGTCACTGTTTCCATCGCTTTGTCCTCCTCCTGTATATCAGTGTTTGGTCTTTCCATGGTTATGTTCTGCCAAATGACGATCAGTGTTGATCGTTGTTTTTTGTTAATTAGGTTGTGTTAATTGGACTTTGGAATATGGTAAATTGGGACTTCTTGGTCTCCAGAGAGCAGATTTTGTCTCACTAACCCTTTTACTGGTTTAATGGTTGTCCTTATAAAGCTAGAAACTTTAATACAACTTGAAATACCAAAATAAATGTGAATGTGTTTCACTGTAGGACTCAGCTGTGGCTGTATGAAATCCGTATTTACTGATATTGGCATGAATAATATTTAAAATGCTTTACATAACCTGAGAGTGGAGCGTTTCCCATGTATCTGCCTCTCTCCTTCTCACCCGGTGTCATCAACACCATGTTTAATTCTGTGCTGAAGCCTCTGAAGTTGCTCTGGAGCTTTAATCTTCCTACTGTCTTTTAGTCTTTCACACTCGCACCGCCCTCGGCTCTTAGCACTCCTTTCTTTTTTTTCTCTTTTTTTCTCAAAGAGGAGAGCCGGCAATTTTGCTATCTTTAAACGCAGCTTTCAGACCACCTGGCTTTCTGAAATCGCTCGAGGATTTAGAATAAAAGCCGTCGGCTTTATTCAGCGCGTCCTTCTCTCGGTGAATGTTGACCTTTTTAAGAATCACAAATTGATCTCATTTGGAAATGAGTCACCTTGTCTCTGCTAAACTTTCCGGTGTTAAATGTGCTCTTGTGCATTCGAGGGGAAAGAACAGGAACAGGTTACCTGATGTTTGGTCTAATTTAATTAGTATTACCAGACTTGAGTCATGGAGCCCCGCAATGTTCAATATTACATGAATAAATAAGGATTTCCTTTTAATAAATAGTGTAAAGTATATAAATGAACTGATTATTTGTAAAGTAATTGAAGAAAAGTAATTTTTCTATTTCATCATATTTTGTACTATATTGATGATAACATTTCATAATAATGAGGTTAAGTTTTAATAACTTAAAAACAATTAACAATGTATTTCTTCATTTGTGTATATATATATATATTGATTTATTTACTATTGAGAACTTTGCGGCACCATTATTGACACCAGTCTGCATTTGTGTCGAACAAATCTATTTTCAGTAATTACTAAACTCATAGATACATTAGATATTACAGATCTACAACATTTCTACAAAGTCATGGCTGAATAAATCGAGTTTAGGAATATAATACTGCCCCGATATCTCCTCCATACAGTAGACAAATTCATGTGCAGGCAGAAAAATTGTTTTTATTTGTCAAATGGAAAAAATTGAGGCTCAAGTGAGCAGCTCAAGTGCCAGACTCTCTCAAGGCTTCTTTTAATCTTCCCATCGGTATGAACGCTGTTGAAAAGCAGTGGTTGAGAAACTGCTTGCAGTGAGATCACTAATTGAACAGTGTTCACTCTGCCAGTCAGGCCGCTGTGATCTCTGTCTATCCTGCAGGATCGCTCCAGAAGTGGATCAATAACAGCAGTGATTGTATTGTGTTCGCGTACCGAAGCAAAGACAAGCCTCGTCTGAAAGCGATTAGATGCTTTTTATGGACTCGATGGAGCGAATGCAGCAATGAAACGAGCTCCGCGCGGCCGTGCTGCTCTCCAACCCCCGGTGCTCCTGACGAGCGAAGGCCCGTTGAGACGGATCGGCTCCTTTTCCTCTCCTTCTGAGAGGCTGCTGGTGTCTTCAGCTGTGTGACAGGGTCAGCCAGCAGAGAGCTCCAAGTTAGTTTGCAATTCGAGGCAGCTGTGTCACCGCTGCACTGCTGGAGGGAATTCACTTTGTTTTGAAGCAAATATTCACGGCGACGCTTCGAGAAGAACAAATTGACTTTACGCTTCAAGTTAATGGAAGTGACTCGGCTAATACAAAGAAACAAAAACTTCTGAAGAAAGACCTTGGTTTTATCTAAAAGTTGCACGATGGTGAGAGAAACATCAGAAGACAAAACATCTGTTTGCATTTCTGTGCAAGCTCAATTCATCTGGGTCTCCTCCCTTCTTTCTGTCCTCCATTGTTGTTTTCTGACATTGAATGAATGCCAAACACTTTTGTCAGAGAGAGTCAATGCCACCAAAGCCTGCAGACAAGTTGGAAATTCTGTAATGGCTTCATGCATTAGAGGCTCAAGGATTGGGGATGGATTCATTGATTTTGCTGTTTGGGTAATTGGCAGTGATGAATTGTTGCAGGAATTGGATGGAGTACGCGGCTAATTTTAAACCACGGCCCGTGCGCCTGTTAAGGACGGCATTACATTACAGTCCAGTCATTTAGCAGACGCTTTTATCCAAAGCGACTTACAATTCTACCACATTTCTACACCGTAGGCACAACTACGGGAGCAATTTTGGGGTTAAGTGTCTTGCTCAAGGACACATCGACATGCAACCGGGGTTCGAACCACCGACCCTCTGATTGAAAGACTGCCCTGCTATCCACTTAGCCACAACCGCAAACTGTGACTTTAGTGCTGTTGGTCAGCCGTCCTTTAGACGGACAGAATGAGTGATCCGTGCCCTCGAGCTCCTGGCCTGAATTCAGAGTGCTTTCAAAACCTGGAGGGACCGCAGCGGCCGCTCTCCGGATGGACCGAGGAGAGAGCCGCATTTTAATGAGAGGAAAGGGGGGAAAGCAGAGAGATGGATGGGCCGAAACCAGCACAGACACACAAAACCAACTCGCTCACATTACTCCACATCTATTATTTCCCTCCAAGTTGGGCTGAAGTCAGCTTACACCTGCTGAGATAAAGTGGAACCACATTAGTCAGAAGTCTCCCCACGGAGTTGTCGCTATGTCGTATTCGGTTTCCTACCATGTAAGACTTAAAGAAAAACAACACATTCTCACACTGTAGGAGCTGACACTAGATACCGTCGGCCATTTTTTGCTTGAAAAGATGCTGATAGAACAATATTTGCAGATGTCGCTGTCGATCAAGTAGTGGATTTATCGACTAGTCTTTTCAGCCCTGATGTGGATTGAGATCCTACGAATCAGCTTAACTTCCAACACTGACTGTTTGTTAGGGCTGCCGCTGAAGATTCATTTCTCAATTACTATTGTTTTGATGAAACGATTATTTGTTATGGCTAGAAAATGTACCAGGATAATCTCCCTGAACACAAGGTGACGTCTTAAAAATCAGACCAAAACCCAAAAACATTTAGTATACAAATGTACAAAACATAGAGAAAATGCCGGCAGTTGGCAAATATGTTGCATTGTTTTGCTTTCCAAAAGCCTTAAACAGTAAATCAATTATTAAAATAATTGGTGATGGATTGTTTGAGAATCCACTAGTTGAATAATGTCAGCCAACCAAATGGCCCGAAAGGCCTTTTTCACGTTTTGTTCTGATAACACAATTGGCTTTTCCACACAAGATTTTGACAAGCTTTAATATTTTCATTGAAAAAAGCCCTGTTATTTAAACGTGTTCCCTCCTGTGCTGACCCCTGTGGTGGACATCATGAACTGCTTCTTAAAAACACTTTGGTTACAACGAAGCCTAAAGCGGAACACGAGAACCATTAAAAGACTTCTACTTTACAGCAGAGAGAGCACAACACAGCCCAGGGGAATGGGAGCAAAGACTGTAGATTCAGTCTGTTAGAGCTGTATTTCCTCCACAGACTCATTTATCAGTTAATCTCCAGCGGGACAGTAATGCAATGATCCATGCAACGCGAAAGCGCTATTATCCATCCGGCTCCCCGAATAGTTTCAATCCTCAGCCGGAGAGGCAGCGATCGGCGTGTTGCTGCTCAGAGATAATGGGCTTTAAGTTGTCAGTTTAGTGCGAGGTATTAAGAAAGCAAAAGAGATGCGTCACCATGTCTTGTGCTCAATATGAGCTCCGACTGTAACGAGGGCCGCGCCTCACCGTACATGACCGACATCACTTCCTGTGAGAGCTCGTGCACTCATTTTGCTCTTCATTGTTCATTCTATCTTTCTTTCTCTCTGCCTGTTTTCTTTCTTTGTCTGCCTTTCTGTCCATCTGTTCTCGTCTCTGTCTGTCTCTGTCTTTTTGGTCTGTCCGTCTTTCTTTATCTTTGTCTCTCTGTCCTTTCTATTTGTCTTTCTGTCCGTCTCTGTAGGAAAGAAAAGACAGGAAGGAAGAAAGAAACAGTCCGACAGGACATTACAGACAGCCTGATGCAAACTCTCAACCACACTGCACATAGTACACGCCTGCAGTCTGCACTGTGAACGTCGCGTCACTGTGTACTGTATATCAATGGCAAATTAACAATTAACATTGTGATTTTACAAGCTGCATTACAAAGATTACGTTGCAGTTTTTACCCTCCCTGACAGGCTCCCTCCTCCCCTCTCCTCACCTCTCCACCCCCTTGTTTGCATCTACAGCGTCTGCATGAAAAACAGGCTGTCAGGTTTGACCTACAGGCGGCTTCTATCCTGTTACTAGTGTGTGAGAGTGTGTGTGTGTGTGTGAGTGTGTGTGTGTGTGTGTGTGTGTGTGCGCACGCGCAGAAGTGAGCGCCATAGGATTAACTTGAGGTTCATATTGAGGAGTCAGACACATGTCCCACATAGATTTAGCTGCTGACCTTCTTCTGAAGTAACACACACAACAAGATGGACATGGAGCTCTGACTGACTTCTCACTGGTCAGGATGTTTTTTTTTTTTCCTTCCCTGCAGCCATCAGTTACAGTCAGCTATCGATGCTCAGGCATTCCACCCCTCCATCTCAAATCGCTGACCATTCTGCAGTTCTGACATTGATTTATCGCTCCTTTCTCCGTTATCCGTTACCTGCCACCCGCTCCCGAAGGCGATGCAGTGTGTAACCAAAGATGGGTTTGAGCATCCAGCCCCCCACACACACACACTCGCATCTCATTTAAGGGGTTATTGACGTGGCCCCCTTTCTACAGTCAGTAGGTTTGGGTCCCAGAGAGGAATTTGACGATCTCACTAGAGAGTAATTGAGCTTTTTTTCCTGCAGCGGTAGCATTACTTGTGATCAATACTTAGCCTGCAGCATTGGCTCTTCTCCTGAAGGGATTTGTATGTGTCTGTGTTTTTAGATTTGAACATAGCATGTATATATATATATATATATATATATATATATATATATATATATATATGACTGTTGACATTATGTTGCAAAATGATATGATTTAACCGCAATCTTGTGCTCTTTGTTTTGTTTTTCTCTACAGGGGAACAATGTGATGGAGGACCAGGACTTGAGGGAGATTGGGATCACGGACCCAAGCCACAGAAAGAAGATCCTGCATGCATCGCGCTCGTTACCCAAGGTGACAAATCATTGATTAGTTCTTCAACACTTATTTCAGCGTAGTGCGTTGCTTCTGATGTTGGATCACAAGGTGCTAGTCTCCCTTAATACCAAGGCAGATATAGTTACTGGTGACTATATGATGAGCTTATACAGTTTCACAAAAAAGTGATTTCACCTCTAAACTTTTCAGATTGTTTCATTTAAATAACTACATTTGTTCTTTGAGGCACAAATATGATGTGTGTGTAGATATATATATATATCTCAGTACATTTGTTCCGAAGCCAAGCACCAGTGTTTGATTAAGTCCTCTCCTGCAGGTGAAAGCGATGGGCTGCGACGGCAGCAGCTCCCTCTCCTCTTGGCTGGAGAATCTGGGCCTGCACGAGTACTTGCACAACTTCCTGACCAGCGGCTACCGCACTCTGGACTGTGTCAAAAACCTGTGGGAGCTGGAGATTGTCAACGTGAGTCGCTGTGACGTACACGGACCGCGAGGAGTACCAGAGGGTGAAATTAGTTTTACGAAGTGTTGAAGAAAAACTACAACTCTGCAGGGAAATGCACAGAACTTTGGTGGTGAATGTCAGGGAGGTAGTTTCCAGTGCTTCCAATTGGTTAAAGGTTTAAAGGTAAAGGAAACAAACCAGTAATTGAAAAAGTCAATATCTCAACTTTGAGAGATTGAGCTCAGTTACTTGTATGGACACCTGCTCCTCCAAAAAACCAAAGATGCTTTAGTAGGTTATTCTAGGGTCTCATTTAGAGGCTTGCAGTCTGAAGGGTAAGCTGTTATGACATGTTAAGTAGCAGTGTCTGATGTTTCCTGCCTAGCTTCCAACTTTCCAACACCTCTGCTTCCTCGTGTGCTGCTCCACATGTTCACCAGATCATTTCCTCTTTCCTCCAGGTGCTAAAGATCTCCCTACTCGGTCACAGGAAACGCATCATTGCTTCCTTAGCGGAGAGGCCCTACGAGGAACCTCCAGTCAAGCCTCCTCGTTTGTCTCAGATCAGGGTGAGGACCCACAGACTGTTTTACCAACAACTGTCTAAAGAATGAATGATAGTTTGATGGTTTGATTGTAGTCCACAAATTTTGGAAGGCACGTTTTTTTTTGTGAAAGATGAAGGACGGCCACCGTGACGTTCATCGTGGGACAACTAACCGTGTCCGACTTTGTCTCTCCAGTGTCAAGACCTGCCTGGATCCCAGACCTCGTCCCCCCTCAGTCATATGGAGTCCTACACCGGACGCTCGATGGACCCTCTGCTGCCAGTGGGAGAGCCAGGGAGGAAAAAAGTGCCGGATAATGACTACGACGTTACCCAAAGATATCGCAGTGAACACAGATCACATGTACGTTTAGGTCGCTGCAGCAGTACATTCCGTCCTCCACTACCTTCATGTGATGTAGTGATCATAGTGGGCCTCTGTTAGTCTTAGCATAATACTTTTTTACCCCCCCAGGAACGGTATGAAGAACGGCATCGAGAGCCCCGTCTGACCCTGCGGCCGCCGAGTCTGGCCGCACCGTACGCCCCGGTCCAGAACTGGCATCATCAACCTGAGAAGCTCATCTTTGAATCCTGCGCCTACGAAGCCAGTGTACGTCCACGCCTTTCTCCCTCATAATTTATGTGATGCAGTTGTCGTTGATCATGTACACCAACACTTTCTCTCTCTCTCTCTCTCTCTCTCTCTCTCTCTCTCTCTCTCTCTCTCTCTCTCCCCCTTTGTAGTACCTCGGTTCCATGCTAATTAAGGAACTACGGGGCACCGATTCCACGCAGGACGCCTGTGCCAAAATGCGGGTATGCTGCAAGTTTCCTCTTCAATCTCAGGGGACAAACACAGGACATAATACATATAGTATGAGTGAATGGTAATACACCCTAATGTCCTTTCTGCCTGTGTCCTTTTTTCCTCCAGAAGTCGACAGAACAAATGAGAAAAGTCCCTACTATCGTCCTTTCCATCACCTACAAGGGTGTGAAGTTCATCGATGCAGCCAATAAGGTTAGCTTCCACGTGCACTCACCTCCCTGCTTGTCTTTAGTCCCAAATTGACCCCGGTGCAAATAACAGTATGTTTTGTTTGGTAATATTCTGAGAGTGTTAACAGTCAAATTTCACGCTGCTTCTTTTCTGTCATTGCAAATACCATGCCTGCAAGTTTATGTCAGATTTGTTCATGTTTGACAGGCAGCAAATCTGCGCATATTGACATTTATTTGACATTGATGAAAAAAAAAAGAGACATTGAAAGGCTGCCTTGCTCAGCCAGCTATTACTGCGTATTGCTTCAGTCCAATGACTCAAGCATGATTTATGCCCCAATGTGTCCTCTTTATTGACTGCCTCGTATCATTTTTATAAATCATATTTTTTCATAATACATTATCACTTGGAGCGTTGAAGTTCTGTGACGCGTGTTGATGTTATTTACAGTCTGTATAGACTGAGTCTTATGCTGCCTCTCTTCTCGGTGTGCAGAACATCATCGCAGAGCACGAGATCCGTAACATTTCGTGTGCAGCCCAGGACCCCGAGGACTTGTGCACGTTTGCCTACATCACCAAGGACCTGCAGACCAGCCACCACTACTGCCACGTGTTCAGCACAGTAGACGTGGTAAGGATGCTCTCACTGTCCCGTCATGTGACGAGCGTTTGTGTCAGCTCAACATAAAGGAGTATTTCTAGTGAGCGTTGAAAACTTTCCCGCCCGCTAAAATTGAATTCCTCCGACATCATCTCCCGTACTTGCACTGAGGAGGTCTGACAGCCTGCGTCATCAACATCGTTATCTCTAGGCTGCCCTATCTCCTCAAGGTGTCACGCTTCAGTTGGGGCTGATTGCCTCCTCGCAGATAGCCGTGATAGCTAGCCCTCCATTACCTCCTCTGCCCCCCCCCCCTTGAGATCGGATGATTATCCTGCTGATCTGCCTCATAATGCCGCCGGGGTCGTTCCAGACTAAAGTCAGCCTAACAATGCTCAGTTTCCTCTGTGTGAAACAAGGGGCTGCCCCTCAGCAGCAAAGGCCACAGCAGTCGTGCGACGCGATCAGTTATTTTAAACAGTATTGACCATACGGCTGCTATCTGTTTTCTGTGTCCCATCATGTGACTGCTTTTTTGACTTCCCAAGGCATGTCGTGTGAATCCTGTGTTTTTTAGTCTGAGGTGCTTGTTTATATTTGGAAGCTGTCAGGGTGCAGCTTTAATACTAAGCTACAGCCTGTATCCAGTCCAGGTGCAGAGGGGAAGCTGCTAGCTGCTGCACAACGCTCACGAGATTACTGCCACTTCTTCCTGTTTTGAAGAAGTTTCGAGGGAAACAAAACTTTGTCCTGATATCTTTTGCTGTCTCACTTTTATAGTGTTGTTCTCTGTCTGGACTGGGAACCTGAAAAAGTCCAAAATACTTAAAAGAACTGCCCGCTCTTCCTCTTTCTCCCTCTCTGTGTAGAATCTGACCTATGAGATTATACTGACGCTTGGCCAGGCGTTTGAGGTAGCCTATCAGCTGGCTCTGCAGGCCCAGAGGACCAAACAGCACCAGAACCTCCCACTGGGACCCGGTTCAGAGGTCATTGAGACCAAGTCCAGCCGACCCGTGCCCAAACCACGAGGCAGCGTGCGGAAGTCGTCGGTGAGTTGGACATCGAACATACTGTAGCGCAAGACCCCACATGAACATTGTGTGGAAGAGTTTACTGGGCACATGTTATTAGAGGAGCAAGTTTAAGTTCTGCTACTGCAGTACAAGTGTAGCTCCCTGACCCTGAAATGAACCTTTCCTGTTCATTTGTCATTGATTTTGTGCTCTGTGTAGCACACATGGTGCAATTGTGGGAGGAGAGGTGAGGGGTGCAGTTGTCTGTAGACTCTGTTAGACTTTGAAAACCGCTGACCTCGTAACAAAGGGCCAGATATCTGCAAAATTCAATAACCACCATTTTAGAACTGCTATTACGAAATGTCTTCTAGCGTTAAAACTAAAGCAGGAAGCGGTCAAAACTCCAGCAACACCTGCGGTATTAAAGTATAAAGAACAACTTTATAGTATACTTCAAATGTTGTTTGAGTTTTGACTTGATTCGATTTCATTCCCTTCACCGTGCACTGTTAAAAGTAGGTTAAATTGTGCCAGAAACATCATTCCAGCGAATGAAACCCTCAAAACACATTATGCAAGTCTCAGGACATTTGTATCTACGGCTTTTCACATCATTATGATTGCACTGTGCGGATGTTTGTCTGGCCATTAGCATTAAACCATTAAGAAGTGAGCCTTGTGCTGAATATCAACGAGGTAACTCCACCTCAGGGACCAGTCGCACATCTCCTGCTGCTGCTTAATGAACTCCACAGAATCATGTTAAGAATGTGGTGTTTACTGTCGCTTCTTCTGCGTTTCCCCTCACCTTTTTGTATTTTGATGTTTACCTTTTTCAACCTTTATTTTAATCTGATGCACCTTTGCCTCACACACACACCCACACCTGTAAACTCACCTGTAAAGATCAGACGGCTGCTGTCTCACGCTTCTCAAATCTATGTTAATTTCTCTCCCTTTTATTCTCTCTCAACCCCTCCTCCTGTTTGTGCCACTTGTGCTGTTTTCCCTCTTCCTCTTCGTATCGCTCTCTCTCTCCGTGCCTTCCTCTCCTCTCTCCTCCTGCCGGTGTTCATCTCTCCCAGGACTCTCCTCCTCTCGACAGTCGTTGCTGTTACTGTTACACCTGCACCACCCATCGTCCCTCCTTCCTACCGCTGCACTCTGCCAGCCCTGCTGCCCAGGTGCTGCCTTTGCATCTCCATCCTCTCACTCTTTCCTCCTTTTTCTGCCTTCCTGTTTTTGTTTTTCTTCTCACTGCCTTATAAATCCCACAATCCTCCATTTGTGTCTTTAACACATTTTTTTCCTTTTTGAATTCATATGGCTGCCATTGTGTGTTTTACTGTTGTTTGTAGAAATATACATGAGCTCCACTTTTCTTATACTTTGCCGCATGTGGACTGATGAATGCTTTGAATATTACTTTTGACTCAGGCGCCCCCTTGTGACATTGCGGCAGCAACACAAGCTTACATTCACAGAGAGGCCCTGAATGGGCGACAAAGTCGTACAAGTACCACTACTTTACTGATGTTTTGTTCAAGTAAACGTATAAAAGTGTAAAGTAAGCCCTTTAAAATACACTGAGAGAAAAGTTTATTGAGTGACTCATTGGATTAATGGCAATAGAGATGTATGCACTATCACAAAGTGTAACTAAGACTATAGAATCTGCATGTAAACATAGTCACTGGAATTGATTTTGAGGCTGTGATTCTGTCTGACCGTTTTTGACCAAACTTTGATTTTCAATGAGTTAAGGGGAGACGGTACAGGTGATAACTCGCATTCAGACATATTTTTAGTATTAGCCGTTTTTCCCAAAATGTTTAAAGATGCAAATGAGGCAGTACATTATTAATTAAATATGTGCCAATTTGCAATTTACAGAAATATCAACAATGGATAAAGTCGGATTCAAAATGATTTGATCATTTTGTTGACATATTTTTACAGAGATTTTTACAGAGTCCCAGTTGATTACTTGCATTTAGACAATTATTTTATGTGTTACAAGTTTTATGAAATTATATGTTTAAATATGCAAATTAACTACCATCTAATGTTACGTTTTGGTGAAATCAGGAGAAATCAGTGTGTAGTTTAGATGTGTTCTTTCCACTAGTCTAATAGACGTCATCTTATGGAGGCAAAATAATCCAAAATCTCAAAATTGACCAGTGCATGAAAAAACAACGTTTTTGCCCGTAGTGTCTGTCTTTAATTCCTTCCACAGCTGTTGAGAAGCAGAGGGTTTGATGCCCTCTGTTTGTGTTCGCAGGGCGACCTTGTGGAGCAGGAGGGGGATTCTCAGTCCGGGGGCAGCGCCACGTGGCTCGTGGACCCCAAGGAATCCAAGCGCACTATCAGCACTAAGTACGAGACCACCATATTCTGAGTGGACCCCTCTTCCTTCAGACCTCTGACCTCTGGGCCTGGTCTCCCCCCCCCCCCCGGTCCCGTCTTCCTCTCCTTCCCTCTGTGTGCCTTTCACTGTGACTCTGCCTCTCCCTCTGTGGGCCAGACCCCTGCCCTCCTCCGTCTCCCTTCAGCCGTCACTCTAGTCCTCGTCTGACAACGACACAGTGTGCGAGTGCTTTGCTCCTTCCTTGTAGTAACCCACCACCACCTCTGCACTACTGATTATTAGTGCAACCCTTCCGCTTCATCAACCCTCCTCTAGCTGGTATCACTTCCGCTTCCAGCTTGCCACTCACCTTTGCTGTTACTCTCCTCTCTATTTACCTTGTATACTTCCTGAACTCTGTGTACAATGCTTCCTTTTTTTCTCCCCTGTCAACGTCCTACGCTATTGACTCTTGGTGATAAGCTCTTCTGTTCTTGGTGCTTTTCCTGCTCTATTAGGCGACGGCCACTCTGAGACTTTTCACTCTGATCTTTCAACTCCTGACTCCTCGTCCTGAGTGCCGAGAAAATCTGATTTACCACAGCCAAGGGTGACCCACAGCACACATCCTGTACCTGGACATGGACATGTTTCCTGAGGAAACTGACAAACTGGTCCTGTAGTTCTGTGCGTCAGTTGGACTTAAGCCGACTGTTTCTGTTCAGTGGAGTTTGTGGTGTTATTGAGGTTTCACGGGGGGATATTTCTCACCGTCAGCAGTCAGCTCGAAGCCAAAGGAGGTCCTAGCACTGTGATAAGGTCCCTTTTTTGGAGCTAATAATGTAAGCATTTTGGGGGATTTTCTAGTAGGGGGAAAAAGGAAGAACAGAATAGGGCATAAAGGCTGATATGGACCTGCATGTTAGCTGTCCTTGCTGCTGCAGAAAGTAGACAGCCCAAACTGTCTTAAGACCGGCATGCCCTCCTCTGTCTATCAATCAGAGCTCCATGATATAAACCTGGTGCTTCTTCTGGAGTGAACTAACTATAACTAAGCACTTTTACCAAATCCCCAAGTGTGTCAGAGAATAAGTGCATCTTCCTCTGTCCTGTCTTTTTTTCTTCTTCTCTTCACAACGAATGCCTTCTATGTTCATCCTGTCAGTATTGCCTTTTGTTTTGCCAATCACCACTAGGTTAATATTTCACGGCTGCAAGTGAAAAGAGTTAATCATTGTAAGGAGGGGTGGGGGGGTGATCCGTCACCATCGCGCTGTTTGTGTCCATTAGTTCTGTTATTTTTTACTTTATTTTAACCTCACTGCTTTGTGTGTCTGTGTCCCTTCCCTATATAGCTGAACACTGTGGCCACTCCCAGCCAGTAAGAAAGGACAGGAGTGAGCCCTGTTGCATGGTGGGTATGTTGTTTTGTTCCCGTGCAGCAGAATCGCATCACCAGTTGGATCAAGCTCACCAGAGTAACCGACGGAAGGCTTTCAACACAGCGCAGTCCATCAGATCATCTCACCTCACCCCCCCACCCCACCCTCACACACACACACACACACACACACACACAC